CAAAACGTACGAAAATATATTCATTAGCTCAAAAACATTTTCTATAGAACATAATTAGACATACAAAAATAACATGTTTCATTAAAAAAAAAAATATCTGGTGAAAACCAAAACTTTGTTCTGCAAAAGAGCGTTACATTAGTGAATTATACATTGTCACACTAGACATTGCTATCAACAAGATTGAAAACCGAACAGTAATTCAGAAAATTTTTTTAATGATATTTTTTTCTCCTAAACATTTGCAAAACCAAACCACAGCTGAACCTAATTCATTTGATCAATGTTAACAAATTTCACATTGTATCATAAAAATTGTATACACAATATTTTAAATACATTATGTTAAACAACAATTAAATATATACAATATTTATTTATATTAAATATATAATCTATAAAAATAGGAATTCTTATTGTTTATTGTATTTTTCATATATTTTATTATTATACTTAAGTAAGTAACCTCTTGTTTTATTGTTTCAACTAATTCCTAGATATTATTGTATAATTCCTAGTTCTTTAACATTTTTATTTCGAAATGTGCAATTTTTTATTTTACTATTATAGGTAAGTAACCCCCTGTTTGATTGTTATATATATTTCATAGAAATTACTATATAATTTATATTTATTATTAATTTTGGAACTATACAGACTTATTTTATTGAAATTTAAATAATTTATAGTATGAACACAAAAAAATAATGAACCTACATAGTTTAAAGAAGACATTAATTATTAATATAGGAATAGTTATATAAACAGTTTTATTTAAAAAATAATTAAGTATACATTTGTTTACTTTAGTACATTATTATTTTTTTTCATTTTCATTTGCCCCACCAAATTTAGTGGTGTACCTATATTGTATTATTTATGTTGACCCCAATCTTAACTAGTCTTACCAATCTTCTCTAAAAATAACTTTAGTGTAAAATAGTTAGATATTTCATTATAGATAAAAAAAAAACCTTAGATATGAAAACTACAAGAAAGTATAATATAAAAAGTAAAGTAGGTATTTAATACCTGATATCAACATCACCATAATAATTGAATACTTAGGGTTATACGTCCCGGAAAACCGGGACTGTCATCAGTTTTTGATTTGTTGTACCAGTGTCCCAAAAATAAGACCAGGGCGTATTTCACCGCGTTTCAAACGCTGAGTATTCCACGGCGTTTTCCATCGAATTCAAAATGCATTGGTTTATATCGGAATAGCTACATACGAAGGATGTAATACGCCGCGTTTTCATCCGCGGAAGAAAACGCCGATCGGCTTGCGTTTTGGCGGACGAACGCCGAAGTAATAAAAGCGCAAACTTCTAATTTTATATTGTTTTAAATTAGGATGGGCTGGTGACGGAAAACGCTGCGTTTACAACATAATTTTATGAATACAATTTTACATATGTATTCAATATTTTATCTACCTATTTACTTTAATTACCTATTCAATAAATAATAAATAGATTAAATATTTTATATATTTTATGTGTAGTTAGGTACCTATAGTATGTTCATTTTAATTAAGGACAGAGGTAGAGAAAAATATCAAATTATTTCATATTTTACAAGTAGTATCAAAATATCTAAGTAAATACATTATTTTAATTAATAATTGGTGTTTATAATTTGTGTTGGTCAACTAATTTTAATTTACGGACGTATTAAGAACAGTTCTGTAAATAACAATCGTAGAAAAGTTCAATAGGAACTTGTTGTGTCGTAAGAAATTGATGTATCAAAATGAATTAAAGCATCCTCCCATGACCAAAACTTGAAAATTGGGTGACACAAGAACACTCGGGGGAACATTTTAATATGCTTATATTATTGATACAATAATTATGGGTTTTACCATCTTCTAGATTCTGAGTGAAGCTTATCGTTTTACAAATATGTTTTTTGTTTTTTTTATTATTTATAAAATCTTTTCTTCAAGAAAACTTGCTCGGATTTCAAATGTAGCACCTTTTCTAAAAGAAAACTAGTATGAGGAGGTACTTTAAAGAAGTCATTTTTTGATTTTCTCAGGAGTTTGCTCATCAAATTTGAAAACCGAAAAAAAAAACGAGAAAATATAAGAAATGATAGGTAATAGATACCTAATAGTTAAAATATATTACGGCCTTCTTTTTTTCTGAGAACAACTTTTCTACCAACAATTTTGCTCCAATTTATATTGATAACAATGTTTCTAAAAGTAAATTTCACTAGGGAGGTACTTCAGAGAGTTCATTTTTTGGTTTTCTATAGAGTTTTTCAAATTAATGAGAAAAACGGGAAAATAGGTACAATATTTAACAAATATTATTGAAGATAATTTTAAAAACATATGTAATTATTTTACTATATATTGACATATATTATTGTCAAAGCATCACTATCAATTAAACTTCGCTCAGAATCGTTTTTTCGTAAGCAAATGGTTTATCGCTGCACCCGTCCCCATTATTTTACCTTTTTTAAATATTGTATTGATAAATGAGGCGGAATACATTCGACGTATACGTCTTGTATAGCTCGGTCGTCGGAAAACGTGGCAGAATACGCCGTGTATAGCCCCGGCCTAAATGTCGGTACTCCAATATGTTCTGGTTTTGAGAAAAAATTAATATTATTTAATTTCGATATTTTCTTTGAATAATCACTGTAATCAAGATACTTTTTATATATATACTATAATACTTTTTTTAACGAATACGAGATAAAACAGATATATCTCTTTTTAGTATTCAAATTACTTAATTATTTGTATATTTTATAACAAGCTTTTTTATGATTAAAAAAATAATAATAAATGTGTCCTTTATTTCTCTTTTATAATAAATACAATTTTTCAAGCAGCTGATTTTTGAGCTTTTTATAACAGTAAAATTTTACTTGATTTCAAGTGAATCATATATATTTGTTTGTGATCTTTAAGAAAAAACTATGTACGACATTGTGAATATAACATTGGCTTGAAAATAATAAATTATATAAAACCTCCCTAGAAGGGCAAACCATAAGTAATAATAGATTGTGCTAAACATATATATGTTAAAACTCTTTAGTTTTGGGGAAAGGATGTTTCTCAAAATATTAAAATATAAAAAATGTAAAAATTACATTGTTAAAGTGATCAACATAAATATTCCATTTTAGTTGATAATCATTATATTTTATGGGATTGCCTTTTATTTAAAAAAAAGAAAAGAAACTTATTATTATTATTAGTTGATGAATTATCAACTAAAAAAATGTTATACCTATTAATGTCTAAAATCACATTTTTAATACTAAAATGAGGATAGCAGGATTTTTCAGTATTTAATAATTATAAAGAATTATTATCCAACCAATTTTTAACTGATGATAAACCTACATTTGCTTTGTCATAAAGATTATGTATTGAATAACCATTAAATAATAAGGCAGTATCATCAGAAAAGCTGATAATTTTATCATCAATGTTAAGATTTAATAATTAATTTATGAACACAAAAATAAAATTGGACCTAATACTGATAATTGATAATGGAAAAGCTAAGACTTTATTGGTAATTAAAAACAGGGTGAAAACTGTAATTTAAAAGAAATCAGGAAGACAATTTTTTTTTACTATTTTCTGGTCAAGCTAACTAATAATCAAGAACTTATTTTATTTTTGTAGAAAATATCCAACCTATTATTAATGTACCTCTTTATTTGATATTTTTTGTTAAGCTGATTTTTATCAAAGAAGTTGTGTGTAAAATATGATAAAAAGTAATTTTCATGTTCATCAAACATTTGTAGGTGCTTCGCTTTAATTATTTTTATATAATCCAAATTTGTTTAGAGATGAATTATTCTTTATGAACGAAACAACAAAAAATTAGGTATAAATGCATACATTTTGGATACAAAATATGTTTGCATATTTCTTAAAAATTTTAAATTTTTTGGTGCATATATTTATAAGTTTTTTTTATGAATTAACACATATTATTTTAGTTATAGAGTATATAAAATACATAAAGTACATAAACATTAGTAGATAATTTAAGAGCAATATGTAATATGAAAAATAAGATTTATTTTCCTATTTTTTGAAATTAAATTGAAATAAAACCAGTCTAATAAAATTGAAGTATATTACAGTTAATACATTTATAAATAAATCATTTGTAATCTATTAAAATATTAAAATCCAATATAGAAAATCAATATTTGTATTTTTTATTGTAACCATTAAGTGTTAAGGAAAGTTCCTTTTAAAAAGGAATACGTTCCAGTTCCTCGATCCTACTGAAAAAAAAGGAACTAGAAAACTTTTATTTGCATTTTCTAGACGTAATAAAATTTTCAAAACATCTAACATAGAAATTTTAATTTTGAGTTTTTTACATATTTATTTGGTAAGTATTCTATGGATAAAATTGTTAGACAAAATAGAAAAACTTGAAAATGTAATCGATTTATTATAAGTTGTACTTAGTGGTCAACAAGAAAAGTTAGAGTAATAAGTTTAAATAATAATTTTTATGTAGTTATTTTTTATATTAAAATTATATCAAATTTTGATGAAAATCGTAAATATTATGACCCTTTTAAAATATGTATTGCCAAACTCCGCTCAAAATTGTCTATCGTTGCATACAGATGTACATTAAATTTCCCTCTATGTCCTATCTTCCTAATTTCTCACAATAGTAACCCACTTATCGTGCAAATTATGTCAGTTTTTTTATTTATTATACCAGTTACCCTTATTACATTTATAACATACATAACATTTATATTCCTTAAATCATTAACAGTATTTATATACTGCTATTTTGATAATCTTTTCAAAAAAAAATATGTAAATGCAAAAGTCCTTAACCCTAGTTATAATATTTATAACTTATGCATTATTATTTATAATGTATTCAATACACATATTTTTATAATGACGAGAGTATAGGTAGGACCAATTTATAAAAATAAAAAAAAAAACATTAAACAAAAATTTAAAACAAAAATTTGTAATAATAATTAGGATATCAAGAATTTATTGTAAAAATTATAATATATTTATTACATTAAAATCTTAGAATTTTTTGAACCCTTTCTTAGCTCCTGTTCCCTTGGTCACCTTCAATACATTAAACCGAACAGTTTTACTGAGAGGTCTACATTCACCAATTGTAACAATATCTCCAATTTCCACATCACTACAAACAAACAAAATGTGAAACTATAAAATTACACTAATAACAATAAAATCATATTATACCGGAAACATGGTGATAGGTGAACAGATATATTTTTGTGACGCTTCTCAAAACGATTGTATTTACTGATGTAGTGCAAATAATCCCTCCTGATCACAATGGTCCTTTGCATCTTCATCTTCCGTACCATACCTGTCAAAATACGTCCTCGGATAGAAACGTTGCCAGTGAATGGACATTTCTTGTCAATGTAAGTTCCATCAATGGCCTAAAAAATAATAATCGCAATTATTATTTATTTATTTATTTATTTATTTACAGAAAAAAAAAAAAACACTGTTTACAAAACAGGCAGAAATATGTGGTATAAAACATTACAATAAATAACTGAACAGCTAGTAAGAATTAGCGTTACATAATTATACACAGGGTGTCCTATGTTATTATAAGAAAGTTATTTATCATTATTTTTTTCATCCCTTAATTATCAAAAAATAACTATTTTTTGTAAAAAATATTATTCTTAAAATTGTAATGTACCACACATTGGTGTCTCTCATCAATAGTTTCAGATTAATAACAGTTTTAATTTCTAAAACATTAGTGCGAAAACATTTAGTTTTCAATAGAATAATACGTTACGCGATAAGAAATTACAATTAATACGGTAATTCCTTAACTGTTATTGAATTTTTTCTTAATTGTTTCCATGCAAATTTTCTAGAAAAATTATTTTTTTCTACTTGTGTCTCACAAACTTTTAACCAGATTGAAATAAAAAATTTTTTTTTTACATATTTAATTCAATAGACAAGGATTAAAACTCATCTAAAATTAAATTCCAGTGTATATGTCATATGTACCTATACATTATATCATAAGCTGGTTAAGATGTAAATAATTATTAGAAACAATACCAATGGGGGTTATCAACAGTTTCCCCTAATTCTATAGTTTTGTCTGATTAGAAAAAAATAGCTTTGTTTCATTATTTTAGGATTTGATGTTTTTTTAAAAATTTACTTAGTTTAAAAAGATTAGTTTTGGTACAAATTCAAATGTATATTACCGAACATCAGGTATACTAAGGATACCATACAGTTAAGGACATGATCAATCTGATATATGTTAGAAACACTTAAATGTCTAGAACAGAAAATCTAAACAGCTGCAAGATGGGCGACTACTATGATATCATACAATCATTATAATTATCACTTACAGCTTATCACTAAATTAAGAATGCATAGTATTCTACTAGTTTGTTTGTTACATTTCATTTTCCTTAACATAACTATTTGTGAAAGTGAAACAAATTAACTTTTTAACTAGTTTGTTCATAAATATGTATTATACACAATAATTCAAAATAAAAAATATAAAATTTAGCATGTTATTGGTAACATTTGTTCAATTGTTTATAAATAATAAGTAATAGTAAAAAAATAGGTATTTTATACCTAATAGGTACCTATTTTCAATGTATAAATAATACCAAATAATTACACAACCAGATTGCTAAACATTGCTAAACTTAATTTAATAATTTTAACATTATTACAACTACCTATATTAATAAGCACTATTATGTACCTAATTTCTTACAATTTGTGTATCATAAAATATAAACTAAAAGCATTGAAGTAGACATAAATTTACAAAGTAAAAATATTGTTGATAAAGAAATTAGAACATGATAATATCTTAAAAGATAAATTTTTTGAAATTTTACATCACAATCAATTTGAGTAATAGTACACACAATTTTGATCAGATAACACTATTTAAAATCAAAGTAAAAATTACTCATAAGACCGTCGTGTTATTATCATCATAAACTCATTCTGTACATTGAACCAATTGTTTTATTTAAATATGTATAAAAGACTAAAAACAGAACAATCAGAAACACAATTTAAAATCAAATAACATATTCATAAGACCGTCGTGTTAATATCATCATATTATTCATAATGTTATCTTCCTTATTATAATAAAATTTTTAACAATAGTTTATACTATACATTTAATTGTAGGTGAAACTAAACAAATAGATATATTTAGACAATTCAAAAATAAGATAAATCTATATACTTTATTTAAGATAAAAAAAAAATCAAAGCCATGTTTATTAATCAGAAACACAATTTAAATCCAAGTAAAAATTACTCATAAGACCGTCGTGTTGTTATCGTCGTGTTATTTAAATCACAGATCTCTGATAATCAACGATTATTATGAAAGTTTAATAAATTAGTAAAAAAAAAAAAAAAAAAAAAAGAATTCTATTTTATTACAATTTACCTACATTGTAAATTTTGAATTAATGGGATTAGCAGTTAAGTCAATAATATTAATATATATATATACTATAGTGCTAGATACTATAACACTATATATTATATCCTTGTTTTATTATTATTAATAATTTGTTTTATAATAATCAAAATGATCAATAATTTACTTTACAATCCAATAATAACCTACATAATTTTGTTCATTCTTATTTTTCAAAAAGTAATTTGAAGTAAATTTGAAAAAGTTCTATTAAGGTAATGAAAAAGATGAATTAATCCAAGTAAGTACATTTAAATAACTTAATGATATATTTTAGATATAAAGAACAGAAATTATATGTATAAATCTTAGTCAGCAACACAGTTTAAATCAAATAAAACATGTTCATAAGACCGTCGTGTTAAGATCATCATAATAACAATTTATTCAAAAAGAAGAACAAAACAAGCAGAAGCCTAATAGTACACAGATGAGAAAACTTGGAGATTATAATATATTAAGATAATAAAACTCAACTAAAATTAAGTAATTTTGTACTGGATAATCCCAGGATCACATATCAATATTTGTTAAGATTTGTATTACATAAAGTAAAAAGTGAAAAAAATCTGCATCTGTTGAAGTTCATTGTATAAAACCATAACACTCAGAATAAGGGAGCATTTCAGATAATTTGTAGTGTGCGTGTTGGTGTATTAAACAAAGAGGTTGGGCAATTATTGTTACCTAAAATGTTAAAAGGGGTACTAATTAATAAATCGGGAGCATCAATTTTATTATTGTATAATTTATAAAGAAAATATCCGCTTGATAGAAACTTAGAAGCAAGAGTAGGAATATTTAGAAAGGACCAGGCTTGTGTATAATCATGATTATTAATAAGTTATATTGAATTTAAAGGCAATAAATCTCAGAAAACAGTTTCGGACGAAATTATTGTCCAATTTGAATATAAATTTCAAATAGACGATCCATATTATAAAATGGTTTTAACTTAAGCTTAATAAAAGAGCTTAAATGATCGCAAATCTATAAAATCCAAAGAATTCCATACACAAAATCTAATACACATAAATTTTATTACAATACACTCAATAAAATACAAGTTGTATAAATTTGTTTAGTTATTTTTAAATATTGTAATTCATGTAGAAAATGTATATTATTAATTTATTTATAGATAAGCAGGTAATGAAATCAATAAAATAATTCTATTAATGTAATGAAAATAGTAAATTTATAAAATAAAAATAATAATTTACTTTAAATTAGTATTATATTTATTAATCAGCAACACAGTTTAAAATCAGAGTAAAAATACTCATAAGACCGTCGTGTTAGTATCATCATATTATTATAATATAAACCATCATGTATAAATTTCTCCTTATTTACTGTTATTTCCAGAGGGTGTCACCAATGAAAATCAGTGTATACATGTTTGGTAATCTTATGGGAAATCTTTGTGATTATTAGGAAAATCATGGTATTTTAGAATCTGATGTACACAGTATTAATCAGTGATTTACCCTCTAGTTATTTCCGAAGGTAAATAATAATTACCTATTTATGAATTTAAAGGATTGACCAACATTTGTAATTCAATTGTTAATAGTATTAAAATATGTTTTAAAAGGAAAATACTTTTAATTTATATTGCCCAATGAGTATAATGACTACTATATATAAAGGATAAAAATTTAAGAAGTAGCCCCTCAATAACACAGTAAAAAAATCAGAGTACATTTATCATAAGACCATCGTGTTAATATTATCATGTAAGAAGACACTACTTTAAATAATTTCAACTAGCATAATTTGACTAATGCACCAACAAGAGAAAATTAACTTTCAGAAAAGGTACTATAGTTGGAGCAAGTTTTCTGGTAGAAAAGTTGTTCAGGCAGAAAAAATTTTAAAAAAACCAGAAGATCCCTTGCTACATTTCGAATCTAAAAATGTACAATAATATAATTTACAACTTTACTAAATAAATATAATAAGTAGGTACTTATACAGTTTACATTTTACAATTAATTTGTTCTTTTTTTGTAGGTATAAGTAATAAATTACAATAAAATTACTAGGTATATAATAATTGTAGTTCTTGAAAGACCTAACTGCTGTTTAGACAGTCTGCAATAAGCCTGAAAAACAGCAGACCATTTGGAAAAATACTAAGTAGTTTGTAAATGGGCTACCACATTACAAAGAGCCTAGTCTTTTTACAAAAAGGATAACTTTTCATATGGCCTACGACATAAATATATAAAAATGAATGTATGTGTTGGTCCTTTAAAGTTTAATCATTACTACACCATTTATCCAATCACCATGAAACTTTGGAAAGTTGTCAAGTACACTTCCATGAAGGTTTCTAACATAGTACATCTATGAAATTCTTCGATAACACCAAAAAACCAGTTTTTAGGTACTTTTACTTTGAATTAAACAATTTTTTTTTAGAAGTAATATGGATTAAAAACAAATATTATTAGTTCACTTGGTTGTCATGAACAAATTCTTATTATGTCTATGGTGTGTATTCTATAAATATGTATATAAGTAACTATGTATTTAGTTTTTATTCAATACTGACACAATCAAAATCAACAAAGATAATATGTAAAAAAAAATTGGCACGGACGACACCAGGCGTGATAATTTGTAATAATTATAAAATAGTATCAAAATTGAAAGTGTAAACCATGTTGGCAATTTACACAAATAAATACTGACCTCTCTGGGCGTTTTGAAACCCAAACCAATGCTACGGTAATGACGGAGGGGCTTCTTCTTTTTAAATTCCTTACGGTTCAAAAATATGGTAGGCTGCTTTTGGAAAGCTTTCTCTGTCTGTTAAAACAAAATATATTGTATTACACTTTAGATAGATACAAAAACGTGAAAGATCAAGCAAGTGGAGGCAAGGTATTCCATAATCCATGTGCTATCAAAACACATTGGTTTAACACGAAATTGAAAAACCACATATTTTTATAGGTGCTCATTTAAAACCAACTAATAATCGAATTAATAAACAAATATTACCTGATCAGCCATGTTAGATGGAATTTAGAAAATACAATTTAGAAGAACCGATGTCTTTAAACACGAGTCGCGTAACAAACGTTAAGTAAAATGAAATAAATGTCTGTTGACGTTCTGGCAATATATAACCTCTAAAACATCAACGTCTTGTTACTTGTTTAATCATGGATGAAAAAATGTGATTTCACCAAACTTAAATTCATGGTTGTAGATAGTACCACCATAGACAAGTAAAACCATTGTCATAATGAGCGTCTCAGGGGCAAACTTGCGCGACCAATCAGAACCGTTCACTTTTATTATCAATATTTTTAAAAAATTGAAAACCATCGAGATAGATAAACAATACTGTATATCTATCTTGATGAAAATATAATAAGAAAATAATAACATGGAATAACATAATAATATTACTTAATATTATATCTTTGCAAAATAGGCGTTCCTAAATTCCTATCAACCCATTTATCTAAGGAGTAGGAGCTTTTATATGATTTAAGGGTATGAGTACCACGAATTAAGATACATAGAATACCGAATGAAAAAGTCTTATCAATGTTTTTCTGAATCTGCCCGGTTTTCACTGTTTAGCTAAATAACTAGTGTTTAAGACAAAATTGGTATAAAAATCAACTAAAACTAGTTTGAAGTTTAGACTGGTGAAGTGGAGAAGTAAGGTGTATAATAAATTAAATTGCATATCTATTATACTACGGTTTTAGACTATTCTATAATAAATATTGACTTCGTTTTGTAAAGAGTACACTAGATGGTGTTAGTGGCCTTGCGAAAAATATACTATAATATGTACAGCCGTGGCCAAAAGTGAGAAAATTCGTGTTTCACTTATCATACGTTCGTTCGGTATCATGTAACTATATTTTAATTCGTGACAAGGTTATAGATAATTTAGTTTCGGAATGACCTATACTAAACAACACAATATGTCAAACCGGAATGTTATTAAAAAGTCACATGACTGAAATAACAAACCTGTCGCGCGATCCACGGTATTTAATAAAACTTGTGCCTCGGCCACAGATATAATGCAGATATAACTATTATAACGTACTATAAAGTATATGTATTTGTACACAACAAGCTTTCCCGCGCGAATTTACCTATTAAATACCAATTGAAACACAGTAGAAGTGTATTATTTAATTCTTGAAAATGACTAATTTTTGTGTGAAATATCCACATAAAGTTTCAAAAACCACTTTTCGAAGACCCTTAAAATGAATATGAAAAAAAATAAATGGGAAAATGCGTTAAACTGTTCTAAAAAAAAGTTATAGGATGTGTGCTTCACATTTTAGAGAGTGACATAATGTCTACTTGTTATTTAAAACATACTGAAGCCAAACAATTAAATAAAACAAAAAAAAAATATGTCAAAATTGGTTACTTCCTTAAACTAAATTTCTAATTAACATATAAAATAGTTAGATACTACCTATTGATCATTATTAATTAATAAATAAAAATACTTGAGTGAGAACTGTGGACCTAACTATTTACTTATTGCTTACCTATTCGTATTCGTATACACGAACATAAATATTATTGTATTATTAATTAGTAAATAATTACTATTTACTTTATTTTACTTCTGTAACCCTGTAGGTACTTAAACAATAATATATTTATTAATGCGTTCATTCTATCATACTACTACATATCACCTAGAGAGCACTGTGTGCTAATGTGAAGACCAATATACGATTTCAGCTTCACATTATCACGGTTCATCCGCATCCATATTATCTATTGCCATGATTATTCAAGGATTTAAATATTTTGACCAAAAGTGAGATATGAAAAAATCTGTGCAATTTAGTGGTAGGGGTTTCTTATTTATTCAAGACCGAGCTCGACCGCTGCCGGTTAAACCGCTACGTTTGTAAGCAGCTCAATGTTACAGACTTCTATACTACTGTAGTCTGTAGTACAGAAGTCTGTGTTTAATGTAGATCAGAATAATACCAAAACATGAAAATTGATAAGAGCGTAGATACTGTATTGTTCCTGGGTAGCCTGTTATTCAATTTTTTTTTTGTTTGAAAACATGCATTTTGAGTGCACTTAGAAACCTAGCGGGGTTACTCGCTCGGACTGTTTTTATTAAAAATAACCCTCGATTTGTTGTGCAAAACCACGTCGGGTAGGTAACGTACAACGAAAAAAAATCGTTTGGGGTGAGCCTAGGTGCAAAATAAAAATGTTTAAATCACATACGGAAATTAGACACGTGTTTTTTTTACAAAAAAAGTGTAAAACTTTGCTGCACAATGCGCGTACAAGTAACGCGTTACACAATGCGCCACAGTCAATTCTAAATAAATGATAATAAAATAAATGGGTATATAAGCTAAAACCGTGATAACCTGCTCCGAAAATGAACTCGCGTTGCTCTCCTTTTCTGGAAATGAAATAATAAACTAGTTATATCAATAAATATAATTCTGTCTCTAAATGTACGGTTTCCAAGTCTCTAGATTCAACTAGAATAAAAATTAACATGCATACTTATTATTTGGAAAATTAAAAATATTGAATAAAACAAAAGTTTTTTTTAAGTGTCAAATTATCATAGGATAACAGGGACTACAGGATGATTTACTCAACTGGAAATACTCATTATCTCTGAAAATATTAACTTTTAGATTCTGATTGGAGCAAGAAATCTATTTTTTTTACAGCAATTTTTCTTAATATAATACTAATTTTTCTAAAAGGAAATCTGACTGGGGAGGTATTAAAAGAAAATATAGAATTATAGAAATTATAGGTAAGTATATATTAAAATATATATTTTTTTTTTATTCATAATGCTATTTCACTTCATTCAATAAATAAAAAAATTATATATTATACTAAAGTCAGTAAATTATATGTATGAGATCTTTAAGTATAATTATATAACATAATATTATTATAAGTAGGTTTAGAGACTTCTTTACATATTTGTTCTGAATTATGTAAAAAGTAGCAGTCAAATATAAATCAGGAGACCATGTCTTGTTATTTGGAATCTAAATCCAATAGTTGATTGTGCATATTTTTGCATAATTCAATGTTTTTTTTCTCATTAAAGCAAAATACAGCTTTTAAGTGCTATAACAAACCATTAATTAAATTTTTAAAGTATATTTTAATATATATTTGGTTCTTTATTAAAGCATATATGTATGATTTTTATAGCTGGAAGTCCCTAAGCCTAATTATAAGTCATCTAATTCTAAGGTTCTAGATTGATAAAATAAAAATACAATAAATTGCACTATAACAGTAGTCTTAGAATAATGGAGACGGGTGCAGCCCCTGTTACAGGCAATTTAATATATACCTGTAGGCCATTAAGCCATTCAAATAATTAAACAGGCTTTTTATATTTTCTTTAATAATATTTGTTTAATATTGTACTGATTTTCTCAGTTTTCTTAAATTTTTTCAAATTTCCCTGTTTTTCACACTTGCCTGGAAAACTTTTGTTTATTTTTCACCATATATAACCCCTAAAATAAAATTTAAACACTAGAGTTTATATTGAAACTAGTTTACAATTATTATGCATTACTGTTATATAACAAACTTTTTTACTAAGAGGAGATGGTGATTTAGATGAAATCAAATGAGATTAATCCATAGCCAAAAATTGTTCTTTTATTAAAATTAACAACATGAGGTCTAAAATATAAAATATAGGTTATAATAAAAAAAATTACATTTATAATGTAATTTGAGTACCATTATTATGAACATGATTATCAATTTTTTGTATACAATAATTATGAATGAAAATTGTTTTATTGTATTTTGGATCTAGTTGATGCAGAAAGGTTATTTTTATTTTCCAAAGGGTTTTCATAATAATTAAGAGTAACCAAAAATAATACGTATAATAAAAACAGACAAATTTATGGCCAATTTATTTTTACAAATTATGTTTTCTATTAGAAATATTACCTCCTATTGAAAAATGACAAACCTTTTTTGGTTGAAATTGGGATTTAGTTGGTGAGTAAGAAAGTTGTTTTTCGATAATCTATGTAGTTACATTATTAAATAAGCAAAACCGGGGAAAAACGTAGAAAGAGTAGGAAAATGTACAGAAATTATTATTTTCGATTTTAGTTTTACTATAATTTGTTTAAAACTATCACCAAGGGCTGATATGTACACAGAATATTTATATTAACTTTTTCTAGAGATAATAAAATGTTCAAATAATTCCAAGGATTTTTGAGTAATTTATAGGCATTTTAATTCACTGAAAAGATGCTTGACAATTCAGTATGAGGTTCATTATAGGTTGTACTTAAAATAAAAAAATTTAAAAAAATAGTTGAACGTAATATAGTACTTTTTTTTCTATAATCGTAAAATTATAAATATTATGACATTTCAAAACATGTATAACTGAACTTCACTCAGAATATTATTTTGTTAACAATGATAAACCATTGTTTATATCATTGACTTTATAATAAACAAATAAGCTATCATAATTTTAATAGTAGAAGTAGCTAAATGCATTCTGCCGCTAGACGTTATTGTATTCAAGTGATGTCGTGGTATAGTTGCATATTGTGTGGAGTATACTTCGATTAGTTATTTAATAAATTCACAATTCATGATAAACCCTGATATTTTCCAATATTAACCTCACCCGGACGTTTTTATTTAAGCTTAAAAAGAGAAAGCCTGGTAACCTTACCTTCGACTGTCCAGCGTTAATTTTAGTTATTACTATTTGTTATTATCAATATTTTATTTAAAAAACATCAAATCTAATTTATTTATTTTTAAAAATATTAAATTCAAAATAAAAGAATAATATATTTAATTTAATTTAATTTAATTATTTTATCAAGCTCGAAAATTAGAAATTTAGACTATTAATATAGACTCTTTTTTTTTATGATAATTTATTATTTTAGAAAATATACAAATTATCTTTAGATGAATGCAAATTATACAACAGGTATTTATGACGAGAATATTTTTTGCCAGATTTTTATGAATATCAAAATGACCGAGTTGAAACCAGCTGTATTTCCATATCAACTCCAAGATAGTAATAAACAATCAACTTCAAAAGGTTAGAAAATATTTTAGTTTTAAAATCTACTTGGAAAATTAGAAAATTTTGTTTGTTGCTTTCTGCGTAACATCATTCAATTGTTGTTTTTTTTGTTTTGCATATTTTTGTTTATACTTAACCTTCTGATTTATAAAACATTTTTAGCTTCATAAAAATGCTTAATAAATAGTCATACTATATAGTTTTTTTTATGAAATATTGGTAAATGTATGTTATAATATAATTTGGTAGTTAGCATACAACAAAATTATATTTTTATTTTGTAATCATGAGTAATTTTTTAAAACCAGATTTTATAGCTTATTTATATGAATAGGTCTACCATTCTTGTCGTAAAACTTTTTCACCACCCACAGCTATCATTATCTTATTGTAATTTATGTCAGATGCAATCCTTATCTTATATTAGTATTATTATATTAAAATTAAAAAAAGTTATATTCAATTTTAGAGCTAGAAATGTACAAGACCTAATAGTCAGCGATTACACTTTTCAGGATTTAATTGATTTTAAATATTTGGTAACTAATATAAATAATGCAAATAATATGCATAACACATATTATTGGAACGTTATTATAATTTATTTTATTTTAATATTTGCAGGTAGACAAAAAATAATGACAACCGAACATAGTGTCACGGAACAGCTGGTTTGCACTAGTGCAGATTCAGCATCTAAAATCTACACAAATACCTAGATTACAAATTCTAATAAATACAATGTGTCGAATTTATACGAAACTAATTTACATGAAACTGTTTCCAAATATTCCTATAGTATGGCTTATTTATATACTATAAAATCAATGCATAAATAAATTAAATAACTTTATGTATCATAACTTTCTAATTTCCTACCCATAAAAATGGATATATATCAGCATTATTAGATTTTTTTATTTTAATTTTACACATATATTTAATAATAATAATTTTCAAATGGTAATCTATAATTTAAATAAATTTTATTTTAAACTATTGTGAAAAAATTTAATATCAATGCACAATATGTTTTAAATTAATTTTCATTATAGTTAAAATTACAAAAAAATAAAAATAGCATAATTAGATTAATATTAAAGATATTTATTAACTTCTCTTAAATAGAGTGCAATAATTTTGTTAGCAATGATGAAAAATCATTAACTAATAGATGAGTAATTGATTTATTTAGCTCTGTGTACATAATTTACCAGTAGAAATTATAATTTGTTTTAATTTTTCTTTTAAACTTAAACTGAATCCACTAAAATAAATCTATCATGAAAAAAATATGAAATACAAAATAATGAATTCCTGTCTAAATATAAAGTTTATACATATTTAAATTTAAAAAAAAATTACTTTGCAACCATCAAGAATTTGTACCAAATTTTTTACCTCAGATCAATTTATATCATCTAATATAGCTTTATAATTTATATTTTTTAAGTAATCTAAAATGGAATAATAATAATAATTAACAATGGAGTAATAAAATAATAAACTGACATTATCATTAATTATTTTTGTTATTGTAAAACTATCTTGTGATACACAATTGTTTATTTTTTGAAATTTTAATTTACTGCAATTGTTTATTGTGTCTTCTGTATTTGATTATAATAAATAAATAAGTCTTTTGAAAAATTATTTGTACTTTCTTCAGATCATACATCAAACTTGAATACCAGAGACAAGAGTTGAACATAGCATTTTATTTTTGACATTGTAGTCATTAGTTTCAACCATATAACCTATTTCAACGCCATCATGTATACAAGATTGTTTTAAACACATTAAACCCCAATGTTGTTCATAAGTAAACTTTTGAAAATTAGGATTCGATATAATTAATATATGAGTTTCCTTTTTTTTCATTTGAGGTGAATATGTTCAACCTAAAAAAATAAATAATATGTGGTTTCATTAAAACAAAAATGATTTTAATATTAATTATTTTATTTTATTACCATTTGAATGAATCAATGTAACGACTTTGTCTTGATCTAAAGCATCTAAACCAGATGTAGTAAATGTGAGTTTATAAAATGGAAGACATTAGTATTTATCAAACTTTTCTTTAACAATATTAATATTATGAGATGGACTTTCTTCACAAACATCTAGCCACACATCAGTCATAACAGTTATTCCTGTATCAATAGCTTTCTAAACAAAATCACAACATTTTAATTTATTCTGATATTTATACTTAATATATTATTTAGATTCTACTTTTCCAAACATTAAATGAGTAGCATTTTCTCGTAAATGATAAGAGAAAATGTCACTCATATAAAATGTTTTTCTTTTATTCTTTTCTAAACATTAAAATTATAATAACATATAGATATAAAATGTATAGTGTAATTGCCAGTTAGATTTATTTTTTCTTCAGGTTTTAAATTTGACACACTTATTACAACATTGTACATTGTTATGATGTATATAGGTGAATTAATTTTTGGTACAGGAATTGCTTGACTATAACATGTTCTTAAACATATCAGGTTAATAATCCTGTAAAAATATGCACACAAAATAAATAACTACAAATATTATAAATTTGATAAGGAAAATAAGTATGCCCCCAGGTGCAAAATTCATCTTTATAAAACCACACAATTTTATAGACAAAAGGCCAAAGATCATAATTGATAATTTTAACAGTCACAGTGTGAATTGGTTAAACAATAAAATCAACAAAGGTGGAGGAATGGGCATAAACAATTGGTCTTATCCAAAATCTTATCTTAGGATAGGACTTTATCTTCTCTTTAATGGTAAACTATTAGTATTTTTGAGTAGTGGTTGATGGAAATGAGGTTAAAATCCAAAATAACATCCTCATAAGAGAAAATATTGTCACCCAATGAAAAAAAGTCTCAACTCCCATTCTAAAAACTTAAACTGATTAATCATTTGCAAAATTAAAGCTACAATCAAACCAGTTACTGTACCTTTTTAACTTAAAAAAATTCAATTGTAGCTCTCAAACACACTTTATGAAGCAATAAAATAAGGATATATAATAAAATAATATCAAGGAGGTACATCCCTAGAGGCTGCTGAAAAGAATATACAAGGTGTCCACAATGATCGGCCACTTGAAATAACTTTTGTTCTATTCAATATTTTTGATGTATTTTTTTTTTTTTAAATATTATGCCTCTACACTACAGTTTATATATGAACTTTTTTTTTTAGGGGAAGGGGATAAAAAATGAAAATATTACTTTAATTTTTTTGAAAAATTCAAAATAGCCATTTCATTTATAAACGTATAGATTATACTTCAATATTTTAAACATAAGAAAAGGAAACAGTGTAATGTGGATTGTTAGTGAAATCTGGTTTTAAATTGTAGAAATGAGAAAAATGGTGCTAAATGTTTTTAATAAACCAGTGAAAAACATTAGCAATGGATAATTTGTGTTATCAAATTTTAACTATCAAACTATAAATTAAAAAAGTGTACTAACGCAGCTTTATTTTGTTTGGTAGCAGGTAAAACATGCTAGAAAACTAGTTCTTCAAATTTGTCATAAACAAAAACTTGATTTTTTTTCACTATCTTCATATCACAAACTCCAAATTCACTGACAACAGCAATAGTAAGTTCGTGTTCACCAGAATTCTAATACAAAATACATAATCAAAAATATTTTTTTTAAAACTGCTAAAATTATGATATTATCCTTGTAGATAGGTAGATAATTACTTGTAATGCTAAGTTCATCATATCAGACATGTTTTCAACTTTCGATATACCTTTTGTAAGAACGAAAAACACTTTGATGGAATTTTTTTTTGACGATCTTATAATTATCACAAGTTATACAATAATAATAAAATAAATAAAATTATATCAAACAGTTACGATTCACAAATCTAAAATAAGCAATGTAATGGACATTTTCAATTTTTAAAACAAAATATAATTTATAACGAACAAAAACTTCAGTATTTGAATTTTGAAGCGGGAATGCAGGATAAGACAGCATTGCAAGTATATAAATTGATTTTAGAATATACGGGTAAAGTTGATTGGTCAGCCGCTCGATTTAAGTATTCCTAATCTTAGGCTCTCAGCTGATAACAAACCGATGGAGGAGAAATGATTAAATGATTGCTTTATCAAGGGTGCGTTCAGAAACGTTATCCATAATTTCTGGGGAATTCGCTAGAGAAAGATTTAGTACCGTCCATTTCAATGAACTAATAAGTTATCAACCAAGTTACCTGAGGTATGTTAACTTGTTTATAGTTTTATCAGAAATAGATTAGGTTTTGGCGGCCTTAGGTAATAGATAAGAATACTACTCAGTTAATATAATCATTAATTATTAATATTACATTTATACTGATTGCATAATAATGCATAACGAAATTGTAGCTATGTCTGAAAGCTACTCAAATAAATTTCTTTTTGATTGTGGACTGACTGAACTGTTCAGTATTGATGATGATGAGGTTACATTAGATAAAGAATCTCCAATTCGAATTGAAAAGTACATAGAAGATGTTGTTATATATTATTCTAATAATGTTTTTTTAAAGCTTAGGTAACTTAGGTTAAAATTAATAACATTTTTTAATTAGTGTAATTTATTAGTTTTTGTAATTAGTAATAGTATAGTTTATACACTTATAAATATAACTTGATGAAACCTTTTTAAAAAATTACGGGAATGTCCCTTTTTTTGACTAAGTGTCCCGTTGTCCAGGCAACTCTTGTCGGGACATTGAAATGTCCCGTTTGCTAAAATGTGTACCCATATTATATATTGTATTATTTTTTCGTTTTGAGATAACAATTACCTACTTGTTATTCACTACCCGTCGGCAACATAGATAATAGAAGATTATAATATAACCATATGACCATACCGACCGATACCATAGACCTATAAAGGTCTTTATAGGTCTAGGACCGATACCGATTTCGTTTCTATTAATAGATTGTTATAATTTTATATTATGTTTACCATTACGCATATTATTATAAAATAGATTAGTCGATAAGAAAATTATTATTATTCTTATCTGTTCTATCATAATTCATAGTCTGGTCAGACCACAGTAATATACATTAGTCTATAATCGTTTTTATAACATAATAATATGATAGTTAAGTTTTAATTTTTAAAATGCCCAAAAGAAAGTGCACATTTAATGAAAAGTTACAAAGTGAATACACATTCTTAAAAAAATGTCAAAAACCAGGACAATAATATAAAATTGAATGTATTGTGTGTGGAACAGCATTCAGCATTGAACATGGTGGTAAGTCGGATATTACACAACATTTAAAATCGGAACGACATAATATAGCTGCTAGAGCGTCTAAATCTCAAAAATTGTCAAATTTTTTTTCTCCAAAAACACAATTTGCTGATAAAGAACAAAAATTAGCTGCAGATGAAGGAATTTTTGCTTATCATACTTGTAAACACAGTCATAGTCTCAATTCTATGGATTGTACTTCTCAGTTAGTTCGTAAATTATATGAGAAAAAATTTACTTGTGGTAGAACTAAAATATAATATGATATATATAATATATGTCATATTATGGTAAAATAATTAAATAAGCATTATATATTTTCTTTAACACTATTTGTTTAATATTATACCGGTTTTTCACATTTGTTGGGAAAACTCTTGGGAAAATCGAAAAATGACCTCTCTAAAGTACATTTCTATTCAGATTATCTTTCAGAAAAAATGCTGTAAAAATCACTGTAAATGAGAGCAAAATTGCTGATAGAAAAGTTGTTCACAGGAAAAATTGTCATAATATATTTTTTTTTACTAATACCTACATTCGTACATTTTCCGTTTTCCCGACATTTTATCCCGGTTTTTTTCCAGATATTATGAAAACCGCTTGAAAAATCAAAAAATGACCTTCCTAATTTACCGTAGAGATAAAATTTCCTTTTAGAAAACAAGCTACACTTGATACATTGGAGCAAGATTTCTGGTAGAATAGTTTACACAACAAATCGAGGGGTATTTCGGGATTAAAATAGTACGAGGTAGCGATGGGTTGGGTTTCTGAGTACATACAAAATGCATTTATGTTTTCCTTGTTTAAATAAAAGGAAAAAAAAAATGCAAACAATTTGTTTCGGAACTTGAGTTTGACCTCCCTAGAATGTCAATAGTTATGTATTACCATTAAACTACGACAAACATATTTGAAGCTTGACAATTTATTGTTATTTAACATAACATAATATCAGAACTTTAAAAAGCTATAATTTAGAAACTATCAGTCTGCTTAATTCTTACTTCAACATCGTTTTTAAATCGGAAATATAGGTACATAAGTTCAAAATAAAAAAAAAAATTGAAAAATTAGATTTATTCAACATAATTTTTTACTTAAATGATTTTTGTCAAAATTTGATATTAAAATTTCCCTATGAAAAAAAAATACTTCATTAAACTCATTTTTTTTTTTTTTTTTTTGACTACAAAGTAAGATTTTTAATGAACCTCTTGTTAAATTTTGAAACATTTCTGTTTAAATTTAACAATATTAATACAGGGTTCCTACCAAATATATATAACGTACAAAAAATCTAAAAATTAATATGTCCTCAAAAATGGCTTCAATTATTGAAAATTTTACGACGTTTAGAAAAGACAAATATAAGAGGAGAAACATGTATGGAGTTTATATTTACGCGCTGCATTGCCATGAGGAAACTTTTTATCAAAATCTTTATGCATTGTTTCATAATGTCGCTTTAAATTGGCACATTTGACAACAGCAATTAAACTATTGCATACGAGACAAACTGAAATGGCTCCAGCCCTTTTTTGCAATGTGAAAAAATATTTTTCTGTCCACTCAGCCAGGAACTTTCTGTTTTCATTGTCAACTTTGTTTTTTGGAAAATATATTCGATTGCACACGAATAATATTTATAAATTTAATATTTCGTTTAAATACGAAGGACGTGAGGCGATGACGATTTAATACGAACTGAGTAATTACTAGTAGTGACAAGCAGTGGGTACAATAGAGTGTTCTGTTATATCGTTATTATTATTATCAACATCAATAAACTATGAACGCTATCGTTCCCTCCAAATATAGCATAAAAATAGATTAAATATCTACATTCTAAAATGTGAGGAAAACCAGCATTAAAGAAAAATATTTTTGGCGGTCTAGTTTTTTCCCCTCCGCGGGTCGGACCTGGCTCGCGAGCCGCCTGTTGCCGACCCCTGATGTATATAATGCAATACAGAAAACCAAACCAAACTAAGCTGCAGGTTTCGATGGGGTATATTCTGAGTATTGTTAAATTCGCAGGACCAAGAACCCATACCTGGTTAACTGCGTTTTACGATATTGTAAATACTGCAAAAATACCAAAGCAATTTAAAAAAAATGAAGATTGCGTTACTTAAACCTTGGAAGGACGGTTACGAAGCCGCAGAATACCGACCTATATCATTGCTGAGCGTTACTTATAATGCTGCGTCCACACCTAACAAACGTTTGGGGAAACATTGTTTGTCAAACATATGTCGAACGTTTGAAAAACATTTTTCGAACGTTTGTCAAACATTTTATTAATGACAACAAACGTTTGTTTATAATTTGTTGTTCGCTATATGTTTGCCATCAGTCGTGACCATGTCAGATATAGATCAAGTCGCATGCTGCATTGGCGCTGCTGCGTTTGTTATAATGCGTAATAAAATATCAAAAAAAAAAAAAAATTAATAAAAAAAGAAGTTGGTGGGAAAGACAACTTTTTCAGAGAAGAAAGACTTACAATGGTGAGAATTTCATTTTAGATTTACATGACAGTGATTTATTTAGTAATTTTACCAGAATATAGTCTCGCTATAGTCTGGAATATCACACAATAATTTAAAAATAGTATATTGTTTAAATAGTAAAGCTATTGACACACCTCGCGTATGTATCCGTTCAGAATTTAAAATTATTAAATTACATTAATAAACATTTAATTAAATAATTAAATTATATAAATTATGATTATTATTTAAATTAATATTATATAACGTTCGACAAACGTTTGCTAGTTTTTTTTGGTGTTCGGCGAACGTTTGACAAACGTTTTTCTAATTGTTTGTTAGGTGTGGACGCAGCATAAGATATTAGAACGTATACAACTGTATATCGTAGAAGTGATTCCAGTTGAGCGGGCCGCACGGCACCATTTTTGAAAGGAAATATTGTGCCCAACATGATTTGGGCATTGTAGATAAAAAAATTGAAAATGTTAAAAATAAAATAATACATCTTACTAAGCACTTCAATAAACATAAAACCTTGTTTAAAACAGTATTATCCATTGAATCATTTATTTATTAATAAAATGTAATGTTAGGTACATAGTATTACATTATTTTAGATTCTAAGTGGAACGAAGAAGCTTATGGTTTTACAAAGATGTTTATTTTTTTTATCTGTTAACAACTTTTCTACCAGCAATATCGCTCCAATTTATAATGATAGCAATGTTTTTAAAAGGAAATTTGACTGGGGAGGTACTTTAAGGAGGTTATTTTTCTATTTTCTTAAGAGTTTTCCCAGTAAATGTGAAAAACGGGAAAAACATGAGAAATCGAGAAAAACGTAGAAAAAACAGGAAAATCGGTACAACATTAAACAAATATTATTAATAAATATATATAATGCCTATTTGCCAGGGCATATTCACATTTCCTGAGAAAATTGAAAAACGACTTCCTCTAAAGTACTTCCCCAGTGAAATATTCTTTTAGAAAAATTGCTATCGTTATAGAGCAAACTTGCTAGTAGAAAAGTTGTCCACAGAAAAAAAATTCGTAATATACAAATATATTTCGTACATTTTCCCATTATTTTTCGGTTTTTCGAATTTGGTTAGAAAACTCTTTAGAAAATCGAAAAATGACCTGTATAAGGAACCTGCCCCCCACACCGATTTCTTTTCAGAAAAAGTGCTACACGTAAAAGTCGGAGCAAGTTCTCTAGTAGAAAAATTGTCCATAGAAAAAAAAAAATCAACATCTTTGTAAAACCATAAGTTTCTTCACTTCACTCAGAATCTAAAATTAAAAAAAATGTGTACAATATATTTTTAAATATTTGTACAAGGGTCTAGTAAAACAGGGGCACCAAACTTTTTTACAGTTTTAACAGCTATACTGCAGTAATGGGCAACTGTACGGTTGCGTCGCGGCTATTGCATGCAGTACTAATTAACAATTAATGTCAATTTTTTTATAATTTGTTTTTCTGTTCAAGGTATCCCAAACACGTTTACTTTATAATCGAGCGCGCTCGCTCGTATACTATAATACTATGCGGACACGTGAAAAAAAAAACCGACGATGACCAGTAGAGGGCAAAAAGGGCAACTGGTATAATGCGTGCGTTATAATAATATAAATATTTTATTATTGTCAGTCGCTAACGAATATCGCAGCAAGTGGCGAGCACTTCTAAAAAAACAACAAAAAACGATCTGTATGATGAGTACGCGTGATATAGTATACGCCTATTATATTATATTAAATTTATAAATAAATTGTATATATATTCTTAAATATAATTTCTATAAATGTTATATTAATATACTTTGTGTGTGTGTGTGTGTGTGCTAGTTCGACCAGCTGCAGATATTATATTGTTTTATTTGTCGTTGTCGGCTACCATAATATTATCATAGATATAGGTACCAGAGGTACCTATATTTACTCTTCACGTCTATAGTATAGATAATACCTATAATATATATATAGTGTCATACACTCGACGCGGGCGTGAGATTACGTGAATTGTACGTGCCGGCGATAATATAATAATAAATTATAATAAAAAAATCTTCTATTAAAAACAGAGGGAAAGAATAAAAGCTATTGAAATATTTTGCGATATTGCACGCACATAGTTATACGCCCGTCAACAAGTGTGCGGTGCGGTATAAAAATCGTTTGTCATCTCCGGGAACTTATCTCGAGTGTATGCGCCGCCGTCGTCTTAAAGGATTTTTTTCCCCGCGTCCGTCCGCTATAATTTCGATACCCGATGGCGGTCGTCACCTGCGCCGTAACCGCCACAGCTATGATGTTTTCCGCTGCGTTCGAATTCACCATGGTGTCCGTCGTCATGTTCGTGTCCAGCGCCGGTGCGGCCGTAGCCGTCGCTGCTGTTATCGCGTACACAGTGTATAACAGGCTCAATAGGTGAGTGAATACAGACATTATTACCTACTATAGTTATCAATCCTAAGTCGGACAGCAGTTGACCGATCTTTTGGTTTTTAACTAGGTTTAGTTTAGGTTATGAGTTATCCTCGACGAAAACAAAAAATTAACTGAACTGAGTTATTATTAATTTTAAAATATATAATATGAGTTTAAGTAGGTAAACTAAGTTGAATTACTCATGTTCAGGAAAATAATAAATTAAGTTCAGTTAAAAGTTGCTTTTAAAAAAAAAATACAACAAACTACACTACGTACTTTTAACTTTTTTACCATAGTTACTACTCACTGCCCAGTTTTGATTATTATCACTCGCGAATTTTTCCTCCATCCGCGCTATAAAATACTCGTTTTATGAATGTAAACCAATTTCCGTCAAATTCGTGAATATCGCAATAACACTGGGCTTTACTTGCATACACTACTATCTTCTTTTCTCACTCGATCAGGCCTATGACTGATGGAACGGTTAGGTTCGGTATGGTATGATATGGTAAAATAAATACATTAAATTGGAGTAAAATTGCTGGTAGAAAAGTTGTTCACAAAAAAAGCCGTAATATTTTTTTACTAATATATATACGCATATTTCGTTCATTTTACCGTTTTTATTCTGCTTTTTCACGGTTTTTTAATTTATTTGGAAAACTCCTGGGAAAATCAAATAATAATCTCCCTAAAATACCACCTCAGTCAGATTCCTTTCAGAAAAAGTGCTACATTTGTAAAACGGTTTTTTTTCAAATTACGGCGAAATGATTTCATTAAGTATTTTTAATTTTTTACGGCTTTATGTTTTTACCATAAATATTGCTTCAATTTAAAAACAACAAAAGATCTATTTTGTTGATATTTTAATTTGGTTGGTGACGAAGAAAGTCGTTGTTTAAGTTTCTTTGTAGTTTTTTTTAATAATTGAGGGAAACTGAAAAATACGTAGAAATTACAGGAAAATTTACAAAAATAATTCTATTATTATTTTAAATTTTATTTTTTTAATATAATCCAGTTAAAAATATTCGTAGGAACTTGAAATTTTGACAGAAACTATATTTACTTTTTATAGACGTGGTAAAACTTTCAGAACTTTTGATACATTTTTGAGCTATTTATAGATGTTTTAATTTTATGAGTTTTAACGTAATTTTTATTTGATAGAAGGTTCATTATAAGTCGTACTTAGTGGTAAAAATAAAAATAAAATTATTTAATACAGTATTTTTTTTTTCATAAGAGTTTAATCCAATTTTAACGAAAATTGTAAATATTACGTTCTTTCAAAATATGTATAAGCGAACATTGCTCTGAATTGTTTTTCGTTAGTTATGGTTTATCGTCGGTTACAGAAATAAATTAAATAACTTTATGTATTCCACCTTCTCAATTGCTCAATTACAACAGTGGCCGCACCCGTCCCTCCCGTATTTTTTTCAATTGTCTGTTTTTCCTAGACTCGTGCAAATGGTGCACAATATTTTACGTTCTCAAATATAATAAAATAATAATGTGACGATAATATTATATATTTAATACGGGTCTAGACAAAAAAGCGAAACAAATAACCGCGTGTTATTTGTTCAACCATGAATATACCTACTACTTAGAGATTACATTTTGTTGACATCACTATAGTCTATAATCTATAAGGTTGTATAAATGTGTATTAATGTCCCATGGCTAAAATAATAGTATAATATTGTATTATATAATACAATGAAAAATTGCATATAATTTTGTATAAACGAAATAATGCATTACAAAAAATCCAATAATAATGTAGGAACCTATAATATTATATACCATCATTCATAGGATATTATATGTTGTTAAAACTTAAACAACATAAAAATTAATTTTAAAAATACATGATTACATGATTTAAAAAAATATTATTTTTAATGAGTTTCGACGACGGGTATGTATTTTAATATAATATGTATACATTATCCGTGTAGCCATAATAAACAAAGGTGTTTCGCTTTAATTAAAAGAAAGAAGAAACAAATACCTATCTATAAAGATGTAATATTTTAATTATTATCGTATTATAATTGTCAGTGTTTTACCAAAAATTTTTGTAGTAAATAAACTACAACTTTAAAAAATATGGCAATTTTGAGTGATAGTACTTAATTTATATAAAAAAAGTTAGATTCTGAGTGGTGCGAAGAAGCTTATGGTTTTACAAAGATGTTTTTTTTTGACTGTGGACAACTTTTCTACCAGAGATCTTTCTTCGATTTTTATGTGTAGCACCTTTTTTGAAAGTAAATCCGTGTGAAGAGGTAATTTAGGGAGGTAATTTTTCGATTTTTTCACGAGTTTTCTCAACAAATGTGAAAAATCGGGAAAAAAACATGGGAAAACCGGGAAAAATGTAGGGGAAACTCGGTACAACATTAAACAAATTTTATTAAAGAAAATATATAAAGACAATTTAATTATTTTACTATAATATGACCTCCCTTAAGTATTTCCTCACACCGATTTCCTTTCTGAAAAGATGTTATACTTAAAAATAAAACCAATTTTTCTGGTAAAAAAGTTGCGCACAGACAAAAAAAATAAATGTCTTTGTAAAACCATAAGCTTCTTCACCCCACTCAGAATCTAAAACCACGATTAATACGTATTAGATAACACCCAACCAGTTTACCGAACTTCGTTTTTGATTGCCATTATTTATAGGTCAATTATTAGTATATAAAATAATCTAAATTACTCTATTATATCCATTACTCAATTACCTTTAAAACTTCCCACCTACAACTGTAGCCTACGCTTACGGTCTACCCATGATCTGAAGCAAATGTTTGGCTTTTTATTTATAAAATATCTACAGTGTAGACTTTACACGAAATTATACAATACATATGACGTGTCCTTATACATTTATAATTTAGTTACTTAATTTTGTACTGTACCATCAATTTTAAAACTCAATTGCGAAATAAACATTTTAGATTCTGAGTAAAGCGAAGAAGCCTATGGTTTTACAAAGATGTTTATTTTTTTTATCTTTTAATAACTTTTCTACCAGTAGTTTCGCCCCAATTTTTAATGATAGCAATTTTTTAAAAGGAAATTTGATTATGGAGGTATATTACGGAAGTAATTTTTCAATTTACTTAAGAGTTTTCCCAGCAAATGTGAAAAACGTAAAAACATGGGAAATCGGGAAAAAACGTAGAAAAAACGGAAAAATCGGTACAACATTAAACAAATATTATTAATAAATATATATAACGCCTATTTAATTATTTTACCATAATATGTCATATATATTGTTGAAAAACATCATTATTAACTGATTTCTGATTTCTGATGATCTGATGATTTTTTTTAAATAAGTAGCATGTCTCTGCGCTACATTTTATATATGAATATTTTTTTTTTCTAGGGGAAGGGGGATTAAAAATTAAAATTTTACTTTAATTTTTAAAAAAATTCAAAATAGCTATTTTATAAAATAGATTTGTAGAAAATGTTTAGTGGTTGTTAGGTTAGATTAGGTTAGATAAAGTGTGGTCTTTTATATTTTACGATTTTTTGAAGTTTTTGCAAATGTGAATACAAAATATTGTGGTTATTTTATTACAATATTTAATCATATATTAGTCAAGATACATGACAAGGATTTTCTTTTTCATGAGTTAATATCATGCAATAATATTATCATATTACAGGTATGAGGTAATGTATATTAGAAAAGTCAATCAATAATGGTAAGTTATGTTGATAAATAATATTGTTATGATTGAAAAGAAAATTATTTAAATTTTCAAAAAAATGTAGAAAATAAAAGACATATGGTGTTGTGGGACACCCTGTTGATGGATATCATTTACCCTTAATAATGGAGTAATCGTGCTTAATGAATCACTCTGTATATTGTTATTAGGGTTCATATTTCAATGCATTTGCATCTTTTTTTTTAGAATGTCTTGCACGGTGCTTTTTAAGCTACAAATGTATTACAAGTACTCTAAGTTGTAACTATAAACAATTTTTGCGGAATTTTTTGCATTTTTAGTGGATCATTTTTGACGTTTTCAATGCATTTAAAGACATTTTGGACGTATTTCTGATATTATGACTAAAAATAACTTTATTAAAATATAAACATAGTACTATATAATAAAAATTATTTTTATCTTGAACAATATAACAGTAATCAGGTAATCTGGTTTTAAATTAGATGAGGTAACTTTTATCGGAGTATTTTCTTATCGAGCGATAAAATTATATCGGTGGTGCGTGTGACCGACTACCGAACGCTTTTAATCCGTTTAATTTATTGAAAGAGTATTTAAATCCGAGCCTTAATTATTATTATTATATTATACGAAACGTTTCCTCAATATTTTCTTGAACAAAAAGTACTACGACACTATAGTATATATTTTTCATATTGTGTACGCATGTAATACTTGAACAATGAAAAATATTAAATTACGTACGCATTGTAAACAAAGTTTAGCATCTTGTATCATCACGGAGGTTTGGCGTTACCATTTCGTTCCGGGTATCGTTATAACCTTCGTGGATTCAACCGTAAAGACCCAGTTTTACAAGTTTTGTAATAGTTACTATATAAACATTATATTTGTATCTTAAATACTATATTTATTTTCCACTTGTTAAACTAGAAATTCTGAAAAAAATTACCATATACATTAATAGATATATAATATATTGTATTATGTATGATAACACGTCTATTTGGATTGTTATTTCCGCAGTTTCAAAGAGAGTACAAGTATAATTTTTACTTGCATTTAATAAAATATTAGTTATTTCGGTAAAAAATATTTATTTCATATATAATTCAAAAAATATCGCACATTCCTTTCATGTATTAAGCTGACACCAACTTTGAGATATATTTCTGAACATTGTTATGTATAATATGTATTTCTGAACTCTCCACGAATTCCTTCAGTCTAATCATGTAGCCATGCTAAATTAAAAGAATGAACTAAATCTAAATTATCTAAAAATCTAAATATATCTACGTGGCGAACAGAACAAATTTGACGAGGAGAAAAAACGAAAATTTCCTTATTTTTCATTTTTTCGCTTCATTAAACATTATATGGCGATTTGTATTATTTCTCTAAAATGCACGTTATTGTTCAATCAGAGCCCTCTTTTTGAGTTCAGGTTGTACAATGTTATACTCATATTGACCTTGTGGTTTTAAAATGTACACCTTGAATTTAATTTGAAATTGTCTTAAAATTGTTTGAAAAATAATGACGACAATATTAAACAAAAATTTGAGTTTGCCATTTCAAAACTAGAAAATCAAATAAGAATGTAACATTTTTAAAAACCTATATAAAAAAAAATAAAAATAAGTTTTCGAAAATAATTGTCTGATAATATTAAGTAGGTAGGTGATTAGCTAGTAATACTTGTATTACTTATTTAATTCATCTTAATTTCTAGTCAACCATGCATCTGATCTATAGTTCAACAAAAACGTAAACGAATACTATAACAAGTCAAAGTGCACAGATTATTAATTATACATTTTAGATTCTAAGGGAAGCGAAGAATGTATATTGGTTTTCCAATAATGTTAATTATTTTACCAGCAAGTTTGCTTCGATTTTCAAGCATACCTTTTTTTCTAAATGAAAATCTGACTATGGTGGTACTATAAGAAGGTAATTTTTGATTTTCCCAGCTGTTTTCATAATAAATGGGAAAAACTGGGAAAAAACTTAGGAAAAACGGAAAAATAGGTACAATATTAAACAAATATTATTAAAAAAAATATATAATGCATATGTAATTATTTTGAAATAATGTGACATCTATATTGTTGAAAAATCAATACTATTAACCGAACTCTGCTCAGAATCGTTTTTCGTTAGCAATGGTTAATCTTTACGTACAGATATACATACAATTTCCCCTCTACCTTCTCAACTTCTCACCTACAACAGTGGTCCACTGAAGTATGTTCGTCTTGATTATTACTAAATTGCTAAATGCTCTAATAATAAAACAGCTTTTTTGTACAAACATATTGCATACATTTTCTCTGTAGTCATTTGATACTTATTAAAAACATATAATCTAAAATACAATTGGATAATGAAAAATGCAATATTTATGTTTTATTTAAGAATGTTCCTAAATTTTATTATGATGATTAAGAAGTAGTACCTAGAAGTACCTATGGCGGTTTTCTTATAAATTTTTAATTTTAATGTAATGATGAAACGATTAAGTTATTTTCAAGGTGAACCTTGGTTAAGTTTTATTATTCAACTGGATAGATATATGTTATCATGATATACCAATCTTAATATTTTAATTTTAATATTTCAATGTCAAAAATGTTATTCCGCAAATATTGTTCCGGGAAAACATATTAATCCAAAAATTAGAAAAAAATAAAATGAATATCTAACGTCAGTAAAGTCTTTACTAAAATAATTGATAATAATTATTTACAAAGAATGATTCGTTAATTCAATATCAACGTGTTAATAAATAATTTGGTGAGATTGATTAATGAATATTTTGCCTGGGAAAATAAGAACCAAACCCATTAAGTATGAATATAAATTAGCCTAAACTAGACCATAATATTATATCATATACGTAACAAGAGAAAACAATGTTTTAGGGGGGAGGGGATTGGGCGTACTAAAATCCTACACTATGATATACATTACGCGAATCTACGTTATTTGGGCGTAGGAAAATTTTGCGATTTTTTTTGTTTATCAAGTTAATGTGATATAAATCCTATTCATCCAAAAATCTGAAAATACAGATTTTGAATCGAAAATTCTAATTTCAGTTTATAAAATCAATTGTATATATTTGTATGTTCATTAAATGATTTTATTTATTTATTTTACAAATTTACGGACGTAGCCCTTGTTTAAAAGAACAATATACATTAGGACAATAAAGGTAGATAAATAACATAGTCATTACATATTATAAACAAACATAAGAAAAGAGAGATCCGTATTGGCGCGAGACATTAGTCATTTAATAGGTTCATTGCGTATATAGTATATAGCATTAGTACATAGTATATTGCGTATATAGCAAACTATATAACAACTTCTCTATCAGAAGACTTGCTCGGATTTCTAAGTGTACTTTAGGGTGTATTAAGTGTACTCTACTAGGGAAGTACTTTAGAGAGGTAATTTTTCGATTTTCTCAGGAGTTTTCTCATCAAATTTGAAAAACTGAACAAAACTGGAAAATATAAGAAATGTAGGTGTTAGTTAAAATATATTATGGCCTTAAAGAAAATATATAAAGCCTATTTAATTATTTTACTATAAAATGGCATATATATTCTTTTATTCTTTTATTCATACGGACATAAAGTTCAATAACAAAATAAATATACATTTATATATAATAGCATATCACGTAGTAATTAAATTTACATTTTTTTTAAATTTACTAAAATAATTCACAAACAAACCAACAATTGTGTACATTTTATTATTAGCCCATTTTACAAAAGGATAAATCGGAGAATTAGACATTAAATTGGTTGTTGCTACAGACAAATAAAATAATTCTACACATCTTAAAGTACTTAAAAAACCTTAAAATTTGGAAAGGTAGAATAAGGATCGTACCTTTCTCATCTGGTGTTTCCAAAGGGGAAACACCAGATGATACATGAATAGGTGATGAAAAAAACTGTTTATATTTTACTATTTGTTGTCTGTTCATTATGAATGACATAAACCATGATAACAACGAATTACTTACTCCAATAGAATTTAATTTTTGTGTAAGCTAAAAGTGATTTACTCTATCAAACGTTTTTGAAAAATACATATAAATCACATCAGTTTAGTAGTTATTAACTGTATAGTTCAAAATAGTTTAAAAGAAAGAAATTAAATTTATATTCGTTGAACGTTTAAAGTAAAACCCATGTTAACTATTAGATATTATATTACTGAACAGAGGACTTATTTATTTAGAAATTAAATCTTCTAGTGTCTTTGGTAATATTGAAATGATAGATAATGGTCGACAGTTTTTTACGTCATTTAAATTTCCGGTTTTTGATATAGGTGTGATATAAGAAGTTTTCCAATAATCTGGATAAGTGCCAATTGAAATTGATAGATTAAAAGAAAAAAGTAAGATAATGGAAACGGGTGCAGCTACTGATGAAGGTGGGAAGTTGGGAAGGTAGGATATAGACGGAAATTTAATGTATATTTATATGCAATGATAAACCATTGCTTAAGAAAAAAACGATTCTGAGCGATGGGTAGTCCAGTTGATAATGATGCTTTGTTCACAATATATATTATGTCATTTTATAGTAAAATAATTAATTAGACTTTATATATTTTCTTTAATAAAATTTCTTTGATGCTGTACCGATTTTCTCGATTTACCTACGTTTTCCCGGTGCACCTATGTTTTTCCCAGTTTTTCACATTTGCTGGGAAAACTCTTGAGAAAATCAAAATTAAATGACCTCTCTAAAATACCATTTCAGTGAAATTTTTTTTTAGAAAAATTGCTATCATTATAGGTTGGAGCAAAATTTCTGGTAGAATAATTGTCCACAAAAAATAATAATTGTAAATAATATTTATTATATTAGGTAAATTTTCCCGTTTTATTTTCGGTTTTTAAATTAAATAAGAAAACTCTTGAGAAAATCGAAAAGTGACCTCCCTAAAGTACTTATCACGTCAATTTCCTTTCATAAAACTTTCGCTCCACTCAGAATCTAAAATATAATAATTAGATGCCACAATGTTATTAATACAGGATTTTAAAAAATTAACTGCTAGTCTATCTGATCCCGTAAGCAATGGTATATCGTTGCTAACAGGTATACATTAAATTATCTATAACAGTGACTGCACCCGTCCCCATTATCCTGGGACGTCTTTTATTACTTGTTTCTTAATTTTCTCATTGTACATTCAGTATTTAAACAAAAAAATTATTATTCTTAATATATTTTAAAGTTTTTGTACGATATAATATACATTACGTTAAGTATGATTAATGAAATCATGTGTTTGCTCCATATAAATAGTAATAAATGTATAAGAGATCGTCACACCCACATTCGTTAATATCTTATACTCGTATATTACGTATAACATAACTAATTTCGACGTGTTAAATCATAAAACACAAATATAAAGATCATAACTAACGGGTTTAAATAATTTAATGTTCAACAAAGTTTATATTAGATTAATATTATGGATTATTGTTGACCAAGGTACTATAATATAAATGTTGAAATTATTGAACTTTAAAATAGTAAGACAAGAACAACTATATGAACGTGGGTGAGACGGCATTTTAAAATGATATTGGTATATACTTAAAAGTTGAAAAAAACAGCTGATACTCGGGATGGGAGTTGTAGGTGGGTAGTTGGGAAGGTGGGATATATAAAGTTATTCAATTTATATTTATAATCAACGATAAACTGTTACTAACGAAAAACGATTCGGATCGAAGTTCGGTTATATACATTTTGAAAAGCCATAGTATTTACGATTTTCGTCAAAATAACATAAAACTTTTATGAAAAAAAAAAATATACCATATAAAAATAAATTTTTTTTTTACCACTAAGTATGATTTACGAGTATAATGAACCTTTTGTCATATTTTCAAGTATTTTTGTTAAGTATAATAATTTTATCCACATAGTATACTAACTGTAGTTAAATGATGTAAAAAACTTGCAAAACTTAAATGTCTGTAAGTTTCTCAAATGTTTTGAAAGTTTTGCCACGTCTAGGAAAGTATAAGTTTTCTATCAAAATTTCAAATCTCTACGAATACTTTTACCTGAATTACATTGTAAAAACAAAATTTAAAATAATAAAAGAAATATTTTCGTAATTTTTTCCGTACTTTCTATATATTTTTCATTTTTGTTTATTTATTTAAAAATTATGCAGATAATCAAAAAATTAGTTTCTTACCAAAAGGATTTCTTGTCGATTTTGTTATTGGAGGCATATATCAGATAGAAAACGAAATGCGTGAAAGTTTTAAGTAATAAAATAGTATACGACCGTAAATTTGTCAGTTTTAATTTTTTTTATCTTTTTCGGGGTTTTCTCAATTATTTTAAAAGTTACCAAGGAAATCAAAAAACGAACAAGTTACTCACGAACTAGATCAAAAATTCAACAAAATAGGTCTCTTGTTAATTTTCTATTGGAACAATTTTTATGGTAAAAAAAAAACAAGTTTTACAAACTTAAAATAATGAAATCCTTGTGCCATAATTTAAAAAAAATCGTATTTTTTTGGTTTTTTCCAATTATAATGAACAATTTTCGATTAGATTAATATTTTTGGTGTAAAACGTCGCAACGCATCGTAAATATTTGCCGTTTTATCTATAATTTTCTTTCGGGGTTTTCCCAATTATTTTGAAAATCCCTTAGGAAATCTAAAAATTACACCTGTAATCTAGCAACTAGAGAAAATGAACTTTCAGAAAAGATACTACACTTGATCGTTGGAGCAAATTTTCTTGTAGAAAAGTTGTTCACAGACAGAAAAAAAATATACACATCATAATAAAACCAATAGATCCCTCGTGACGCACTGAATGTTAAATAAATATCATAGAAATGACATCAGTGGTACGCGTTATAATATTCTGATGTTCTAGTTTTTTTATGTTTATATTTTGCCTCATTTACCAATAACTATTTCTGAATTAAACTTTTTGTAACTTTCACATATGTGACAATGCTGAGAAATTATAGTTTGTATATTTACTATTCTCCTGTTTTTTTCGTAGTGAAGGGAATCCAAGTGTCGAAATTGTTTGGTTTTTTTTACCACGATTTTGATAAAGTGAAAGGTGAATGTCCCGAGCACGATCATTATTGTTGCTGTATATTATACACGCGGTGATCATCAATTTTGGTTCTGTAAGGGTTCTCAAATATATAAGCTTTAAATCTGACACATCTTATTATTTCATAGTTTTCTATTGATATATTACTTGATACGTGTACTTTTTTTATACAATAGTTTTGCTTAATATTTGAGGTAATTTTAAGGAGGATATTACGAGTTCGTACGCCGCAGAGCATAATGTATAAGTTGAACAAGGTCGGAATAATAGTAGCATTGTGTAGGTACGTTGCTCGAGTAGAATACATTTTGGGGTTGTTGCATAATAATATATTTTATAGGTACAATAACCGCTGTACTGTGCGATAAGTTTTAACTGAGTAGGTACAAATTTAAAACTATCACTGTCTCTGGGAGACAGTGATGTGCTTAAAAATGTTCAATGTGAGAGATTTTAACAAATAATAAAAATATGAGTAATTATGAATACACGAGTACATCATAGAATCTTCTTCTCTACCTAACTTTGTTATGTTATGTGCATTTAAAAGCCCGATCCTAAAAAGCTAATTATAGATCAGTAAATCAAACTTTCCTTGTGACTTGACTGAAATATATACATCCTAAAAATAAATTACTAGATAGTTACTAACATTTTTGTATTTCTAAGCCAATGAAAGGAATATTACCACTAACGTTCCCTGCTCACGCCACTGCTGAGAGACAATTTTATTATATTTGTTGCCGAGAATTTTAATATATTAGCCTTGTGATGTAATGGTATGAGTAATACTTAAAATTTATATTGTATTATTTCAAAAGATTAATTTGCCAGATCGATTATGACGTGTTTATTTATTTTTTTTTTTATTAGAAACATAATAATACCGCAATGGTTACATACAGAAAAAAAAACAAACAATAGTGCTAACGGAGGGTTATAATTTGTTGGAATTGTAATTTGTCGGAAATGGGTTTTTTGGAAACATATTTTGTTAGAAAAATAAATTGTTGGAAAGAATTTTGCTGGAAAAATATTACGTCGGAAAGTTTTTAGTCAAAAAAATAATTCGTCTGAAAATAAGTTGTCGGAACTGTAGTTTATCAGAAAATAATTTTTACCCAACGACGATAACATGTAGTCATGAAGTGACTATGAAGAAATTATATTGAACAGTTTCGACGAAATACTTTCTGATGAATTATTTTTCCAACAAAACAATGCCGACAAATTATTTTTTCGAAAATAAACTTTCCAACGTAATATTTTTCCGACAAAATACTTCTATTTCTAAAGCGGAAAAACATAAAAGGTGAATTAACATTTCTTCTATAAGTCGATTTCTATCCTTTGATTTGATAAAAATAATAATATCTCACTCCGAAGTTCAAAGAAACCCACAGATGTTCTTAAATTTTCAATAGAAGTAATGATACCTTTGATAAGGTTCCTTGTTTTCCCAAGAAAGTTATCTCTTGTAGTTTTTTCGTTGAAATGTTAATTATAGAAAGAACGTTATGTAATATGAATAAATGAATAGTAAACCTGGAATACTTGAAAGTATTCCAAAGAAAAATCAATTTTAACAAAATGATTTAAATAGAAATAATTAGCAATTTAAAATTCAAAAAATTACCTATTGCTTCATTCACATCTCTATTAATTGCATCTTAAATTTATTTTTCTAATGCAAGACTGTTGCTTTTAAACTTTTTGTACATAATATTAAAAAAAAAAAAAAAAATAAACATCTTAGTAAAACCAATACATTCTTCACTACACTCAGAATCTAAAATAGTTACTTAGGAATAAAATGTATTTAAAATTGTTGGATTGTACTCAAAAAAATTACCCAGTATATATGTTGCATATATTAACAACATAATATGTATGAACGACTGTCATAATAGTGATTGTTTGTATTGGAAGTTGTTCATTGTATATTTTTTTCTCTTTGAACAGTAGTGGAACGATGAAAACTTCTAAATGCAATAAAACACCATTCGCAGACTATAATATAAACTCGTTTCGTTTTACGCTTCTAGGTGTAGTATATATAGGTTGTACCTGTTGCTGTACTAATTTCATATGGATAATAATATTAAAAAAAAACCTATCAAATAACAACACACCTGATATCATATATATATATAGGTAGATACTTACTTATTGCGTTATTTATCGAAGGTTCCATTTTTAGTGTTTCAAACAAATTCTCAATAAGAAAAAAAAAAATTAAATATCTAACCAACGTTCAGATTCTAATACCTATTATTATAGACGTAGGTATATGCGATACAATTATGCCTACTGAAATGGCTATGAGTTTAAAATACAATACTTTATACAATTAAAATGGACATGTTTACATGTGGAGGAAGCAAGAATCAATGATTAAAAAAGAGCTGATATTGGAGATGGGTGCGGCCACTGTGACCCACATAGGTGGGTAGTTGGGAAATTAGTACACATAAAGTTATTTATTATATTATTAATCAACAATAAGTCGATAAACCATTTCTAACGAAAAACAATTCGGAGCGAAGTTTGGTTATACATTATACATGTTTTGAAAGGCCGTAGTATTTACGATCAAAATTTGATTTTAACTCTTATAAAAAAAAAAATAAATTATATAACACTCAATTTTTTTTCGACCACTAACTACGACTTATAATGAACCTACTATCATATTTTCAAGCATTTTTGTTCAATCTAACAATTTTATCTACATCTGAGGTACCTTACCAAATAAAAATTACGTAAAAACTCCCAAAATTAAAATATCTACAAATAGTTAAAAAGTTTTGATCATTTTACCATGCCTAGAAAAAGCAAATATAAATTTTCTGTCAAAATTAAAAACAAAATTTCAAATAATGAAAGAATTATTTCCGTAAACATTTCCTTTCTTTCTAGATGTTTTTGGTTTTACTCAATTATTAAAAAAACTAAAAAATATATGGTGAAATAATTAAATAAGATTATATATTTTTTTTAATAATATTTGTTTAATATTGTATCGGTTTTCTCGTTTTTCCTCCGTTTATTCTGGTTTTTCTCGATTTTTTACATTTGCTGGGAAAACTCTTGAGAAAATCGAAAAATGACTTATTTAAAATTCCTTTCTAGATAGATTTCAATTCAGAAAAAGTTCTATCATGTAAATCGGAGCAAAATTGCTGGTAGAAAAGTTGTCCACAAAAAAAAAAAATCGTAATATTTTACTAATATATTTTGTGCATTTTCCCGTTTTCCCTATTTTTTTTTTCGGTTTTTCACATTTGACGAGAAAACTCCTGAAAAATCAAAATATGACCATTTTAAAGTACCACCCCAAGAAAATGTATTTTCAAAAAAGGGTCTACATCGTATACATCGAAGTAAACTTTCTGGTAGAAAAATGTTCACATAAAAAGAAAAAATAATAATCATCCTTGTAAAACCAATACATTCTTCGCCACACTCAGAATCTAAACAACAATTTTCTTTGATAATGGCTATATTATGTTAAAAGAAACAAAATCAATCTATTGTTATTTTTAGATTAGAGCAATAATTTTAGTAGAAAATATTGTGTATACAAATTTTCAATAGTGAAACGCTATTACCTTCTATAAATATTTACCGTTTTACCTATACTTTTCTTTCAGGTTGTTCCCAATCATTTCGGAAATCCCTTGGAAAATCATAAAATTACTTTTTAATGCACTAACTAGATACAAATTTCTTTCAGAAAATGTACTATATTTTACACACCGGAGCAAGATTTTTTTCGAAAAGATGTTTACAGACAGAAAACAAAAAACACACATCATAGTAAAACCAATAGATCCCTCGCAATGTTCCAAATCTAAAAAGACGGATAAAGATGAATTCGATTTATAGTTTGATTTGAATTTTATCTTCGTGTAATATTATATTACGTACTGTATAAAAATGTCAAGGATAAGTGAATTTCATGGGGTCCAGTGCATATAAAAGAGTACTTGAAAATCACACTTTTACTATCGACTGCATATTATATTATGCTTATATAAATCTATGTATTATAGAAAAAAAAAAAATGATATTAAATATTTTTGACTTTTTCTTTATTTTATATTTTTTTATAATAGTTGGCTGTAGTTTTACATAAGAAAAAAATAAGACAAATCATCCGTCGGCTTTAAAAACTGGTGTTTTGCAACTATATAGGAACATAATATCACACAATAGGTATTCATTATTATCGCATGCACCATTTGTTACTGTTATTATATTATATTGTTCATTTTTTTTTTTTTTTTTTAATTTTTTACCGTCCCTCCGCATGGATATTAGAATTATTATTATTATTATCATACATCGTAACTTTACCTCTGCTATTGGGCATCATATTAAATGTGAACGCACTCGTCTGTATACATAGAGCGTTTGCCGGTGTAAGGAGACTGTCAGTAGTCCGCATCACCACGATCCGACCAGAATGTAGGAACGAATTCTGTCTGTTTTCGTACATTTTATTATTTTTTTTTAGTACCTATATAATAATGTTGCATAATGTTTTATTTATTATGTTCTCGATCAATTGATTTTTTTTTGTTAAAAACCTGTTGGATTATATATATATCCAAATTTTAAAAATAAATAATATTAACTTCTCTGTTATTATCCATTATGAGTTTTGTTCACTGATCCGACTCAAAAAACAACAGTACCTAACATATAGAATAGATATTCTTTCACAAAACGTAAGTCGTTTAAATTATATCTATATACTATGTACATTTTAACACTTATTACACTCAAAAAATGAACCTAAAATTTGCTTAGATATTATATTATATTATGTAATTTGCATTAAACATTATTTGTTAACCTATTTATGTTCACCTATGTTAACCTATGTTTTATGTTCAGTGTATTTATTTTGTTATTTCCTAAGAATTTTGTTGAAAAAAATTTCAACGACCTTAAGGTAGCGACCTAGGAACTGAATGCTTTTTGCCGACTAATTTATTAATGTTATTATTTTTTTAGATTTTGATTTATTGGTTTTACTATGATGTGTTTTTATATGGTTTGAAAATAATTTTTCATCAAAAATCTTGCTTATATCAAAAATATTATAGGAAATTTATTGTAGAATTGTTTTATCTAGTTGCTTCATTGCGTCTTTCTCGTGTTTTTATTGTCCGTGACCTTAACCGATGGTATTATGCATTTTATATTTATATACTACATAGATTTGTGTATGGTGGTAAATATCGTCCGATTCGGATAAAATTTGTATTTTATATTCTGATCGGAAAGAGAAATTTATTGGTTTTACTATGACAGTGATTTATTTTCTTTTGTGTCCGTAAACTACTTTTTTACCATAAATCGTGTTTCAACCAAAAATTGTAGAGGAATTTTTTTGTAGCATTTTTGATCTAGTTAATGTACGTAATTTTTTGATTTTCCTTGTAGTTTTCTTGATAAATGGGAAAAATTAACAATTATTGGTATAATTTTAGTTGATGTCTGAGTTAGGTTGGCAATAAGAGGAAAATACGACTATAAGACCTTGTTCAGAATTGTTTTTCGTAAGTCATGGTACAGATATAAATTGAATTACTTCTTATATTGTAAATATCAAAGTAATAGCACGCCCATCGACAGTAACGACATTTTTTTTATACCTGCCTAAGAATATCTACGAATAAGTAAACCAAAATCATATTAAAAAAAAAAGAACAAGTTGTTGAGGAAGTTATACTTCAAAATAAAAATTGTTTACATTTATTATAAACGTAGTGGCTTACAATAATATTATTTCTCGATTCTTGATAAGTAGATACTCTGCTATCATATGTTTGTATATTATTAATAATTCACTGTACATAATAATATATGCTTCCGAGTATTAAGCCTATGCACGCGGAACAATTTATAGGGTATGGTTTCCTGTATGCGGTCTTCCGGTTTCAGAGACGAAAACGTATTAAAAATCACCTGCTCGTCAATATGTACATAAAATATAATATGAATTATTAATAATGTGAAAGATACTTATTATATAATCTGGAGATGCGATGATGGTAATGTTTTATAATTTGGAATTTAATAAAAACATTAATATGTATCTGTATTATAGACACAATTGTCGATAAAATATGTAAGGAGAAAGAGCAATTGTTTTTTGGTATTGATTCTATGGATTACGGTTTTACTATTTCGGGAAATCGTTGTTTTTCATATTAATTATCGAAAAAAAAAGGAAAAAAGCATATAATATTATATACGAGTACCTACAGTTTAAGATCAGGGTTTATTTTTTCGTATCAAGCGCATACAACAGTAATATAATATGTATATTAAATTATAAAACAAAAATAAATAATTTACGAATAAAAATACACAATAAAAACAAAATAAATATAATATAGTTAGTGTTATATTGGTGGATTTATATTATTTTGGTTTAGAAGTGGACCATGTTCATTTCTGTGCATGTACCATTTTGGATGTCTTCTTGGGTATAGGTATAGCCTATATATGCTTATATATGGGACAAGTTTAGTATGTGACAATATGTTGCATGATCTGTTCTTCTCAACACATGCATAAGGTGTTTTTAAGTATAAGATTAGTAATATTATAATATTATTAGTGTAGTGATGCAAATAGTATACATTTGTCCGTGTGAGAAAATCGTGCGTGTAAACGACTTATTAAAGACGGTATGTATTATGTTTGAGAGTTGGAGCAAAAAATACATTTTTCAAAAATGTGGTTGATACGTAAATATAACAATAATGTGTGGTTGAGTGTGAAAGTACGCGTATAGTTATAATACGCGTGATACGTTTATAACATCATTGGGATATTTAATAATAATATTAAACATTAGATATATATATCAGGTGTTTATAATATACAGTTGTGAACACACGGAAAACAGTGAAGTAGCACACTACTGCGGTCGTTGCCATGTAGTTAGAGTCGAAAAAAAACCTGTCCAAGTATCAATTTACTCGTCTCTTGATCGGTTTGAGAAAGGAGTACCTATATATTCTATATTGTAGCGCGAAACAATGAAAGTCGATTTAAGCGAATTATTATAATAATACTAATGTTTATGGTTAAGGATAGAACATTACCTATAATAATAATACTTAGTCGGTCAAATGTGACCATAATAATTTCTAAGTACGATCATTATTATTGTATTATTAAAGCGCGCGTTTAAATTGTACTTATGTGTCTGTTCAACGGCGACAGATCAACGTCAAATAAGGGAATTAATCGTAGTCGTATAAGAAAATCACGATAAATCGACCCGGTTACCGGGGTATAATTATTGGTATACTGGACTATAAACTACAATATTATTAAACTGGACATGATATATTATATTATATATGTCGTTATTATAATAATATAATATTTTCATTTTTAACTAATATTTAAAAAAACTTGATTATAAATTATAATATAACAAAATAATTTTGTGATAAGTATATGCTGTCCTCCTATGAAGAGACAATACGTGGTGTAGTATATGGTGTGTTTTTTTTTTTATAAAAATATAACGTCATGCCTATACTATTCCTCGTGTATAAATTGTAAAATATAGGTAGATATATATAGTTCAAGACTTCAAGTACCAAGTGTTATAATTTAATATAATATAATATTATGTTTGCACAATCATTGAATCGTGCATGATATTTTCGTTTCCAATAATTGATTAAATTGTATATTCTTCATAGTTTTCAACTCCATCATACATATAAAAAAAAAATCCACGGTAAACAATCTGATACCTACTTAATGATTTTTTGAATGTAAATAATATCGATAATATGGAAAGATAGGTCCACGTTTATAATCTTGCGGTAAAATATTACTTTTTATAAAATAATAAGTAAGTTTTTCTATTACTCATCGTGTTATACCTACCTACGTAATTGCCTACCTATCAATCTGTCCAAATAGATTAGAGTAAGTTAAATAAATTGCGTTTTTGTCGAATTTCGTTTGTTTTTTATTGTAAATTTCAAGGTCCGCATCTGCAGGTTCGTAATGTACTACAAATTACATTCGTGCATTATGCTTGTTTAGTATATTTGCATTTCAACATAGGTGTACACTGTGATATTATAGCATTAGATCTGCCACACTGACCTATAGAAACGACTAATATATACAGTATATACAGGATGATTCACTCATTAAGCTTGCTCACCCTATTTTTTTGATTAATTTTACATGTATTAAAATTCTTATTTTTGAAATTTTTAAATGTAGTTAAAACCGATATTATCGAATACTTAGATTTTCACAACATTTCAGGAGCATACTGTAGTGATATCGACTTTGGTTTTTCAAATGAGAACCTATATTAAAAATTCCATATATAGACGGAATAGACTTTAATATATATTGGTGTCGACATTTTTAATTTCCGTCAACCCGTTAACGAGATATTCCATTTTTAAGTTTAGGTGGAAGGAGAGTAGTAAATTAAGTGAAGTATCATTTGTGTGACGGCACGGCGTTTTATTAGTGAGCACACTTAGTGAATCACTCTGTATAATGTATACATAGGTATGCATATAGATAGGCTCGTATAGCAGATGACGAAACAATTACGATGTAATTAGGCACACATACAAATTAACATTTGAATATAAAACACACTGCACGGCGCACGCGCGTATCCCTCGTGTTATTGTCCGTGTCCTTTACTGGCGGTAAGGTTTGGTTAGGTTATTATAAACATATTATATAGATTCGTGCATGGTAACGATCATCGTCTAATTTTATTCAGCTAAAAGTTTGTTATATTTTAGATTCAAAGCGAAACGAATGAATTGGTTTTTCTATAATGTGTGTGATTTTTTTTGTGTCCGTAAACAATTTTTCTACCAAAAATCTTAAAAAAACTTTATAAGAATTTTCTTTAAGTATATTCGATCTAGTTGGTGCGTTAGGGATAGGCTATTTTAAATTCCGAGTGTAGCGAGGAAGTAATTGCTTTTACAACGCTGTTTATTTCTTCTTTGTCCTAGTCTATGGACACGTTTTTTCCTAGTAAGCTTGCTTCATATTTTACGTGCCGCAATTCTTCTGAAAGCTCAAGTTGTCTAGATTGTACAAAATAAAAAAATGACCCCTTGTGAAAGGGGTTTTTTTTGGATTTTCGACACCATTTTTTAATTAAAAGTACTTAAATTGGAAAAACGTAGGAAAACGTACAATTTCACGATTTCATAAATATATTTTAATAAATTTGCTGTAATTCGGTTATAAATACACGTAAAGACTTGAAACTTGGTAATAATACTTATATTGGACTTACTTAGACATGGTAAAATTTCTAAAATCATTGGACGACTTTTTTAGTTTTTAATAAGCGTTTTGACATCAAATTTAAACGAAAATCGCAAAAAAAAAAAAAAAAAAATATGGCACTTCAAATTATATAATATTATTGAACTGTGCTCGGATCGTCAAGCAATGGTTTATCGTTAATTACAGAAATAAATAAAATAGCCTTATGTATCCTACCTTCCTAACTTTTCACCTATAATAGTGACCGCTCCCATCCCCATCAACTCTTTTTAATATATGTCATGTACAATCCAATCATGACTTAATCTATTTAGAACACCTGCACCAATTCTGCATTTATACCAGGTCTAAAAAAACGGACATTCGCATGTGGATGTAGCCACTAATGTAAGTGGGAAGTTTTGAAGGTAGGATAAAAAAGAGAATTTAATGTATATTTGTAAACAATGATAAACTATTGCTAACGAAAAACGATTCAGATCGCAGTTTAGTTGATAGTGTTGCTTTGTCAAAAAAATGTATGTCATATTATGGTAAAATAATTATGTGTGCAATTAACATTTTTACTAATAATGGTTGTTTAATATTTTACCTATTTTCCTGTTTTCCAGTTTTTCCGGTTTTTCCAATATATTGAGATAACTTCATAGAAAATCAAAAAATTATCTCCTTAAAATACCTCTCCAGTCGGATTTTTTTTCAGAAAAAGTGCTATCATTGTAAATCGGAGTAAAATTACTTTTAGAAAAGTTGTTCACGGTAAAACAGAAGGCCGTAATATTTTCTGATTAATACCTACATTTCGTGTACATTTTCTCGTTTTTCCTCTGTTTTTTCGGTTTTTGAGAAAACTCTTTAGGAAATCGAATAATTACCTCCTTAAGATACCTCTTCGGTCAGATTTTCTATAGAAAAATTTTTTATTAGAAAATAAGCTACAAATGATACTTCAGATTTGATTTCAGAGTTATATTTCTGGTATAAAAGTTTGCACAACAAATCGAGGGGTATTTTTCCATTAATATAGTTCAAACAAGCGATGGCTTGGGTCTCTAGGTATACCCAAAATTAATTTGTTTTTTACTTGTTTTGGTTAAAAGGAAAAACGAATGCAAACAATTTTGTTCGATAACCCGGGTTTGAACTCGCGACCCCAAGGATGACAATATGTAGGTATAACCATTAGATCACGACTAACATTATTAAAAAAGACGTCCTAGGATAATGAGCACGGGTGCAGCCACAAACGATTCTGAACGGAATTCAGTTGATAGTAATACTTTGTCAACAATATAAATTATGTGCCATATTATAGTAAAATAATTAAATAGACTCTATATATTTTCTTCAATAACATTTGTTTAATGTTGCACCGATTTTCTCGGTTTTTCTACGTTTTCCCCGGTTTACCTATGTTCTTTCCCAATTTTTCACATTTGTTGGAGAAACTCCTGAGAAAATTGAAAAAAAACCTTCCTAAAGTAACTTCCTAGACAGATTTCCGATTAGAAAAAGAGCTAGCATTTTAAATCGGAACAAAATTGATGGTAGAAAAGTTGTTAACAGGAAAACAAAATACCATATATTATATTTTAACTAATACCTATATTTCTTATATTTTCCCGTTTTTCTCCATTTTCTTTAGGTTTTTAAAATTTTTTGGAAAAACTCTTGGGAAAATCGAAAAATGACCTCTTTAAAGTACCCCCTCAGTCAAATTTCCTTTTAGAAAAATTACTATCATTATAAATTGTTGCAAGATCTCTGATAAAAAAGTTGTCCACAGAAAAAAAAAAATTAAAATAAAAGAACCCTTTTTGTAAAACCACAAGCTTCTTCGGTTCACTCAGAATCTAAAATACAATGATTTGTTAACAATAACAAAGTATGTCATATTATATTATGGTAAAATAATTAAATAAGCATTATATATTTTCTTGAATAATATTTGTTTAAAATTTTATTGATTTTCCCGTTTTTCCTCCGTTTATCCTGGTTTTCCAATGTTTTTTTTTCGGTATTTTACATTTGCTGGGAAAACTCTTAAGCAAAATCGAAAAATGACCTTTTTAAAATACTTTCCTAATCAGAATTACTTTCCGATCAGAAAAAGTGCTACACTTAATAATCGGAGCAAGATTTCTGATAGAAAAGTTTGCACGACAAATCGAGGGGTATTTTGCGATTAAAATAATACAGGCGAACGATAACTTGGATCTCTAAGTAAACCCAAAATGCATTTATTTTTCTTTGTTTAGGCAAAAGGGGGAAAAAATGCAAACAATTTGTTTCGAAACTCGGGTTTAAACTCGCGATCCCTATGATGTCAAATTTATGTACTACCATTACACTCCGACAAACATATTTTAAGCTTGATAATTTATAGTTCTATAGCATAACATAATGTCCACTTGCATATCAGAACTTTAAAAAGCTATAATTTAAAAACTATGTCAGTCCGCTCAATTTTTACTTCACCACCGTTCTTAAATTGGCAATATACATATGTTCAAAACCTAAAATTGAAAAATTAGCTTTGTTCCATATCATTTTTTACCCAAAAGATTTTCCTCAAAATTTTATATCAAAATTCCTTTATAAAAAAAAAAGTACTACATTAGACTCAAATTTTTTTTTGACCACAAATTTAGACTTAATAAACCTCCTGTTTTAGTTTCAATCATTTCTGTTTGATCTTATAATTTATCCAAAGAGTAGGTACTTACCGAATACATATTACGTACAAAACTCGCAAAATTAAAATGTCTCAAAAAAAATAGCTAAAATTTATGAACATTTTACCACGTCTAGAAAAAATAAATGTACATTTTTTGTCAATATTTTAATCTTTAGAAATATTTAAAATTGAATTACAATAAAAAACAAAATTGAAAATAATAAAATGATTATTTTTTTACGTTTTTCTTAAGTTTTATCCCGGGTTTTCCCAGATATTATGAAAATCATTTGGAAAATCAAAAAATGGCCTGCCTTAAGTACTATCTAAACAGAATTTCTTTTATAAAAGTTTCCAAACTTACATATTGAAGCAATATTTCACATCTATAATATTAATGTTGTGGCAATCAATATAATAGACTCGTACCTATATAGGTAAATAATTATTATTGTTTACTCGAATCAATTAAACGAAAAATTTACAAATGACACCTTATTCTAATTATCATTCATTATCAATTGGTTCAATATCCGGTATATTAGAAGAGGAATGTTGAAAACTCATCGTACGTCGAGAATAATAATAAATAGCTGTACTTACGGTTGCGTATGTCGTTAAACTCATGACATCAATAATATTGGTACCTAACTAACGGACACACGATAATTTTTTTTTTTTATACCAAAGTCTACGGATTAATATTAATAATATTCCGATGGTGATTCCTCAATAATATTAATTTGAAACGGTCAACTATAATAATATTATAAAGGTTACGGTGGGACCTGTGTATAATAATATAATTAAATATATACAGATACGTGTACACTTTTCTGATATATCGATTTACCGTGTACGGTATACCTACGAGTACCTATCGTCTTTATACGTGTTTCATAAAAAAAAAAAAAATTAAATAATAAATAAACAACAGGCAATTATCCACAATAGTCCACGCTTATAGACTTCATAAAATGATATAGGTTGGTACACTTGCGCTGGTACGTAGAGAAAACGGCATGCGTGTGCGTTAAATATAATTTTTTCTCATATAATAAACTAATGAAAAAAAACATAACTTCCTCTTTATTATTTTATTATTGCAGTAGAAATATAGTTCCGTCACATCATTCTATGCGCGTCGTTTCGATCGATTTATAGATCAACTCCAAACAGTGGCGTATTTAGACATTTTTCATGAAGTCCACCTAAATTTTCAAACACATGTAATTTTTTATTTTATAGTACAAAAACTAATCTTCTAGAGTTTAACACCAATTAAATAATTTCATTATATAATTTCATCAACCTTTAGACATATGTCCCGATGAATGGACATCATTGCTAGCCCATTTAGCTTCGTCTACATAATAAAAATAATTAAAAATACAGTTATAACTTTTTAAGTTATATTGTTATAATATTATATTATATATTTTCAAAATAATTAAAAGATTACTTCATTCATTGTTGATTTTAGATATGTTTTCATGAAAAGGATCTTTCTGTCGTTGCTGTTGACCCTGGTAATGTCCAAAATAATTTAATTAAAAAATATACATTTGGCAAATCATTTTTTGGGCAGCTTAAAAGCGCTTCTAATCCACTTTTGATGTTAACATCTTGACTGACTATTTTCATTTTCCATATTTTTAATTCAACAAAACTATTATCATTTTCAAATGGAGGTAAATAAAACTCAACTAAATTCTCAAATGACAATCTTTCTGCGTTTGTAAATCTTGAACTACTTAAACATTCAAACCTTATAAAAGATATACAAACAAAATATTAAACACCGATATTTATATTAATATAGATAAATCAATCTATACCTTCAAAAACTGATTTTTATTTAAAAATCGAATTGTAAGCCGGTTGATGAAATTGTCAAGAAATGACATGAACACTGTCACTCTATAATAACCTACAGAAGATACTTGAGGATTCCCTCTATTTCTTTCTTTGCTTACTGTGCGTTTTTAGTTATTTTTGCACTAATAATATTTGCTAAATTCCATTAAAATGTTCCTAACACAAATAAGTATCGAGTGCACAAGTGTAGAGAGCGTCGGTTAGTACAAAAACAAAATTAATAACAAAAAGACATCTTAGGATAATTGGGATGGGTGCAGCCACTGTTATAAGGAATTTAATGTGTATCTGTAAGCAACGATAAACCATTTCTTACGAAAAAACGATTCTGAGCGGGCTTCAGTTGATAATGATGCTTTTTTAACAATATAATATATGCCATATTATAGTAAAATAATTAAATAGGCTTTAATAGGTTTTCTGATTCGATTCACATGGATCGAAGTCATGGGAAAAACGTTTTGGAAACATACATACATACATATATATTATATTCTAAACCTTATATGATAGATTTGTTGGATATCAGTGCGATTTGATCGTGTATACATATAAAATATGAAATCGATTAATGGTGAAACAATATTTAAACAGGAACAGTCATTATTGATAGCAGTTTTAGTTTTCAGCGATTTCCATCTATTCCGTATTGTGATATCGATATCATTTTTTATATTCTCACCAGTAGGCTTTTACAATATTTTTAAATATGTTTCTGAACACAATAATTATTTATTATTAATTATTTACATGTAACTTATTTTTAAATACAAGTAAATAATTGTTGACCATTGTTTCGACCCATTAAAATTTAATGGTTCAAACAAAACAATTTTTTACGTACAGTTTGTAAACATAGTATTCGTGATTAACAGAACTTTTTAATTTATATTCTTTTGGAGAGAGTTGGACCACCGGAACATTGTCGGTTTCTTCATTAATCCAAAAGTGTTCATAATCGAGAACAACGGTGAACCTAAAAACAAAAAAAAAATAAAAACACAATTATTATAAGCGTACCAATTTGTTATTTACCTATATATCTATAAAAAAAACATTTGTATCCCTCTTCTCCCTCGCTCCATCTATAGATATCGCTTCAATAATAATCGTTAGGTCAATTTAAAGTTAGTTTTTTTTAAAAGATTTTAAGGAATTTTCATAATAAGTATAGGTATTTTGATTCGTTATAATAACTCTGACTTTTTTTAATGGCTTTATTTTAAAACTTTATCGATGAAATAATATAATAATTATGTATTTCCTCACTTAAATTTAAAAGGACCCGAAAGTGTAGTTGGAGCTACCCACGTGAACGTCTCCGATACTTTGAACTTATTGTTAGATTGGACCGCTGCGTTCTGAAAAAATAAAATGTAACATTTGTTAATTTTGTACAATATTATATTATAGGTAGATACGATATTATATAAAATACTTGTAGGTATTCGGGGTTTTTTTTTTTAATATGGCTACTAGTTTTTAATATTTTTGATATAAGGTACTTTCAATTTTTTTTAGTAGATGGCGGGGAATAGGTCGACGAATCGTTTAAAAACTCACGTATGGCTCGAGCCCATTGGAACAGCTGATCATGTGGTGGGACTTGTTGCCACCGTTAACGCAATCCGGCAGAAAAGTGCCGAGTATGTTGCCGTATGGGTCCCGGGCCTGGATCATAAACCCTTTGAACGGAGTAGACCCGTTTAGGGAGGTAAGCGTGACATTGACTAATTCGCCGGGCACCACGGGCATCGTATTGACCACCAGTCGGTACGGGCACGGCACGCTTTGAAAGTTCTCTGAATCATAGCCTGTGTGCCGAGGCGTCATGTCTTTGCACGCTATTTTAAGTTGGTCGTCGGTGACCGCCCGGGTACGGGGGACCACCATTCCTAACAACGCTACCACCGCGAATGTGGTTAAGATTAAATGGAATGACGACCGTGTAGTCATACCTGTAATCATAATATAATATTAATATCAATCAACGGTGGGAAAAATCCGAATTGGTGTGGAAGTTCGAGAATCCGAAATGTGATTGTATAAATCTGGTTGTTAGATTTTGAACCTCTGAACAAATAAAATATGCATAGGTAGTAGTATACTATAGAGAAGGCAGGGTATATGATTGTGGTAACAATATAAGCGTAAATATGGGTATGGTATAAAAATATCGGAAATTAGTAACCTATTTTTTTTTTTTATAGATACGTAAAGATCACATTTTTAAATATAATACATATTATTTAACTCTTTCAACCATATATTTACTGTTATTGACCTAAAACAATACAATTTGGCATAGTTCATCATGCTTAGTTTTTTTTTAAATGTTTAGTAAAAACTAAAATTTGACATCTTTAACCATTTAGCACTTATACAAAGTGTTCTATTTTCCAGTGGAGGGTTTAAAGAGCACGACGATCGCCTCGTCAAGTTCATAGGAATTGAATAAAAATATTTGCTTATACTACCCTGAACACGAAAACGAATATAAGCTCTAGTACTTACATACTATACATTTATGTAATTTTAATGATTTATAGTTTATGTTCCAATTCTATAACAAATGTGGTGTTGTAAACTGTAGAAGTCAGGTGATGTTTGTGGTTTTATGATATGATGTCGCTATGAATACTGTAAGTATATATAGGAAATTAAACTTTTATAAAAACATGATCTAAATAGAAGCGTCCTTGAGGGAGGAAGGGGGAGGAGACGATCCTCTCCCATAAGTCATGTGATGTTATTTTTTTGTTATATAGAATATTCATAATTCTCACGTACAATTAAGTACAAATGCAACTCCTTCCAAATGTCATAAAAATGATTCCGGATCTTGGAAATACTTTGATTGAAACAAAAATGAAACACTTTTCATTTATAAATGTCAATAAATATTCTCTCAATGATGAGATAAAATTATATAAAACTAGTGGAAACAATCAATTTGCAAATATATAATATATTTTTAGAATAAAAATTGTAAATGATTAATTTAGTTTAAATTTTAGATTCTCAGTATAGTAAAAAGTTTAGGTTGGTTAGGTTAGGTATCTGTTGGATTTACCTATTAAATGATATATATTTTTTTTTATACTGACAAAAATTTCTTTTAGAAATTTTGCTTCAATATGTAAGTGTAGCACATTTTTTTAAAAATATAGTATATATTTGTCAATATGACAAATATTGTCATATTGACTAGCTGTTACTTTAAGAAGGTCATGTTTTGATTTTCCAAACACTTTTCATATCCGGAAAACCCATGATAAAACGTAATAAAAACGGAAAAATTTACGAAAATAATGCTTTTATTTTTTTAAATTTTGTTTTTTGTTGTAATTCAGCTAAAAATATTCGCAGAGATTTGAAATTTGGACAGAAAACTTATATTTGCGTTTTCTTGACGTGGTAAATTTTTTTAGCATTTTATCGACATCTTAATTTTTCGAGTTTTGTGCGTAATTTTTATTCGGTATAACTCTGTGGATAAAATTGTTAGACCAAATAGAAATACTTAAGAATTTAATATAAGGTTTATTAAAATTCATACTTTGTGGTAAAAAAATATTGAGCAGAGACTAACTGGCTTATTAATTATAAATATTTATCTAAATGAAAACATTAATATAGAAAATATTGTTGATCAAACCGCTTGCAAAACGATGCTTAAAATAAAAGTATTTTGGACTTGGTCATCTAATTTTTATTAATTATTATTTTTATTATTTTTGCTATTCATATTATCATTGTTTTAATTATTATTTATTTTATGTGAACAAAATAAAATCAACTTTTAAATTGTATTCAGTGCATTTTTTCAATATATCAGCAGTTTTCTTAAGCCAATATAGATAAGTTGAAATGATATTAGAACTATAGGTTTTAAATTTTGTTAACTAAAGCGGTGATATTCAAGAGTAAAAATTGTTCCCCCCCCTATGGAATCGACCCGAAGACGCCCCTGAGCAATACTATTAACCGAGCTCCGTTCAAAATCGTTTTTTGTGGGTAATGCTTAAATTAGCTTAGGTATAGATATACATTCAATTTCCCTTAATATCCTACCTTCCCAACTTCTCATCTATAACAATGGTCCACCCATTGTTCGAAGTATGTCCGACGCCCCTGGATCCAAGACGATTACGTAGTTTAATTGCGAACATATTATTCTAAACATAGGTTTAACTACGTAATACGTTTGACCATAATAAAACAAAGTGAAATTGAAATTTATCTCCATGATTAATACACTAAAGAACGATGTTTAGAATGTTTCTAAAAAACCATTATCATTATTACCATATAGGTACTCAATGGGGTCTTTGATAATGAAATGTTTGAAATAATTTTTCTTACCTTCAAACTTTTTTTTTTCTGTGGTATCTTACCTATATATGTTCGTAGACTATATTTAAAAATTGTATATACTATTAATGAACACTTTTGTTCTATTATTTATTCCTTAAGTTCCTTAATGTATAAATTTGTGTGAAATATAAAAATGTTTAATTGAACACTGTTAATCTTAAAAATATTATTATAAGTGGAATTTTATTCCGTAAATAAATAAATAAATAAATATGAAAACAAAAATAATATGTATTAGTTAGGTGTGGGGGTCTAAGACCCAATTTAGAGGGTCTAAGACTTCCTGAATACTCACTAATGGTATATAGAACACAAACAAATATACAAGCATAACTGTTAATTATATATTGTTAATATTTAGTATAATTACATAAGTATGTTATATACCAATCTAACATTAAGAATTTTTTTCAAAATTCCATCACTTGCTTTTTTTTTAAATTATATTAAGGATAATATTCGGGATAAGGGCAATGAGTAACGTAGTGGGTTTGGTTAGATTAGATAATATGAGAACGTAATTGTAAAAAATCAGTATATCTAATATTATATTATTACTAGCTGAATTACCCGGCGTTACCCGGAAAAATAATTATACTACACTTGCCCGTAAATTAGGCGCATGTGAGACGGTGTTATACATGTGATACAAAAGTGAATAAAAAAAACATGAACCGTCTCCCTCCACATGCAAAGCACGGTGAAGTACCATGACACCACGAACGTCGATGAGCTCCATGTGTTTACGGGCACCGTATATTATAACAACAATGTATAATAAAATAATATAAAATTATTATTGTAAATATTTTAGATGTTACGCTTGTCCGAACTGCTGGTAGTACGGAGTGCAAATGAAATGAACGCGTTTAGTGTGTATCGTAAAACGGCATCGTGGCAAGGCAATGGAGAGATAACTAATAAATAGTATTGGTTTATGTTATCGGTGTGCATTTTAATTTAATCGTTCATTATAATAAAATAGGAGTATTGGTGTACGCGCGATGCATGAGATTATTTTTATCGATAAACTTCTCGGAACAATTATTCTTATCTACACGACGACCGAACGACGACGAACAAAAAGGATAGGTTGCAGGTAGCTGGAGACCCGTGGGCCGCCGTGCCGCACAATACGTATTGGCGGTGAATAATTATAATTGTTAATTACTCCACTAAAACGCAACATTTTTGAAAATCCCTCCTTATTACACGTTGAAAATATGAGAAGAACCTATATTCCAAATTTCAAGTCCGTACGTTACGTAGTTTTTGAGATACAGCGATTAGTCAGTGATTGTCAGTCTGTCAGGATTTTATATGTATAGATAAAAATACACGAAATCGTTACATCTCAAATGACCTAAAGGTACTTAATATTGTATAGGTTTATATTATAGGTAATATTTTGATTTTAGATAATAATAATATTTTAATACGTGATTAAAATATTATTACGGTACACGTAATCATATAGGTAAGTCTGTTCTGAACCATATAATATAATATAGTTTCGTTTTGCGCAATAATATATTTCACCCTCTCCCATACATAAAATATATTACCTATAGATAAGCACAATATTCTATTATGCCACGCCCGCGTAAATTAATGCAACTAAACATATTATAATTTTACTGTGTATCGTAGATATTAAAAAATTGATTTCTTTTCCCAATATGAAGTATCAAATTGGATTTTATATTTTCGAGGTTTAGCACAGGTATTTTTTATTATAATATTAAGCTTACAGGTTTAGGTCCAGAATTTAAATTAAACTACATTTGTGATATACATATTTTACGAAAATAAAGTCTATACACCGTCAATACAGCGGCTTATAGAAACATAGCACCTACCTAGTACAGTCAGCACCAGATAGATAAATTAGCACGGCGGCACACAGTGGGCAAGCTAACTTACTTTTATGGCCAAAACTATATTTTTTATAAAAACAATTTAATTTTTAATGTGTAAATTTAATAGGTATATAAATTGGAATTTTTTTAAGAGGAGCTAAACTAATTTTTGGGGGCTAAACCCTCAGCCACTCCCATATTCTTACACATTTTTTTGGTCCTATTACTTTATTTCCATCGTTTAAATATTTCACTACTAGCGCGATGCATAGATTGTTTAATAAAATCCAAAATGTTATCACAATATTGTTCACATTCAAACAGCTTATTTAAGTTTTTTTTGAATATACTCGTATTTGATATTGCCTCATTCAATCCTTTACATAAATTTAAAAAAGATCGCGACGAGTTTCCATAGTTCAGATATACCTATAAACCATACACTACTACGTCAAAATAGGTATAATTTATAAATATGCAACTATAGGTAAAAACAAATTATACAATTTAAAATAAATTAAAATAGTTTTGATGACAAGATCTGTTTAGACTAAAAATAAAAACTGTATCAAATAAAGTATACATGGATAACATTCAATAATTTAGGTTTTAATAGCTTAATTGGAATACAATAATTACTATTCACTTATTTCGAATAATAAAACATACTTGTCAACTTCCAAAGAATTTGTGAAAAAAAATGTTTATACGTTTTAAATTAAACTTTTAGCAGCCGAATACGTGATAAATAGTAGACTGCGAATTGAAAAGTCGTATGATAATAAAGTAGACATATATAATATAACATATAAGATTATAAATAAATATATAATCAGCGTGCTGATAGTTACTTATTTTATAATCTATAATTTATGAATAATCGAATAATACATATATAATAATCAATTACTAATGATGATGTGTTATTTTGGGTTTTGGCTAAAAATTATTAAATTCTGCCCCACTGTGCGGCGGCATGAATAAAGAAAACCAGGAGTTCATTGTGTTTAGATGTTATTACCAAATATATCATCAGCGAAACAACAATTATCACATCAAAATACATTTTAAAACTCATATTATGTTATTCATTTAAAAGCTAAGGGCACGATTACTGATAATCGCCCAATCTATCAACTACCGATTATACCTAATATATAATATTAAGTTCATAATTTATACTGCATTATATGCATTGGAATAATATTTAAATCTTATTGTATGTTGATGGCTATACATTGAAAATAAGTAAGCATAAATATATAGATGTTAGGTTAGTTTAGGTTAGGTAGCTTTTATAAATAAAAAAATATCGTACGTGGAGTAAATTTTTATCACGATCCAGCGATTTTTTTGGAGGATTATAAGTAAATTTGGTATCTGTAGGTTTTTTTAAACTTTTAAATAATTGCAACTGCGTTAAGTAATGACGTGAATAAAATGTAGTATAGATTCTAGTACACTAAATTACACGCTATAATTAAAACTAGCCAGTATACTATCGATATATGGTATATTAACTAGTATCGTGTGAAACGGACTTAAGAAATTGTAATAAAGTTAAGTATTAAAATTAAGTGTAATAAACAATATAGTTCCAAATTACCTAACTTTGGATCAAAATCGATATTACAACGCACACGCGGAGTATACATCCGAAGGTTATTTCAACAAATAGTACCTAAATATTTTATCGTATTTAAACTTTTCTGAATTTTTAGGGTATAAAAAACTGGAATGGGGTAGAAGTTTGAAATATCAACTTTCTAAAGTATATAAATCTATGGGGACGAATATAAATTGAGAAAATTGTTGTTAGAAAATGTTAAATGCTGGGAAATACTTTTTAAGAATGCTTTTAGGGTTTATTTTCGAATTAAAGTCCAACATGAGCTCACACACTAAAGTTGCGAGTGAAGCGAAACTAAACAACATCCACACTTTCATAAACTTACGATTCTATGCTCAAAGAACGAATGAATCTTTTTGAACATTTTAAATGACCAAATACTAAATGGAGTGTCTTTCGAGTTGGGAAACAAAAATATTTCATTATGATGCAAAACTTCAGCTTATTAGGTATAATATGTATGTATAATAATATGTAGGTTATCTAAAACAATTATTAATATTTTCGAAAAGGTTGTACATAATAATATATAGGTACCTCATACCTGTATAAATCTCGAAGAGCCGATGTTCGCTTATAAGAGACCTTTCCTGAATTGGTCTATTTAACTACAAACCATAAAGTATGATAAAAGTATAGATACCTCCTACACATAACGAACACAAACGGTTACCTATATCCTAATAATACAATACCGACCAATTAAAAATAAGCTTAAAATTACTTTTTAGACCTTTTCGACCTTTAAGAGTTATATAACAGTTCAGTTCAATTAGTTTTTTGTTAAACGAAATTATATTCATTATTAAATTTAATAAATTACCTACATAAATATTAGACATATATTACGCTACTGCAGTACCACGTTAGTATACCTAACATTGCCATAACTTAGGTTTAATAACGAATCGATTTTGTATGATTATATACGAATATAAGAATTTAAAACTCTCTTAATTTAATAAGTTTATTTTTATCTAATTAATTATTTTTCAGCTTAGTGTATAATCTATCCAAATTACTATTTATCATTCAAATTGTAAGTATCTAACTTAAATAAGTAATTAGTAATTATTATTTTTTGAGAATTTAAACTTTTACTAGTCGAAAACTTTGAATAACTTTCCCAGACTTAATAGGTATCTAAGTACTATAGTTATACAATATATTATGTTGGTATACCTATAGTGTTGAATCAGCACTGCTGATGAAATAAATTTCTAATACTTATATGAAAAGTTTACTAATGTAAGTTTGGTACACAATGTATTCATTCCAAATTAAGATGATGTAAAATCTTTAATAAGTTGTCATAATTGATTCAAATATAAAACAGTACAAAATTATTTTATTGAGATTTGGAATGTTGCAACTGAAAATGCGATTAAACCATTACAATTAGAATAAAGTAATATGATAAGAGGTTATCAGGGTAAATATAGTCTAAATGGGTCAACAATATAAAATTACCTAGAATTTAAAGTTTCACCAATTAAATTAAGTTACAACAAATTTGCTATATTACAGGCTGTAAAAAATAAATGCAATTGGTTTAATATTAAAACTTGAGAAGAAAGGACTGGATATATAGTGCTACATGTAACCTAGGAAAATATATCGTTTGGTCAAAGATTCCTGGATAATTTTGTCTTGTTTCAACTCCGTGAATTTTAAATAACTATAAAAGAAGGACATACTTCACACGTGAATGCAGCCATTGTTAGGTGAGAAGTTGGGAAGGTAGTAGAGGAGAAATTTAATATATAGCTGTAAGCAACCATAAACCATTGCTAAGGAAAAAACGATTCTGAGCGGAGTTCAATTGATAGTGTTGCTTTGTCAACAATATATATGTCATATTATTGTAAAGTAATTGAATAGAAATTATATATTTTCTTCAATAATATTGTTTAATATTGTTCCGATTTGCCCGTTTTTCCTAAGTTTTTTCCCAGTTTTTCCCATTTATTATGAAAACAGCTAGGAAAATCAAAAATTACCTTTCTAAAGTACCTCCCCAGTCAAATTTCCTTTTAGTAAAAGTGCTATCATTGTAAATTGGAGCGAAATTGCCGGTAAAAAAATTGTTCACAGAAAAAAAAAATCATAATATTTTACTAATATATGTCGTACATTTTCCCGTTTTTTTCTTACTCTTTTCTTTGTATTGGGAAAACTGCCGAGAAAATCAAAAAATGACTTACTTAAAGTACCAATCCAAGAAAATTTCCTTTCAGAAAAAAGTTTACATTTTATACATCGGAGTAAGCTTCCTAGAGGAAAAAGTGTTCACATAAAAATAAAAAAAAGAAATAAACACCTTTACAAAACCAATACATTCTAGGCTACAATAAGAATCTGAAAATGAATATGGTAATGCCTAATAATATGTGAAAAAATTCGTGAATAATTGTTTGCAAATAAATATTGGACAAATATGAAAAATGTAGACAGTTTATTATTTATAATGCCAGGTATTTTTTGATAAATTAAAGAATAACTTTGTTAAATTATTTTAGTTACTTTGTGTATATTTACTTACTATTAATAAAAAAAATATTTATTATTTTAAATTCTTTCGAATCGTACATTTCTTTTTAGAAAATTCTGTGTTATTTTTCAGTAGATAGGTATTTGACTAAAAAAACAAAATATTGTTAAACAACGTATGACTTACTTAGAGAAATAAAAACGAATATGAATGTTACTCCAAAATATATGTTAGTTCGTTTGTTAAAAACAATAATTTACAACAAAAACAGAAGATAAAACAAATTGTTCACTGTAAATATACAAAATTATATGGATTCCACAGCTTCAGTCACCTAACTAATATTATAATTAGTTTTTTTGAAAATATTTGAGTTGTTTTATTTTAATGTATAAAGATTTGAAAAAAAAAACCTTATTTACGTAACACATGTATAAGTACTACCAGTGGAACGGGCGAAATTTATTCTATAGATAATAAAATGAGTTCATTGCGATTCGATATTTTATAATATATTGATAACCTTCCTATACCCAAACTGATTACAAATTATCAACGTTTCTGAAATATGTTAAATAATAAACAAAATAAAAAATTATTTTTCGTAAAATCAAAAAAAAAATTATGTAACATAGTACAATTTTAAGTTTAACTTTTTAGTAACACTATTTAACCAACATATTTTTTACCTGAAATTCCTGTAGGACCTAAACTGCTACAAGCAATTTTCCAAGCTAGTCATTTTTTTAATTTTCCCGATAAAAAGGACAACGTGAAAAAAAACGTAAGAAAAACAGGAAATTTACGAAAATAATGTTTTTATTATTTTTTCGATTTTGTTATTTATTGTAATTCAGTTTAAAATATTCGTAGAGACTTAAAATTTGAACAGAAAACGTATATTTACTTTTTCTAGACGTAGTAAAATTTAAGCAATTTTTGAGCTATTTATAGACATTTTTATTTTGCGATTTTGTGGTGAAATCAAATTGTTTGAAAATTGAATAGGAGGTTCATTAAAAGTTACTTTAGAGGTAAAAAAAAAAAATTTATTTAATAGTTTTTTTTTATATATATTTAAAGGAATTTGAAGTGAACAATTATATTGAAAAATTAAATTTTTCAATTATTTTTTTTGAACATAATATGTATATTGACAATTTAAGAACAACGGTGAAGTCAGAATTGAACGGACTGACTAAGTTTCGAAATGATAGATTTTTAAAGTTCTGATATTATGCAAATATTACTTTTTATTTTCAATAACTCTATATTGTCTTTTTTAAAGCATGTTTGCCGTAATCTAATGGTTATACATGCTTAATGTCATCTTGGGGATCACAAGTTCAAACACAAAAAATTTGAAATAATTATTTGCATTTACTTTTTACCTTTAACTTAAACAGAGAAAAACCAATGCATTTTAGGTGTACCTTGAAACCAAGCTATCTCTTGTTCGGACTATTTTAATCGAAAAATATCCCTCGGTTTGTTGTGCAAATTTTTCTACTAGAAATCTTGCTCCAATTTTTAAGTGTAGCACTTTTTCTGAAGAAAATTTGACTGGGGAAGTACTTTCGGAGATTATTTTTCGATTTGCTTAGGAATTTTTTCAACTAATGTTAAAAATCGAAAAAAAAAACGAGAAAACGTACGAAAAGTATTAGTACAATTTTACGGTCTTTATTTTCTGTTTACAACTTTTCTACCAACAATTAGCAATAAGCACGTATTCTAACTTTGCTCCGATTTATAATGACAGCACTTTCTCTGAAAGGAAATTTGACTGGGAAGATACTTTAACCTACATTAAATATTCTATAAATATTAGATGGAGTATTATTTAAAATACATTTTTGTGTTGACATTTTTGATTTTCGTCAATCCATTGATGAGATGTTCCAATTTCGGGTCGGAGAAAATATTTTTTTGAATATATGCAAAATTTAACCAAAATAATGGGGCGAGCTCGCTTAGTATATCGTTCTGTAAACTACAGACATACAAGGTTAATATAGTTTTAGTCTGTTGAATATGATTTATATGCAAACAAGAAAGCTGATGTTCAAAATTTAATTTTAAATAGAAAAAAAAGAGAAGATTATTTATATAATATTACGGCAAACAACGTGTTTGAAAATATCTAATTCAAATGAGATTTTACTCGTTTTGTATTATTTGTTACCCGTTAAATTAAATTTAACCACATTAATGGTTTTTGAAATTTGATAGAACATGATGAAACTGTTGACTATTACTGTTTATTCCCTCTCTCCCCCCAAAAAAATATATGTAATAAAAGTGAAATTATTATTATTAGTGTTTGTATCGTATACTCGGACAGAGTAATTACGTGTAGATTTAAAAATGAAAATACAATTGAAATTATTGATATGTTTAAAACAATTTTTCACTTTTTGTTCTACTTATCGTATTCATTAATTAGTAAATTTGAAATTCAAAATGATTTACCTCTTTGTAAATACATAATTGTACAGTTTACTGGAGTGATACTTCAAAGAGGTCATATTTTTATTTTTCAAGATGTTTTCATAATAAATGGGAAAAACCGTAGAAAAACGGGAAAATGTACAAAATGTATTATTTTCAACTCGTAAATATTACGGCCTTTCAAAACATGTACAACTGAACTCCACTCAGAATCATTTTTCGTTGGCAATGATTAATCGTTGCGTACAGATTAAATCACCTCTACCTTCCCAACTTCTATCTTACAACAGTAGTCTACCCATTGTGCGAAGTATGTCCGTTTGTTTTAAAAATTACTGTCCTAAAATTAATCCAAAATAAATTCCATCAATTTTTTGTAGCGCTTTTCTACAAAATTGGTTAGATTCGATTATTTGTAATTTTAAGTTCGTAACATTACTATTATATTATTATTTGTAATCTATTATATTGTAAATATAATATTATAAAATATTTTTACAATTTGTAAAAACCGGCTTTATATCAACAATGACAACGACTCTCTCGTTAAAAGTTTCGATTTCGGTCATCCGCTGAATAATCGGAGTAAAAATTCAGATTCGGAGTGGTAGGAAAATAACAAATTACCAATGAAAGTTCCGAAAGAAAGGGTCACCACGCGTCCGGATCTTACTCCGGTAGCATATAGACTATACAGGACGATTCTTTTAACACAAACCAGTGAAAATGTTGAGTAAATTTAATTTTGGTTTTTTCAGTCAGTCAATATTTTCCAACCCTTTGATCCTATTTGACCCTTTAAACCCTTATTTAACCCTTGGAACTGCATATATCGCTTTTTGATCTTAATGTATTGGGAGACATTTACAATCTGAGCTTAAAAATGTGTGTTAGTATTTGAAAATCAAAAGTCGATACCTATATAAGTGTTCATAGTGAGTCTAGGCAGGGTACCATGTGACCTAATATAGCACTATAATATTACGGATTACGCGTAAAATTTTCCTACAGATTGCTATGGTTCGATAACGATAAAAGAATCGCCCTGTATATATTATTATTTCATACGCAGTAATTATGTCATAGACTCACTGTCGGCCCGACGACTGTCGTATACTCATATTATACTCATATATCAGCTCGCAGAGGGAGTTCACGTTGGCAGCGATGGAGAAAGTATACAGCTTGCAATTCCTTCCAGCCGGCAAATATTACGAGCTCGTCGTTGTCGTTACGTGTTATTACATTACTCGTATTCTGGTATTCTGTTAAATTGTCTAATATTATCCGATACTCCGCTCGATCCAGTACTTCAGTGTCGTGATCGTTTTCCAGACAAAATTCGTTTTCTCCGGACCAATAATACCATACACATACCTACCTACTTAGTAGTGTGTCGTTGATTCTCGTGTGTATGGAAAATACCTAACCTACCCAGTGACTTGGCGGTCCGCCTGGCCCGGAAATCTCCGTAGAGTATAAGCTATTATTATACGGTAAAAGTTTCGCTACCATCACAAATCGTCATCATGAGCGTAAACGCTATACCGATAGCAGACCAGCGTTTTTGGTCAGACTGCACTACGGACGACCAAAAGGACATGGATGTATTCACGTTTATGTTTTTTGCTTGTTGCATCGAACTGTTTTTGTTTAAGATTTTCTTCTCCAATATCCGCGGTCAATAACTTCGATATCTATAGCTATAGATAATTTACCATATATCAGTAAATTGATCACACGCGTAGAGCGCACAATATGAGACAGTGAGTCATGTAATAATAATTATAATAATACTATCTTATGTTTGTATTCTATATACCGGCGTTTCAGCACGTATATATTTTTTTTTTTTTTTGGCCTCCCGCGTCCACAATATAACGCAATTAATGTTCGGAATTTTCGGTTATTATTTTTTTTTCAGAAACAAACTGCTGTGTATCCGACAGCAGGACATTTTGAATACCAAACTCAGAGTGAAAGTGGCGTCCAAGGTGAAAGATGATCGTAAGTATATACCTAAGCATCAGAGATGTGATTTTTTTTTTAAATACATTATTTTTCAAAAAATACAATAGGTTAACTACTGAAATATTCATGTCCTATTTCATAAACTCTCATACCTCTAATAATATCCATGTTTTCATGACAATTCCGATATTTTAGATTCTGAGTGGAGCTTAAGTTTTATAAAGATATTTGTTTATATATTTTTTCCTGTACACAACTTTTCTTCCAGCAATTTTACTCCAACCTATAATAATAGCAATGTTTCTAAAAGGAAATTTCCCTAGCGAGGTACTTTAGAGAGATCATTTTTCGATTTTCTCCGGAGTTTTCTTATCAAATTTGAAAAAACGAAAAAATCAGAGAAAACGGGAAAAACGTAGGAAAATTGGGAAAATCGGTACAACATTAAACAAATATTATTAAAGAAAATATATAAAAACTATTTCATTATTTTACTATAAATTGACATATATTGTTGACAATATCAATTAAACTTCTCTCAGAATCGTTTTTTCGTAAGCAATAATTTATCGTTGTACACTTTTAATGTATGCATTAAATTATCTATAAGTTTAACAAAATCGAAATTTTTTTCCTATTCATTTTCCATTTTAAATAAGTTATTTAAAAAATACAATATTGGCGGCAATAAGCTAGGGAAATACAAATTAAAAACACAAAAGTTACTCGGTAACTGCTCGGAAGAAACTGACATGTCGAGCTGCTTTCAAATAGTTTCTAAACAGTCGCGTTAATTTTTAGTCCCGTTGTTATCGAAGAGAACATGTTAATTTAATAATACATATCGCGTTGCGTCGCGGTTGCGTTGCCGTCACCAGTTACTTTTGGCGAGAACACAACCTAACAATGGCTGCACCCATCCCCATTATCCTAGGACGTCTTTTTGAGTTTATTTTAATCATGTCTCCAATGAATTTCTTCCTTTGAGCCCATTGATTCTTCCATTATGCTAGTTATTAAGGGACTAATGTCTTATTAATTTTCACATAAATTTCCCGTATCTTGATTTAAAAATAGATAATAATAATAATGTCTTCTCCGTAATATTTAAAGAATTTCTACGATTCTACTATGTTATTCCTTCAGTCCAACTAATACGAAGTCTACATATTCATTGCTCCTAATATTTGTCTTATCTTGTATTGTTAAGGTACAACCTTAAAACAAAATAGCCCATGTATAGCTTTCGACGAAATTGGTTGAGTTTATTAAATAATATAACTATCTGGATATATTATTATTATATATTATAGAGGACAAGTTTTTCGAAGTTCGCGATTATTTGGAACGGCTAGTGGAAGGGCTGGTGGACGGTGGTTTGGACGATGTATGCCTTACGCCATTGTCCACCCACCCACAATGTACGTAACATAAATTATCGTTAAAATTGTTTTAAATTCACGTAATATAATGCATATATATATATATATATATATACGTTTTTGATATTTGTTTCGGTGTATAGATATGTCGATATGTTGGAAGTACCACGAACAATTGGCCACAACGCTGACGGCGGCCATACACTTCATTATAAACAGTAAGTATACTGCAGTAATCTAACTCATAGATCATTAAGATATCCATTAAAACCGCTAACCGCATTATACCCATATCTAAAAACGATAAATTAAGAGTTATTTTATTATTTACTTATGTATGTTTTGACTAAGAGACATTTGGAAAAAGTAGAATCACACTTTTTACTTAAGTTAAAATGGTCGAATTGCACTCGGGTCAAAAACGGCCGGTAATAATCGAACTACTGTATAGTATCCAAAGTTCAAACATCCGGAAAAAAAATGTCTCGTTAGAAATGTCTTGTAAATGCCATTTATTAAATTCGATACGATATCGATATTATGATAAATACAGTCAAACCTCTAAATACTGGACACTCTCGGTCACCGTAATTTTGTCCGTTATTTAGAGGGAAAAAAAATTACGAACATAATTCGGAGAAATTATAACTACATAATATAATATACAACATTTATATAATACATATGTATAATAATGATATAGCTATGTATTGTATTTGTATTATTTTAATAATAAATAAATATAAGTTGTACATATTATTATTTAAAAGTATGATACTATTATATATGTAAAAATTAATGAAAATGTAAATAAAAATAATTTAAAAATATCATATAGTATAAAAATTAACATTTATTGAAAAAAATCAGTTAATGAAGGTTTCACTGTATTCGCTATCGATGAATAATTACCCGATATATCGCGATATCGAAAAATTGTTATTATAATATATTATTTTTCAAGAATCGCATTTTATTTGCAGGTTCTAAGCTATAATAAATTACATTGTGTGTGCTGTGTAATAAACTATTAAATAATAAATAATAATTAATAATTATAGTGGTCGGCACTCGACTGATAACGTTTTGTGCACATTTTTCGGGGAAATGTCAATTATTATTTATTTTAAATTAGTATGAAATCTATTGACGTTATAAGTTATAATGTTACTTAATATAACTTATCCGTAAACTGTGAAGGTGGACATACTTAATTAGGTAGTTTCTTATTCAATATTATTATATTTTGCTGACTTATATTCCACAGTGTAATCAGACCATACTTTGGTAAGTAATCGACATATATTTTAATATTTACAATTTTAATTGAAAACAATAGTGAAATAATTATGGCATTTCCGGGGTGCAGAAATTGGGTTTGAATACATTTAAGGAGAAGCCAAAAACAGTTAACATAAATATATAATAATTTTAATTCTTTCACTTCTTACTAGAAGATTTATTTTTATATCACTATTAACCTAAAATCCCATTTCTTTAAAAATAAACTAAATTTTATTGAATTTACTCGTTCAAACATAATTTACGATTTCTTCTAAAAACTTTGTGCAGCAGAAGAATCACTTATTAGCCAATACAATACAAAAATAATAAATAACTATTATGTTTAAAATACATATAGATTTTGAAAAAAATAATATCTATCAAAAATAACAAATTTTTTTTTAACACCTTAAATTAGAGTATTTCAGGTGTTCAAAACATGTGAAATTATAGTTATTTAGAATTTAAATCAATCGATCAAGTTTTGATCATATGATGTTAACAAAAGTAACTTTGAGACTTAATTTTAATCGTCTATAATTATAGTTAGTATTAGTATTCAAGGCACAATATACTTAAATTATTAAAGCAAATATTTTTATATAGTTACATAAATCTTATTTTGTATATACCTATCTACGTATGTTTTAGATTCTGAAGAATTTGATGAAATTCCCGTAAAGCTAAATAAAATATTGGAAGAGGTATCCAACGATATAGAAAATCTTCCAGAACTACAGGTCAGTTTTTACTAGCTTATTATTATTATAGGTAATCTCTGTTTTATATTTGTCTTAACGCGTATCTAATTAATTAAAATAATCCGCTAAATCGCTAAAATAATAATTCAATTACGTAGGTACCTACCTTGGTCCTCTTATAATATGTAATATTCACTCCGCATATATGTATAGAACGTATATTTAATAATTTTTGATGGATATCATTTTTTTCTGCACGAAAAGTATATCTTGTAATGATAAAAAAAATGTTTTTTATCCGATTACATCAGGTACGTAAAGTGTTTGTAATTCGTTTAAAATGTTCATTAAGGTTTTAAACAACTAAATATTATAACAATACTATATCATAAAGTTAAATATTAATTTTAACAAGTGAAAATTGTTTTACTATTTTGCTTTAAAATAACATATAACAAAAAAAATAAATATATACCAATTTAATTTAATATGATAAAAACTTCTCCAAAAAGTAAAGCTTGTGCTTGCAGTAGGTGAGTTCATAAATGAAAAACTAAAATTGTTATACAATAATATGTAGGTAATAGGTACTAGTATTTATAATCAATGGTAATATCAATTACTATTAGTAAAAATATAATACTTTGGTACAAAGTATATTATTTTTATATACACAAAATTAATCTTATTATACAATCATAGTGTTATATTTATATGAAATCAATATTATTTAGATCAATTGAATTAGTATATTTCACAAAGTTTTTATTTTAGATTCTGAATGGAACGAAGAAGCTTGTGGGTTTTAAAAAAAAATGTTTTTTTTTTTTCTGTGGACAATTTTTTTACCAGAGATCTTGCTCCAATTTAAAATGATAGCAATTTTTCTAAAAGGAAATTTGACTGGGGAGGTACTTTAAAGAGGTCATTTTTCGATTTTCTCAAGAGTTTTCAAAGCAAATTAAAAAATTGTTTTCAATTTTTTCGATTTAAGCACTAGCTGTATATAATATAATAAATCAATATTAATGTTCTAAGGCCGTCCAAAAAAAGTGTGCTGTTCCTTTGGCGGAGGATTTGGACGACAAAAATTACGAAGATCTTTTAGCCACTGCTATACTGAATAAGGTACCTATACGATTTATATATTATATTATATTTTCATGGCGTAGTACTTACTTTGTAAAAGTATTAACACATTAACCAATATTATGTGAAACCTTTTTTCGTATGTGTTAAACTCGTATACGGCTTCCCGACATTTATAATTTATTATAGTAATTTAGAACACAGATATACTTATGTAAGTAACTATCTGTTATATTATTATAGATACCACATTATCAACTATGTTTGTAAGTTTTAAAATGCTGCGTTGATTGTTATTGAGCAGTTTTTTTTTTCTATTACAATTTTTTTAATTTTACAGATAGTTTCAAACAGTCAGACAAAGAAAAAAATTCCCAATGGATATACTCGAACGTATAAACATCGCCCTTCTAGTAAGCAACTGGGTAAGTGTATACATTGTTTATTTTTCAACAAAACACGTGAAATTATAATTGATGTGCAATATATAATAATGTTAAAGTGGAACCAAAAGTGAATTCTTCCGATCCGAGAAAAATCGACGTGGATTCTTCAAGCACCGCTAGACTGTGTTTAACCGTAAGTGTAGTAAACACATATGTATATTTTAACCAAATTTGGGAAGTAACTAGTTAAAAAGTTAAAAGTTGATTTGTAGTAGGTACTTTTTTAATAACTTTTAACTTCCGAGTTAACAAAAAAATTATATATAGTAAATAAATATATAAATAAAAATGTATGTATAAAAATAAAAAGTAATAAATAAAAGAATGAATGCGTCGCCTGGAGTATTATGATATGACTGGTTTTTACATTTTGACTGTGATATACTTGATGATGAATTTTTAATTTATAACCGGTCGTATAATACTTATTTTTTTCTTTCTCTTTTCTAGTCTGTGGACACGTTTTTCCTAGTGAACTTGCTCCGATTTTTACGTGTACTAATTTTTCGGAAAGCTCAAGTTGTCTAAGTTGTACCTTAATGTGGTTATTTTTTATTTTCAACGCCATTTTTTAAATAAAAGCACTTAAGTAGGAAAAAACGTGGAATTTCACAATTTCATTATTTTATAAAAACACAGACGACGTTTTCTACCAAAAAAATGATTTAATCGAAAAATCACAATACACTTTTTTTGTTGCCTTCTTGAATTACTTTCATACGGTATCATNTAATAACTCTTATATTGGATTTACCTAGACGTCGTAAAATTTCCAAAATCATCGGACGAATTTTTTTTTTTAGTAAGCCTTTTGAAATCAAATTTAAACGAAAATCGCAAAAAAAATTACGGCACTTCAAATTATGCATTACCGAACTTAGCTCGGAATTGTCTTTTGTCAAGCAATGGTTTATCGTTGCTAACAAATATAAATGAAATAACCCTATGTATCCTACCTCCCCAACTTCTTACTTAATAGTGGCCACTCCCATCCCAGCTATAAGCTTTTTTTTATTTTTATATATGCATTTTTTATTTATATATTTATTTTCGAGTATTAACCATTTTAATAATTTTGTTTTACTTTATTATTTTATAAAAAAAAAAAAAAAAAAATTGTTATAAAATAACTTTAATTGATATCATTATCACATAACGGTCATGTGGTGGAATACCAATATGAGTATTGATTTTCTATTTGATGAGTATAATGGGGTACAAAATAGGATGTAAAAATACAAATATGTGTGAAATACGTAATTTTAAAAAAGATAACTTTTAATTTTTAACTTAACTCAAGTTATTATTTCCCTGAATATTAATAATTTAACTATCCTGTTAAATACTGATCGTTTAATTATACGCACAGGTTGAAGAATTTACCAAAGAAGTAACGACGACCAATTACAGTGCATACTCCGATATTGAAGGCGATTACGACGATGGCTATAACGAAGGTGATGACGAAGACGATGAAAGATCGCAATCGGCCATCAAGATTTTCATGTCCAACGCGAAATTACTTCGAGGACACAAAATCCCTATGCCTGAATTCGGGTCTGACACCGTCGATGGTAATATTAAATAGCAATACAAATTATTTACCTATATCTGTGTATACACGACCACGAGATGAAATTAATGTTTATTTTCTTTTTCGAATTTTCCCGAAAATACAAATTGTATTGTGTCTGTTAGAATAAATACAGTAGCATATTTCCGGGGAAAATTAGGGAGACATATCTTCCTCTTGAATTTTTTCTACTGTCTATACTATTTATATGACTACCTACCTACTTATTTTAGATTCTGAGTGTAGAGAATAATATATTGATTTAAAGATTAAAATAAAATAACAAAATGTATATTGCATGCCATCTCTTACATAGGTTTGTCCGAGTTAAAGTGGCATTTTCCTTCTTACTTTTACAGACTTAGGCCTGACAGTAGAACTTAATTATTGTTATACTGGTGTCGTTAAAAATGTTTTATTTTTTTTGTTAATTTTTTTTTGTTAATTATTTAACCTAACCTAACCTAACCTAACCTAATTCACTTAAATATTTTTAATTTGATTGTGTTGTAAAAGCTTTAATATTTTTTTCATAGTTATTAAGAAATACAAATTCTTCGTCTCGATTAGTTTTGATGTTCAAATTATCTAAAGCTGTATGTAAATCAATCATAGTACCTGGCAGTTTAGGATAAATGCTTGATCGGATGTAATGTATATTGTTTCGAACATGTTTAATGTCATCTGAGATCAATGTGCTAATATCTCCTTTTAATAGTTCACGATGCAGTATTTTACTAGATTTTTCAAAAGGATCGTCTAAAGTTTTAAATTATTACATACCTGCTGTCTATTTTATTTTTTTTTTGTCATCTTTTTTATGATGATGATCCATATTTCTGAATATGACTTCATATTCACTATTTAATTTGATGTAAGCCTTACACGATCATTTACTGCAAGCCCACCATTCAATATCATTACATAATAATTTTTGAAAATAAAATTTAAAATCATTTATTAGAACTAACTAATTTTTTTTTTCACTGAGCATAATATTTTCAACTAGTGGTTCCATATTAACGTTCCAATGCGTACTAATATTATGAAACTTAGAAAACCCATTTTTTTCAATATCTAATATAAGTATATATACTATCTAATATAGTATACACTACATACGACACTCGTGGTAATCCCGCAATTTTTTTATTTTCGTCGTTGATATGAAAATTATATACAGCATGTAATTCGAACAGACATCGATAAAAAAATGGCATGCAATTCGGGCGTTCCAATTTACATTTAATTTTTTGGCATGAAATTTGGATGCACCAAAGTTGACTGGAGGAATATGAATATCTGAATTTAGTTAATCTGCTGCTCACAAGTGTTTTTTTTTTTTAATCGAATATTTCTACCATTTTGATAATATCAACATTGCTTTATTATACTGACAAAATAATAAGGCGCGATTAAGTTCATATACGAGTTTTATATTATCCGAACTGAAGTTATATAATCAAATATTTTAAATTGGATATATAATTGAAACTTATTGTTGAGGAAATGTTTAATAGATTACTTATACTTAGCTAGATCTGGTTAAGACTGCCTAGATCTATATTATAGTCCGAAATAGAATACTGAACTGTTTAATAAATATCCTGCAGACTGCAGCGTTACCGCGGTGGACCCCGACGACCAGAGAATCAGTGGCACGGTAGATTCGTGGGAGGACAATTGGCTGTTTCAGAAAAAACGTGTCGTCCGATCATCCGGGTCAAACAACAACCACTACCACCATCCAGTTCCCGTACCGATGTTGGTGCCAAACCCATCTGAAGTGACCAGGCCGCTGATCGGCGATCGCGACGCCGATGAGACATCCGAACTATCCGACTACTCGAATTCGGATTTGAACGATTTACTCGAACTATGTACCTAATATTATTAAATTATCTGAAAAAAATTGTTCATAGAAAAAAACTAATCGAATTGATTTAGGAATCAAATTTCCATCACACCATAAAGACAAAAGACAAAAAAAATTATCATGGTTTAAATATCTTATAATTTAAAATGTTTCAAACTCAAATTATTTACTTGGTAATAATAATATCGAAAAATTTAAACCGACGTTTCGTAGAGCTAATTCTCTTTGTTTTACTTGATTCCTTAACCCAGTCTATAACCCGAGTAGTTTTTGAACATGCAAAACGGTTTTTCGTTATGCTTGCGACACAGGAATATGTGTATTTTAAAATGAACCTGAATATTTTGAGTGAATAAATTATCATTTTACCAAAATATCAAGAAAATATACTATACACAACCTCTTAAAAAGGCAGACCAACATCTATTCATGGCAAAAGCACTTACTTAGTCTCAATCATTTTTCATTTTTCAAAATGAGTGGTTTTTGACTACGCATTTATTGATTTATCTAAACCAACTCAACAAGTAAATGCGTACTTCCGATTCTAGCTACACTATCAAATTAAATGTAAAAGCCACAAACAAATTTAAAAAAATGCATCATTTTTATTAATATTGACGAACTAAGGATACATTTTGAAAATATAGTAAATTTAAAATTACGTCAAAATACATATTATAATATGCAAAAACAATGAAAAATGCGATTTAATATCAAACTGTATTTATTTTGTTCCTATTATATATTATGTTATCAGAAACTCAAAAACTAAAACTTTGTTTTAACATTAAACATTGATATATATGATACATACAAAACCTTAGTAAAAAAATACATTTTATAGTAACAGGAGTAGCACTTGCCCCTTGAGTTTTTCCATGAATTTGCTCTTAACATTTTAAATACGAAAAGTAGCACGTCCTCTGATCAGTGTTCTCGGACATGAAACTAAATGTCTAACGCGCTTTGTGTATGTTTCCCATAGCCGATTTTGAGTTGGAACACGATCGGACGAGTCGCTCGGATTTCGACACAAACTCCACCGTCGATCATATGACGTTCGAAAGCCCTAGTAGTGAAGAGGACAATCTGCTCATCTGGGATCCCGTGGTGGAGGCTTGCAACAAGCATGTTGCACTCTTCCAGGTCGATTCCGGTAAGCCGTTAATTTCCGCGGTGGCTATATAAAATATAATATTAAATCTCTAAATTATTATGTGGAAGTACCAACATTAATATGGAATTTTCTTATCGACGTGTGTTTGCAGGACAGGGTTCCATGGATCATCAGAAGGACCTTGAAAATTCTCTAGAAGTGTTCAACGAAAAACCGGTGCCTAGACCCAGGTAATTTTCCCTACCGTAGTATACTCGTATTATAGTACGTATGCAATTATTACATACATTTTGACAAGACGTGTCAACAAAAAAATATAGACGGTAATGTTTGGTCAGAATCACGTATTGTTTCAAGAAAATTGACAAAATAATTTATCAAGCAAATTCAAGTTTAGGAATTGTATTTATTTATTTTTTTGCCGTCGGTACAGGTCCAGTCTATTTTCGAACACCATCGACAGTGAAGTTAATTCAGTATCTTCAGAAGAATTGCACGCCACTGTACCGGAAGACGAACCGCTGCCCCCAAAGCCAGGTATACACGAATGATTATATGAACTATTAATATAATTAATATAAACTATAGGTAAAGTTGGACAGTATTTTAGATATAATATTATGCCATGTATTGAGGTTCAGTTCTAAAAAGTATCAAGTATATCTTGTTATGCGATACTGTAATCAATTTATTTAGTATTAAGAATCTAGATACTAATTTTTGAATATTTTCTCCATAATAGATGCTCAAAGAAGGGGACAAGTTGGATCATTTTCTCCCTCGGTCTTTTTGAACATACATTAAAACATCATATCTAGTTCACATCCATCTTTATTTAGTAATTACTTCTACTTTGATGTAAAACACTATTGACTTCTTCATGTATCTTTCTCTAATAATTTTATGCATTTTTAGATTCCGAGCGTAGCGAGGGCGCTATGGGTTTTACTGAGATGTTTAATTTTTTTTTTCTTACAGTCTGTGGACACGTTTTTCCTAGTAAAATTGCTCCGATTTTTACATGTATTAATTTTTCGGAAAGCTCAAGTTGTCTAAGTTGTACCTTAATGTGGTTATTTTTTATTTTCAATGCCATTTTTTAAATAAAAGCATTTAAGTAGGAAAAAACGTGGAATTTCACGATTTCATTATTTTATAAAAACACAGACGACGTTTTCTACCAAAAAAATGATTTAATCGAAAAATCACAATACACTTTTTTTGTTGCCTTCTTGAATTACTTTCATACGGTATCATTGCCAACACTTTTGAGCTACTTTTGAGGTTTGAAGGAATATTAATTTTTGGGAGTATTTTTGCTATAATTTGGTTATAAATACACGTAGAGACTTGAAACTTAGTAATAACTCTTATATTGGATTTACCTAGACGTCGTAAAATTTCCAAAATCATCGGACGAATTTTTTTTTTTAGTAAGCCTTTTGAAATCAAATTTAAACGAAAATCGCAAAAAAAATTACGGCACTTCAAATTATGCATTACCGAACTAAGCTCGGAATTGTCTTTTGTCAAGCAATGGTTTATCGTTGCTAACAAATATAAATGAAATAACCCTATGTATCCTACCTCCCCAACTNAGCACTTAAGTAGGAAAAAACGTGGAATTTCACAATTTCATTATTTTATAAAAACACAGACGACGTTTTCTACCAAAAAAATGATTTAATCGAAAAATCACAATACACTTTTTTTGTTGCTTTCTTGATTTACTTTCATACGGTATCATTTTCAACACTTTTGAGCTACTTTTGAGATTTAAAAGAATATTAATTTTTGGGAGTATTTTTGCTGTAATTTGGTTATAAATACACGTAGAGACTTGAAACTTAGTAATAACTCTTATATTGGATTTACCTAGACGTCGTAAAATTTCCAAAATCATCGGACGAATTTTTTTTTTTAATAAGCCTTTTGAANAAATAACCCTATGTATCCTACCTCCCCAACTTCTTACTTACAACAGTGGCCGCTCCCATCCTCAGTATTAGCTCTTTTTTTTTCTCGTTTTATTTTGTAAATCATAATACATACCTGTCTTGTTTATGTAAAAAAGGGCTCAGCCCGTATGTTCTAAAATAAAATATCTGATATCGAGTATTTAAATACTCATTTTAAAATATCTTGCTTATTCGTGACGATATAGGTAATAATATTTCAGCCTGTTTGTATTTGCTACAGGTACGATAGCGGAACGGGAACATTCCAAATGGCAAAAGGCGGCACCCTTAGCCAACAATCCGTACTCGGCAGAAAACATCGAAAAGCGCAAATATAAGTCGTTATTCGGCAGCCGAAGCAGCAGCGAAGCGTCACTTCAGTATGTACCTTCTAGTTATTTTTTTTACACCTATTATTCTACTAGTTTTTTTTCACACAAATTATTCTTCAAGTAAAAAGTTATTTTTTTATATAATTTTCTGTTACATACGTATATACAATCTGTATGTAAACAAGACAAATAATAAATCACACCGAAAAAGTTTTCTCGCCAAATATTATAATAATATTTAATTGTTTTTTTTTCTTTCAAGAAATATAAACATCTGCAGCTATAACAATGATAATATGTGCAGCTCGTCGAAAATAATTTGCAGTCCGTCATTACCTGACACACAGCGGTATTAATTAATTTAATATTATTAACTATTTTGATTTATTCGACAATCGAAACGGGCAAGGGATCATTTGTTTGAAAATCATGTGTTCGATTGCCGTATGTTCGAAATTTTCGAAAAACGAAAATAACATGAATTTTGGTTTTTTAAATAGAATTAATAAAATATTTTAACTATAGTTTAAGTAAATAAAAATACTGGTATTGCAGCTGATGAGTTATGTGTCACTGTTTTGGGAAAAAAGTTGAGAGAGAAGTTGGGAGGGAAGATAATCAGAATAATTTAATGTATACCTGTACGCAACGATAAACCGTTACTAACTAATAATGAATAAAGATACTGCATAAAGTATTATTGGACATATTTTTTCCCTTTTTTACCAAGATAACTAAGAAATCAACAAAAATCATACAAACAATTGCCAGTTTTTCTCATTTATTAAAAAAACTACAAAAAATTAGCATCCTCAATGCACTAACTAGATCAAAAATGCTATAAAAAAATTATAAAACGTTTTTTATTGGATTTTTCTATTGAACAAATTGTTTACAGACATAAAACAAAAAAACATCATAGTAAAATCAATCCATTCCTCGTTTCGTTCAGAATCTATAAATTGTAAAATATCTAATGTATAATCTTAAATTTAAATGCCATAGTTACCTAATAAATAAAATCTAATAACTTAAATTGTAAAATATTCCTTTAGAAACCCAATAATACAGTGTAGTATTGATTTTCAGTGAATTTTGTTTAAATAATGAAAATTAGATTCCTGTTAATTTTGTTTTTCGACCATATTGGCCTTACTTTTAAACATTTGTATTATAATATAGTGGACTAAGGAGCTTTCGAACATATTTTGACGTTCAAATAAACGATATTCAAACACATGACATGCTCCAATCGAAACGAACTCCCTGAGATTTCGACAAATCGTCGCAATAATTTATTATTATTATTAGCATAAGCGTGCGCAAGAGTGAGGCAGAGAAGGCCGTGGATTCCCTTGCTATATTTTCCGCCCCCTACACAACCTTCCATCCAGGACTGGCTTGGAAAAAATCGAGGCTTTGTGCAGTCATTTTTATGAAGCCTCCATAAGGTTCTTTTTTCCCCTTTTTTTTCTTCCAATACCAAATGTAGATACATTTTTACAATACAGTTATTTATAGTTCATTAATTTTAATTTGTATTATCCTAAATAATCATGTGAAATTACTATCTAGCTACGATAACGACTAAACGCGAGGTCTTTAAAAGCGCGAGGCTCTGTGTGCGTGCACAGCTTATACTGTATTCAAGCTGGTCTTTCTTCCATCAAAGTATTTATTATACAGGATGATAATCATAACATAGGGTACTCATTATTTCAGAAAATATTAACGTTTTTTCGGAACTTGTTTTTTAAAACATTTAAAAATAAATAACTCTAAAATATTGCATTACTTTTAAACGAAAAAAATTAATACTTTCCGAAATAATGAGTTTCTTACGTTATATTGATCACTTTGTATACATATAATATTTTTTTAATGACACTGAAAATTTGTTTTCTTATCAGTTACCGTACTTATTTTTATTTACTGTACATTACATAGAGCATGTTTCATGTTTTTCGTCAAATAATAATTATGGTAATACATCAACGCCCATAATTTAATTTCAAATATCATGTCATCTTGAGGTCATAGTTGAAAACAAATTCGAAGTTCAGGCTCTTGGACGCCCCCTACCACCACCAGCTATGGTCTTGCGTCTCCAACCAAGAGAAACTGCGCACGCTTATGATTATTATATTACGTATTATTATTACGATATTACACTACACCGACCTGCTTTTCTATTATATAGGTACGGCCGAGACTACTACATTAATCAATCCGAAGAATTAAAATCCAGACTAAAACAGGTTAGTGCTCGCTACAACGACATTGATACTTTCGAAAAATCAATAGTCTACGGAACTTTGCCCAGAAGCGTGTTTAGGAATCAGAACGGTACGCGCGAATTTGTTAAAAATCCCATTTATCACGAAGATGTTTAGAATTTCCGAGATGTAATGACCACGCACCACATTATAATATTATTGACGTTTTGTGTGTACATATTATAATATTATTACATATAGTTTTTACCTATATTTGTTTTGCCATGATAAGTACTATATTACATAGGTACTATATGGTAAGGTTTTAGGTTTATATGATATTTTTCGTGCAAATTTAAAAAGAGTTACCATAGTATTATTGTTTTATAATTACCTACATTAAAATATAATCTATCGTTTATCATTGAATTTGTTTTTATTTGCGTCTTTTCTGCGCATTTTACTAGAACTTGGCTAGGATAATATTAAATATTAGGTCAGGGGTTCCCAAAATGTGAAGCATAAAATAAATATTGTACACATTTCTCGTTTGGAAAAAATGGTTAAAAAAGGATTAGGTAATTAGACTTTAGCATTCTGGAATTTAAATCTAATTAAATAATGTACATACCGAAATTAGCAACAATATATCTGTTAAAACCGTTTGCGATTTTGTATTTATTTTGTATCACACAAGATTTTTAGCAGTGGTCGTAATTTAAATATCAGTCCAAACCCAACACACGGAAAAAGAAATGCATATAAAAAAATTAAAATAAAGTTGCAAAAGTGTCCGACCAAAGATAATCTTATATTTATATTATTATCGTCAAGACATTGGAAGCGACGAGTTTCTGTCTTTGTCTTTGTCTTACACACGTGAGATATAGGAATTTAGACGTGTTTTAATTCCAACGTACCCATTGATCTAGTGAAGCGATAAGAATTCTGGAAACTGATTTGAATTTATCGTGAAGTCTATGATCCTTGAGATCAACTTTCTCTCTTTTTAAATTCACCTCCTAAAATTCTAAAATAGCCATAATAATAAAAGAGTAATTATAAAAAATGGACTATTTAAATTTTTTGGAAATTTAAAATCAAAAATCAGCTGATACTGGGAACGGGAGCGGCCACTATTAAGTAAGAAGTTGGGGAGGTAGGATACATAGGGTTATTTCATTTATATTTGTTAGCAACGATAAACCATTGCTTGACAAAAGACAATTCCGAGCTTAGTTCGGTAATGCATAATTTGAAGTGCCGTAATTTTTTTTGCGATTTTCGTTTAAATTTGATTTCAAAAGGCTTACTAAAAAAAAAAATTCGTCCGATGATTTTGGAAATTTTACAACGTCTACGTAAATCCAATATAAGAGTTATTACTAAGTTTCAAGTCTCTACGTGTATTTATAACCNCAAGAAGGCAACAAAAAAAGTGTATTGTGATTTTTCGATTAAATCATTTTTTTGGTAGAAAACGTCGTCTGTGTTTTTATAAAATAATGAAATTGTGAAATTCCACGTTTTTTCCTACTTAAGTGCTTTTATTTAAAAAATGGCGTTGAAAATAAAAAATAACCACATTAAGGTACAACTTAGACAACTTGAGCTTTCCGAAAAATTAATACACGTAAAAATCGGAGCAAGTTCACTAGGAAAAACGTGTCCACAGACTGTAAGAAAAAAAAAATAAACATCTCAGTAAAACCCATAGTGCCCTCTCTACGCTCGAAATCCAAAATTAAAAAATAGTAAGCCCGATATCTAGTAGACTCCACGACAAATCAAATCTGCCTTCAAAATCCTTAACGTTTCATTAGATCATTCAGTACATTGGAAATAAAATACGTCTAAATCTTTATATCTCACGTGTGTAAGACAAGACAGAAACTCGTCGCTTCCAATTCTCTTAAGTTCTTTTATTATACAATCAAAACGTGTAATTTAATGTATATTTAATGATCATCTATACAAAAATAACAATCTTCGCTTTTTTATAAATATTTTACCAAGGAAATTGGAATTCCAATATTTCGCTTCGCTTTTTTACGTTATTGGTCGCTATTGAATAATACAGTACAATGGACACAAAAATATATTTATTTTATAATTAGCGTTATAAATCATAATAAAATCCAAATTAAATATATATGGGGTTCCCAAAAATTATCTGTGAACTGTGATCAATATCAATGTACATAATACAGGTACCTCAATAAAACAATCGTGTGCTTAGGAATTTTTATGTATTTCAAATTATTCATATTATATTTTATGCGAGTTTCAATTTAATACAGTTAATTATATAGTTAATTAATAATTATTGGTTTTCATTATTATTATTATTTCTTATTATTGAGATCTTCGTTTTTTTATTTTTATTTTACGGCAACATATTGAATCAGGAACATTCAGAAGAAGTTCGCCAGCTTAAGCCGATATTTTCTCCTTAAAAAGTAAACCGGTATACTTTTAAGAAATTCACAGGATTAACCGGTTAAAAATTGAGACACACAAGTTTACTTTTTTTCGACTGTTGTAGCAAGGTGGTCGAAAAATGCCGATCCCGATCCCACACCTAACCTGACTTTCCCTTTATTATCTGTTATCACTTTATGTTAACAATTTTTACATTAAACAATAGTGATGGTAAACTGCTAAAGAAATGGCTAATTTTAAATAGCTACTATAAATAAATAATATTATGTTATCATATAATTTTAATTTCCTTTTTTACGAGCAGCTAATTTTATAGCAGTTGGCAATATCAGATAAGCTCATAGAAGTATAAATTGTATAGATACAGTACAAATTATCATTTCATTTATCTGCTCTTGGCCTTGTCGGCGAGCAGTATGTGATTTAAGCAAATTTTAAAATTTTTAGCAATCACTGCTAATAACAGTCTATTATTGCTATAGTAAAATAGCAGTGCTATTATAGTTGCTACTGCTATTTCTTACCATCACTATTAAATAAATTAAACCAAATTCCTTTTACAAATAAATGTTACTACTCACCAGCGAGTACTTATTGTACTATTGTCTTATTCTATGGTTGTACAAATATATCAAAAATATGGACACAACGATTAGTGCAATTTTTATTAAAAATAAAATCTTTAAAACTGACCATTTCAACGTTATTATCCATTTTTATTTTTGTTAAAAGCAAATTCAAAATTGTAACGTCAATAATAATATGATAAGCAAAAAGAATGTCATGTGATAACTGGTAATAAGAATAACGGAAGGGGTTAACAAATTAATTTCATGAATTTTTAACTTAACCGGTGTATTTGTATATTAATTTAGAATAAGTTAACAGTAAGCTTAAGGAATAAAGAGTAACACTTAAAAAAAAGGATTAACAATAAGCAGAAGTAAACCAGAGTATGAGTTTTAAGTACATAGGAACTTTTGTACTATATAACGGTAGCTTCCGTGATTAGATAAAGTGGAAAGGAGTAATTTGTTTAGTTTGAGTAGAGTGAAATAATTTTTTTGGATTGACTTTAAAATATTTTTGAATTAATCTATTTTACATTTTTATGCAGACATCCAAAACTGGTTAGTAAATTAGGAAGAAGGGTCTATGTTCTTAAAAGTAGGGGACGGTTTTTAATTAGCCTAGGAGAGTCTTTTAAATAAATCCGGTCCTGGCAAGAGCTAAAACTAATATGAGAAAAAGAAAATTGTACCAATAAAACTGCTTTGTGAGAAAAAGTTCAAGAAAGGAAAAAATATCTCTCAATATAGCATCATCAAATTTATTGAATCTTACATTTATTACCGTTTACAACATTTTCCTTAAATTTACTATATTTTAGGTTTTGAGCGAAACGAGGAATGTTTTGGTTTTACAATAATATATTTTTTTTTTTATATAGAGTACAAAATTACCACCAGAAATCTTGCTCCGATATATCAAGCGTAGGACCTTTTCTGAAAGGAAATTTTATCTAGTTGGTACCTAGAAGAAGTCTTTTTTTGTTTTCTACGCGGTTATCATAATAATTAGGTAAAACCGAGAAGAAATGTAAGAAAAACGGAAAAATTTACAAAAACAATGTTTTTACTATTTTCGATTTCGTTTTTTTGTTGTTATTAAATTTAACTAATCATAAGAATATGCTTGGCCGGACACTTCTGCACACAACTATATGTACATTATAAATATATGGGAAATGCATACAGAAACAATGACAAATTTCAACCCATTTCATTTTATATTATTTAATCGCGGGAAGCGTGAGAAAATTCTTCTATTTTTAAGGAGATTAAACAATATTAACAATATTGAGCAATATTTCGATGTCCCGGGGATTATACACTGTAATAATGTATAGCTATAGTCTATAATATAGTTAATCAAAATATAAATTTTACTTACTTACTTGAATACAGGGGCGTCTCCAAACCTCGAGTATGAGGGGGGGGCGAAATAATTAAATTTAATATTAATTTTTGATAAGAAAAAAAGACATACATATATCGCACGATGGGTAAACCACTGTTGTAGATGAGAAGTTGGAAAAGTAGGATATAGAGGAAAATTTAATGTATATTTGTAAGCAAAAATGAATCATTGTTAACGAAAAACGATTCTGAGCAGAACTCAGTTAATTGTATTACTTTTTCAACAATAGACATGTCATATTACAGTAAAATAAATATTATATTGGAACAATTTGTGTGGATCAGTAGCTAGATTTGTTCCACTAATTTTTACTAAAACCATTTTTGATATTAAAATTTTTATGAAAAAAATGTACTACATTGAATTACATTTTTTTTGTTTTTACTGCAAAGTACGACTTATAATTATTACCTATTCAATTTTCGAGTATTTCTACTTTGTCTAAAAATTGTATCCACTGAGTACCAACCAAATAAAAATTACTCATACAATTAAAGTGCCTATAAATAGCCTAAATATGCCTTAAATGTTTTTACAGTTTAACCACGTAAAAATAGACAAATATAAGTTTTCTGTCCAAATTTAAAATCTCTACGAATAATTTTAACTGAACTGCAACAAATAATGTAATTGAAAATAATAAAAAGCATTATTTTCGTAAATTTCCTGTTTTCTTACGTTTTCTCCCGGATTTTCCCATATATTACGAAAACCACTTGGAAAATCAAAAAAATTACCTCCTCAAATACCATCTAAACAATATTTCCTTTCAGAAATAGTTCCACACGTACATATCAGGGCATGATTCCTGGTAGAAATTTTTGTCACAGTATAAACAAAAAACATCTATATAAAACCAGTATATTCTCCGCTACATTCAGAATCTACAAAATTATGCAAAATAAAATATTAATTATATTTATTATATCTACTTCTAGACTTATGACTAGTTAAATATCAATGTAAGTCCACTTCTCTTGGGGAGGGATCACCCCCATGGCCCCTCTCAGAGACGCGCCTGCTTGAATAGTGCAAATTTTAGTTCAAAGTGTGTGTAATCTAATATTATTACATTACAAATAATAATATTATTAGATACCTTCGTTTCTTTGGTTATAAACTCGTTTGTTAAATTTTTCAATCGCACATTAAAATCATATTAGTAGGTAGTGAATTTGCAGCAGATATCGTTATTCCAAAAATTCGATTCACCGGCCATCGAAATAATGGTATAATAATATTACGATTCAAAAGTACAATATAATTATATGTTTTATCTATATTAACTCAATATAAGTCCTGTTGAGATTGTGATCTGTAATATAATTCCACAATGCACCGCTCGTTCACTACGACTTTTATTGTTCCATTGAATACCACCAATTATTTATCAAATGAGTCTATAAGACGTATGATGTCTAATGCCAACATTGACCCTGCTTTTCTTATTTAATTACTTATAGTTTCATATTTTAATACTTTGTAGTTTTATTAATTTGTTAACTATTTGCTTGCTGTTTTTTTTTGTTGATCTGCTTTATTACTTCAGCTGCTGTGGCCATTATTTACATTATTTTTGTGTTAAGAATTATAATTTATACATAAAGAAATTGTTTTGTTTCAATTAGTTTGTCCAGTCCGGTAATTTTGAGAAAAAGAAGTAAATCAGCAGTTACTTGTTCTTATTAGTTTTATTTTTCTTTATTCCTCTATATCATTAATTTTTTTCTGGATATTATTGCAGTCCAAATGTATATACCTGTTATTCACTCGTTATTATACTACGAGGGCCCAGCTCGTATATTTATAATAAAATAATATCAAATAACGAGATTCGTATATTATAAATAAATAAAATTGCGTTGTACCCATACCTGTTTTTATAAGCGCTCTATTGTTTCTCGCGGAAATGTCGAAAAATCCAATTTCATGTAGCCGACTTGTGTGCGTGTGTGTTTGTTGTGTTAGACGAAGGTGTCCAAACTAATCGTGCAGATTATCGACAGTGACGGCGAGAAGTGGCGGACCGAGAATGGCACACTGGACTCTCCGGGCACTTCGCTGCAACAGCTGACTGTGGGCGACGGCGATAATTTTTCGCCCGGTAATTGCTTCGGACGACAAAACAAACTAGTCCGGGTGTGTTCTTGGTCGGACCGGCGAGACGATGACGCGCCAAAGAGTCCAATCGACAATTCGACCGATGACGTGCACATGCCTTCGGTCAAAGAGCTGGCCAAACAGTTTTCATCCAACGTGAGTATTTATTGAGTTTTATATTTTCACATTTATCAAAATTATCAACTGATCTTTTTTCGGCTTACACTTGAAGAGTTATTACGCATTGCCATCAATAAATCACTCCACCGATTTTTATGGTCTTACACATTATCCTTCGTTTCTTTTTTTAAATCAATAATTGGTTAAAGAGTTGATATTTCTCTCCATCTATCACCATAACTATCGCTTATACAACTATTTAAAGATATGCAATATATAATATATATTCTGAGTGGAGAGAGGAATGTATTGATTTTTACAATGATGTTTATATTTTAGATTCTAAGTGGAGCAAAGAAGCATATGGTTTTACAAAGATGTTTATTATTTTTTTTTTTTATCCGCGTGCAACTTTTCTACCAGAATACCAGAATATCTTGCTCCGTTTTTTAAATTAGCATCTTTTCTAAAAGAAAATCAGTGTGAGGAGTTACTTTAGGGAGGTGATTTTATAAAATAAGGTTAGGTTAGGTAAAGGGAATATAAGAAATTTAGGTATTAGTTAAAAAATATTATAGCCTTATTTTTTCTTGTGAACCACTTTTCTACCAGCAATTTTGCTCCAATTTATAATAATAGAACTTTTTCTAGAAGGAAATTTAGTGGGGAGATGTTTTAGAGAGGTTATAATTTTATTTTTTCAGGAATTTTCTCATCAAATATGAAAAACCAAAAAAAAACGTAGGAAACACAAGAAAATGTACGAAATTTATTACTAAAATTTTACGATTTTTTTCGTTAAATCGATAAAACGATTCTAATTAAAGTCCGCTGATAGTGTTGCTTTGTCAACAATATTTATGTCATATAATGGTAAAATAATTACATATGCATTATATATTTTCTTTAGTAATATTTATTTAATATTGTAACTATTTTCCCGTTTTTCCTAAATTTTTCCCAATTTTCTCATGTGTTTTTCAAATTATTATAAAAAATGCTTGAAAAAACCAAAAAACGACCTCCTTAACGTATCATGTAAATAAAATTTCCTTTCAGAAAATGTGCTACACATAATACATCGGAAGAAGAATTCTGGTAGAAAAGTTTGCACAACAAATTGAGGGTTATTTTTCGATAAATATAGTTCGACGAGCGATGATTTTCTAGGTACACCCAAAATGCATTTGTTTTTTCCTTGTTCAAGTAAAAGGGAAAAAATAAATTTAAACAATTTTTTTTGAAATACTTGTTTGAACTCACGATCGTACTTTTTGCCATATACTAGAATGATAATAACGTGCCACTATTAGACTACAATAAACATGCTTTAAATTTGATAGTATAGAGTTAACATAATATATAATATCAGAACTTCAAACTGCTATAATTTCAGCCCGCTCAATTCTGATTTCACCATCGTTCTTAAATCGGCAATATACCGAGTGATCCATTTATGTGAGTACACTCATTAACTTAGAAAGTATTAACTTTTTTTAGAATTTGTTTTCAAGAACATTTAAGAAACAAGCGGATCTATTATTTTACATTCGTGTTATTTTTGGTCACCCTTATTTTTGAGAGTAAAACCACTATCTACTTTTGATTTTCAAATGGCAACCTATATTAAAAATTCCATAAATAGATGAAGTTTTAGTTAAAATATATTTGCGTGTTGTAATTTTTGATTTCTGTCAAGCCGTTGACGAGATATTCCACTTTTAAATTTAGGTTGGAGGAGAGTAGTGGTGCACTATTAATACGCCATACGCCGTACCACCATACAAAAGAATACTTTCCGAAATAATGAGTGTACTTACTTAAATAGATCCACCTGGTACATACATATGTTCAAAAAAAAATAAAAATAAAATTTCAGATATATTTCACGTGATTTTTTATTCAAATCATTTTCCAACCATGTCTGGAAAAGGCAAATATTAGTTTCCTGTTCAAATTTCAAGTCTCTGTAAATATATTTAACTGAATTCCAAAAAATAATAAAAAACATTATTTTCGTAAATTTTTCGTTTTTCTTACGTTTTATCCCGGGTTTCTCTAGATATTATGGAAATCGCGCAGAAAATCAAAGAATGCCCTTCTTAAATTACCATCTAGCCTTGTTTTCTTTCATCCCACGTGCATATTGAAACAAGATTTCTGGTAGAATTTTTATACACAGTATAAAAAAATAAACATCATATTAAAATCAATACATTCGTCGATCGACTCGGAATCTAAAAGTTAATTATAAATACAGATAATAATACAGTTGGAATACGCCATGGTCTAAGATATAATGGAATTGTGCATGAGGTGGCAATGCATCCCAACGATTTACAACGTTATCTTTTGTCTAAATTAGCATTACTAACTGTTAATTTCCAAGATAAATAATTAGCTTTTGGTGGCTTAAATAAAAAAATCGTAGAATTTCTTTTTACACTAGTACATTCTTTCAAACTACACTTATGCGTATTAATTATTACTATTTATTTATTAATTAAAAATCATTTTAAAAATAAATGCCTACATATGAGATAGAGATTGTAAAAGTATGATTTTTTTTTTTAAGCAAGTAATATAATTAGTACAAATGTGATTCCAAATAAAACCACTGTTAGCGCTAAAACTCGTCCGTTGGTTTACAGTGTTGTTGATAAGAGGAAACTTTTGTGACCCATCCACCGTCACCCACCCGTTATGTCGTGACCATTCTATTGTATCTTAGCCCGTGACATGAATTAAGATATACATGATACGGAACGTTAAGGTATTATCAATGTTTTTCTGATTGCACCCGTTCTTACTGTTTGGCATGACATTACGTGGTGACTGTGGGATCAGCGTTAAGATAATAAAACATCACCGACTAAGCGGGTCAAAGGATCCGAATGCAACTCGTTGCAGCCCTAGGCAGTTTAGTACGGCTTGCCGGTGTTGGTGTTATATAAAAGACCCATAGACGGCAACCTCTGCGACCCTGTGTACGTCTCAAATAGCTTAAGGCTAAGATGAGGTGTTTTTTTATGTATGATCCCACTTGCGGGATGCATTCAAATCTGTTTGGCATGTCAGCTAGCACTTTAAGACAAAATCAACTAAAATCAGTTTAAAGTTTAGACTGGAGAAGTCACAGATATAGATAATAAACTAGATTGCTATCTGTGATTATACACAGATAAATTGTATCAAAATTAATGAACTCAAAAATATTTATTATGGAAGTTGCCGCGTATTTCTGTATACAATATTTACAAATTTTGCCATCCGAGAAAATGATATGCATATTATTTTCATATTTTATGAACACTCTGTATACGTAATCGTTATCGTTCGTATTTCCTATTTATTTTTATTGTGATGTTAATAATATTATGCATGAGTTTAAATTTTGATATCTGTAATCAAGAAAATATTACTATCTGGCGTCTATTATAGACACGGTAGTTGTACTCATCTCCAGTATCACCTATTTTTTTTTTTTTTTTTTGTCTTTGCTAAGTAGTAATTTTTGTTAAGAGGCCCTTTTAAAATTTAACTCTAGTTCTTTAATAGTGTCTAAACCTACCGTATTTTTAGTAAAGAGGTTCTTCTCTTTATAGAAAGCTTATTTTACTTGCGCTATTCTACTTCTTATGTTCGTCACACTTTTAATCACTTGTAATCTTACTTCCTATAAATATGTGAGATTAACTGAATCATTAATATATATTAATTTTAAAATTTTTTTATCGTTTTAGAATATCAACAGCAGCGCCTGCAAGAATCCGAACAAACAAGTAAGTACATCGCCATGTTCTTTCATTCCGAAGATATACCGTCTCCGATAAAGGAAGAGGTTCGATTATATATGTAATTCTTATATGTTTGCCGGAGGATTTGGAAACGACAACGTTTGTGCGATATTCGTACGATCATATTATTCTTCAGTTAATTTTTTTTTTGAAAGTTCATTTCATTATTATTATTATTACGTTTAGGCATAGGACATTAAAAACCTGTGTAAAAAAACTACATCATAGATATCTAGAATATTGTTGTAATAATTTTAATGACGAATAGTTTTAAACTGTATCAGATAAAACATTGTATATTAAAAAAAAAAGAAAAAAAGTCGATTGCTTATAATACTATTATTATATGGCTTTGACAGTGTGATATACATATTATTTTTGATTATAATATTAATAATCTCGTAGTAGTAATATAATATTTAATGCGAAATTTTATTCCTATCTGTCTACATAATATTATAGTTTCGAAATTATTTGTATTAATTTTAAAACGCATTAAATACTTTAAACTACACGGCCATCTATTTTGTGATAATCAAAATCATAATTTTCCATGCGCATAGGTAATAAAACATTGATCTAGTCTGATCTTCATTATTTTATATATACTGTCCACTTATTTCCTGCATTCCGATTATTGTCCAATCGGCAAAACTGATACAATAGCTAGGTCATATGAGAGGGGAAAAATGAGACAGTTAAGACAGCATTGAAATCGTAAATGCAAAGAAGATCTCGAGGAAGATTAAAGCAAATATTGATTGACAAAATGGAATGGATATTTAAAATATTTAAGAATTGAAAAATGAAAAGAAATAGTTTAAGAAAGAGACCGCAGATAGTGAAGTCACTATAGCTATGGCGGAAAAAAACTATTAAAAAGTAGGTAGGTGTGTGTTAGTAGGAGTGAGAGAGAGAGATATAATACTCGTATTTACGAATTTAACTGTCTACTGCTTTTCTTCATAATTTTGTCGCATGGCATTAAAAAAAGACTGGAAACCGAATTTGTGACGTCATAAATCACAATCATGCCGCACGATCGTGCTACAAGGCAAAAAAAGCTCCGTTTTGTCGCTTAAACATCCAAGTTCTGTTTATTACCTATGTTTAATGATCGTTTGGATCGAGTTGCTACTTTTAGATTAATTCACGGTCAATCTGATATTGCACTTTGATTTCTAGTTAACCTAACTTAATAACTCTTTTTTTCTCGTGTAGTTCAGTGGTAGAATTTTAAATTCCCTTCTTCTCCCAGAAATCAGCAATTTTAATTAAATTGTCCATTAATTGTTGTCGTTTAAAATCCACGAGCTCTCTTCTTACTGGTAGCATTGGGCATTACTAAATAACTAATAACGATATTGTACGTCTCGGAAATTCTCATAAAATTATTTGGTCGATATACTCTGTCTCAAACTAGAATACACCGGCTACCGAACAGTTTTTGTTAGTTTCCGTGCATCTGCTATAGTAACCGGTCTGCTAGTGACCGCATAGTGGGAGGAAAATCGGGCTACGAGTTTCCGCAGTTGTCAGACCCGTCAGTCAGACGATGCGCAAACCCGGCGTATTTTAGTTTGAGGCAGAGTATAGTTAAAATGTAAAATAAATAAAACACCTTAACTGCATAGTGACAGTATTATGAATAATTTACGGGCTACCAACTATACTATTTTCAGAATAAGAACGCGCCGGGCAGCGGACTGAAATCGGCTCGTGTGCGCGCATGTCTTTACTAACTAATTATTAATAACCAATCACAGAACATCTGACGCTGTTTGGATGCGAGGGCGCTGCGTTCTTATTCCGAAAATAATATAGTAAGCTTGAATTAGAGAAAAAAAAATGAGAATAGACACTGGTTTTAATTTAGAAATCATCGTTTCATGTCAGATAAATAGTACAGTGACCAACCTACACACAAAGTAAATTAAATAGTTGTTATCACAATCAAAAAAATTGTAAATAATACCTTACTATAAACAACATTATTAACATCTTCGTAAAATCCACTTCGTTAAATAAAAAATAAAACATTAAATATTGGGACAGAAAAAAAAAATAAAATTTTAGGTTGATCTTTGATAAATCATCAGCTTAGCTTTTGAATCACGTGAAGCTATAAAAAAAAGACTTCTTAGGATAATGGATACAGGTGCAGCCACTTTTATAGGTAATTTATTGTATATCTGTAGGCAACGATAAACCATTCCTAACGAAAAAACAATTCTGAGCGCAGTTCAGTTGATAGTGATGCTTTGTCAACAATATGTATATGACAATATGTCATATTAAAGTAAAATAATTAAATAGTTATTATATATTTTCTTTAATAATATTTGTTTAATATTGTATAGATTTTCTAATTTTTCCCGGTTTTCCCATGTTTTTCCCCAGATTATCACATTTCCTTAGAAAACTCTTGGAAAAATCGAAAAACGAACTCCCTAAACCATGGAGATAAGTTTACTTTCAGAAAATAAGCTACACTTGATACATTGAAGCAAGATTTTTGGTAGAAAAGTTTGCACAATAAATCGAGGGATATTTTTCGATTATAATCGTCCGAGCGAGCGATAGCTAGGTGTCTAGGTACACTTAAAAGCATTTTACAGTATTTACAGTTTGGATGTGTTTGTTTTTTACCAATTTAGATGAAAGGAAATGTAAACAATTTTTTTTCAAACCTCGGGGTTCAAACCTGCAACCCCTAATATGACAATACGTATTCATAACCATTCGACCATAATAAACGTATGATAAAAAATTCAAATAGAGTTAATAAATCTATAATTTCGAAACTTAGGCAGACTGCTCAATTCTGACTTTACCATCCTTCTTAAATCGAAAATACGCGTATGTTCAAAAAAAAAAATTGAAAAATTAAATTTGTTCCACATAATTTTTTACTCAAACAATTTTCGTCAAAATATAGTATCAAAATTCCTTTATAAAAACAAATACTACATTAAACTCAATTTTATTTTTTTACCACAAAGTAAAATTTGATGAACCTCCCTTTTAAATTTTCAAGCATTCCGTTAATTCTTAAAGTTTTTGAAGATTTGTCCACGTCTAAAAAACGTAAATATAAATTTTCTGTTTGAATTTCAAGTGTCTACGAATATTTTTAACTGAATTACAACAAATAACAAAATTGAAAAATAAAAAAAGCATTATTTTCGTACATTTCCCGTTTTTCTTACGTTTTATCTTGGTTTTTTCCTAGATATTAAGAAAACCGCTTTGAAAATCAAAAATTTACTTCACAAAAGTACCAACTGGACAAGATTTCCTTTCAGAAATGATACCGCGCTTATATATTTGAGCATGATTTCTGGTAGAATTTTTGTACACAGGATAAAAACAAAAAAATTAAAAAATAAACATCTTAGTAAAACCAATACATTCTTCTCTACACTCAGAATCTAAAAGGTACAATTGAAAAACCAGTAACGGATTTTAGATTCAGATTGGAGCAAAGAAGCTTATGGTTTTACAATGATAATTTTTTATTGTTTTGCGAAGACTTGCTAAAATTTTTAAGTGTAGCACCTTTTTTGAAAGGAAATCTGTGTGGGGAAGTACTTTAGGCAGGTCATTTTTTGATTTTCTCATCAAATGTGAAAAACCGAAAAAAAAAAACGGGAAAATGTACGAAATATATTAGTAAAATATTACGATTTTTTTTTTTTTTGTAGACTACTTTTCTACTAGCAATTTTACTCCAACTTATAATGAAAGTAATTTTGTATAAGAAAATTTCACTGGGGAGGTACTTTAGAGAGGTCGTTTTTCGATTTACTTAGGAGTTTTGTCATCAAATTTGAAAAACTGAAAAAACCAAGGAAAACAGGAAAATATAAGAAATATAGATATTAGTTAAAATGTATTACGGCCTTTTTTTTCTTATGAATAACTTTTCTAACAGCAATTTTGCTCCAATTTATAATTATAGCAGTTTTTTTGAAAGGAAATTTTACTAGGAAGGTACTTCGATAATTTTTCGATTTTTCCAAAAGTTTTCCCAGCAAATGTGAAAAACCGGGATAAAACATGGGAAAACTGGGAAAAACGGTATAACATTAAACAAGTATTTTAAAAAAAATGTATAAAGCCTATTTAATTATTTTAATGTAATATCACATATATATTGTTAACAAGGCATCACATCAACTGAACTCCGTTCAGAATCGTTTTTTCATAAGCAATGATTTATTGTTGCTTACAGGTATACATTAAATAATCTATAACAATAGTAGCACCCACCCTCATTATCTTAAGGCATTTTTTTTTAATCTGTGAGGGTATCGTAAGAACATAAGTAATAAGGTTTTCGTTCAATAAAATTTATTTCGATATTTTGACTTTTTTTTTACCCTTAATCCAAAAACCAAAGATCAATAATCGAATTTTAATTTTAGTGACAATAATAAATAATATTGGTTAACAGTTATGCTGTTCAAATAAAGACAGACGCTTCCAATAAAAACGTGCTTAATATTCCTTGATAAATTAAATGTATTAAAAAATTAAAGCACATTCAGTTCACATGTATCCCTCTCAAGTCGAATACTGCCAAATAAATAGGTTGCATAGATAGGATATCAAAATTTGCAACATTCAAGATGCAGTGAAAAAATACAAACAACATGTCGTTATCATGGTTATATTAGCATATACAATAATGTGCACAAATCGCCATAGACGAAATCCGCCATATTGAAGAACGAAAAAATGTACAGGTCTAGTTTAAGGATGGCCTATCAATTGTTTATTATCCATATTACCTATTATAGTATTATTTATTATCTATCACAATGATATTTGTTGTACCACAATTAGTACTAGGTCTACATGTCTACTCTATAATTTGCGTAAAAATAAGAAAATTAAAAAAATATAGGTACTAAGGTAACCAGTGACGTATTTAGTCCCGCTTGATTTTTTTATTTTACTACCTTGTTTTTTTGGTGTGCCTAATACGGCCTTGTTTATATGACTTTAACTGATCGATTTTGCAGGTACACAGTTTGACGGCCAGGAGCCTCAGCCGCGAATACAGGGAAGGATTGGGTTTGAAGGTGCGCGAGAAAAACGAACACGCAATACACGATTCGGACGACAGCGGAAACGGATCGGCGAAATCCGTAGACGCTGCCGTGGCTTGCGGTCTCGTCCGGTCGCCTGAATAAAACACTTGCAGTCAATTAATACAAATAATAAATGTATTAATATTATAATATTACTCAGACATATATCACCCGTTATCATCTTATTACCTATATATTAAATTATTGTTATTATTAATATTATTATTATTAAAATATATTATTAATAATTGAACTGTTCTTATTATTATTTAAGTATATTTTAAATTATTTTAATATTATATTATCTATCTATGTTACATATTATTATATGAATAATATACGATTATTAAACAATTATTTTTGTTTTTGTATTATTATAGGCATTAGGTAGTGTAAAACTAGTCTGCTGAATTAATGCACCATTTTTTAGATTCTGAATGGAGCGAAGAAGCTTATGGTTTTACAAAGATGTACTTTTTTTTCTGTGGACAACTTTTCTACCAGAGATTTTGCTCTGATTTTTATGTGTAGCACCTTTTATGAAAAAAAATTATTATGAGGATGTACTATAGGGAGGTCATTTTTCGATTTTTTTCAATAGTTTTATCATCAAATGTGAAAAACCGAAATAGAACGGAGGAAAAACGAGAAAATGTAAAAAATGTAGGTATTAGTTAAAAATATTACGGCATTTTTTTTTCCTATGGAAAACTTCTCTACCATCAATTTTGTTACAAACAAAAAAAAACTGGGACTTATTTAGAAGTGTTCTTAATGAAAACACTCTTTCAAGAGAAAACTTATAACAATAATAATAAAAATCAAAATAATAATAGAAACAATAATGATAATCGAAAGAACGGATATATGACAATTTAGTTTAAAATACAATATAATACTCAAATAATAAAGCCAGCTTCCAGGACAATGGAAGTAATAAGTTTGACAACAGATAAGGAATTGGAATTTGGAATAGCTGAAAGGTGAGAAGAAGTATTGAAGGAGTTAAGGGAATCAAAAAGGATAAGTCGTTTAGCCGATAGAGAGAGACAGTCAAAGAGCATGTGAGGTAGATTACAGCTACTTTTCTCCATATGGAATGTGCACATGTCTAACCTAACCTACCAATTCGATGAATTCCCATGCTAATATTTCAGTTTTTCTGTCACAAACAAGTTTTATTTTTGATATGTAATTTGTATATTGGTCATACAAGGGACGTCTAAAATTGCCGAAAACTGTTCCAACTGTGAATGACCTTGTCCTGTGTTTAATGTGACAGTGACTATGGTTGTATTAATTGCTAATTTTTCATTTAAAGTTGAAGGAGATTCAGAATAAATTATTGTATTTTGTACACATAGAACATTCAAAATGAAATTCAAAGAAAAAGCCTTTGCATATTTTATATTTATACACAAGGTTTTGAAATGAACAATCAAATGATTTGTGTATAGATTGATTTTATCAAATTGAAAAAAAATATAATATAGACTATTCTTCGGCAACTTAGAACATGATAATTTCTAAAACAACATGTAAAATAATATATTACACTCATTATATGATTTTAGTTTAGGTATATTTAAAAGATGACGATAGAACTCACGGAAATTATATTATTATTTTTATAATATAAGGCTATAGAGATTATAAGATTAATATATGGCTTATCAGCACTGGAAAAATTACTGTTCTTACTTTGTATCTGAATCAGTTTCCATACCCGTTCATAGTCTAAATAATTCAGTATCTAATATTATATTGTTAGCTTCTGGCGATAATAGAACGAAATCTATAGAAATACTTTCGTCATTTAACATTTAATAAATAGATACCAATAATTTTATGTTTATTATAAATGTACTTTTCAAAAATCTAAGTACGAACATTTTAGAATTACCCCGATTAATAATATTTTAATTTCTATGTGATGATTGTCAAAGATGATGTCAAAGAATCTGAGTTTCCCTGTACATAAAAACGCAAACATATTTTATTTTTAACTTTACCATATTTTCTACGTTTTTCGTAATTATTTTGAAAATCACTTAGAAAATAATAAATGACTATGCATATTTTCATAAAAAAAAAATGTTGGTATCAATCCAGGTATCGGTAAAAATATTATAATTACAAATATAGAAAAAGCTAAAACTGGCGATGGGAGCTGCCACTGTTGTAGATGAGAAGTTGGGAAGGTAGGATACATAAGGTTATTTCATTTATATCTGTAAGCAACAATAAACCATTACTTGAAGAAAGACGATTCTGAGTACAGTTCGATAATACATTTACATGTACTTTTTGAGATTTTCTTTTAAATTTGATTTCAAAATGCGTATTAAAAAAATTAAAAAGTCGTCCGTTGATTTTAGAAATCTTACCACGTCTAGTGTCAATTCTCTACGTATATTTATAACCAAATTACAGCAAAAACTCCCAAAAATTAAAATTCCTCAAAAGCTTAAAAGTATCGACGATGATACCGTAAGAAAGTATATCAAAAAGGCAACAAAAAAGGTATCTTATGATTTTTCGATTAAATCATTTTTTTCTGGTAGAAAACGTCGTCCGTGTTTTTATAATATAATAAAATCGTAAAATTGTAAGTTTTTTAGATAGCATTGTATTAAGAACATGTTATCTTGTTAATTCTGTTTTATCACACTCTCTCGTCGCAACCGAAATGTTTCGTGGAAATTGGTGTAAGGGGAGAGGTGTTGTATATAGTATCGACATAAGCAAAATAATTGTTATTTAGATTATATTCATTAGGGTAAATTAAGGATATACGTGGTGGGTAATGTCCATGGTGTACCCTATTACTTACAATCAATTATAATGAAGTCAGTCTCGTACACCATTTCATTATAAATGTTGGCATTGTTATTACGAGTTTATGTGTTGTATAATTATAAGATCAAGTATACAATAATAACGTTAATAATTATAATAATTATTATACCTACTTATTATTTCTAAGTTCCTACTTAGAAATGTTCTTAAATCCTATTTTTTTTCTAAAAACAAGATTCACACAAAATCTGTTGATTAATCAAATATTAAATTATCAAAATCATGAGATGAATAGGATAATAACTAGATTCAATTTACTTCCTTTATCAATTATCAGTAAATATTTCATATTATATAAACTTCATATTATTACCACTTTTATAAAAACTATGGACTAAATATACAAGCATTACAAACTTACTAAACAATTATTTATTTGTGAAATACTAATTAAACAATTTCTTAGAGAACTTTATTTCAATAACTCTGGTTAGTAAAATAAATAATACAATTATTTTAATTATTCTCGAATATTCTTGTAAGAGTAACTCACATTAAAAAAACAACAGATTTTTTTTGTTTTACATTTTTTTTTTTTTTTAACAATAATAAAGTAAGGATAAATTTTAGTAACACATTATCGACAACGATAAATAAATACTATATGGTTTTAAGAATATAGTTAACAGTATATACAATATTTCAAATTGTTTACATCACCATTCGAGGAAGACAAATAGGATTAATCAACAAACAGAAAAAGTTAATTATGTATATAGTTTTAATACCAATGATTTTATAAAAGCTTATTATGAAAACAATGCTTTTACTAGATAACACAGCAATTAAATACCAGTGTTCTGCTAACTAGTATACTATACTCTATTCACCATAAGTTGACTTGCTTCCACGCATGTATACTAAGCCGCTGTGGTCTGTGATTGGTTGGCGGTGTTCGGTGATCTTCAGAGCTGTCATAGTAGGCAGCAGGCTGCCGCCACAATTGAGCATACAGAGGGGTTTTTTTTGGGGGGGTTTTCATCAAGCGAGTGGGTCAACTTACGGTAAATAGAGTATAATATCATGTGTGTTATTATCTTGCTGCGATAAAACGGTTGGGAATCACTGCTCTAACACCCCACAACAGCAACAGGACTGTAGACAAGAATTTTTATTTGGGAGGAGGGCTCCTAAATTATTTTAATTCAGATAAAAAAACCATTATCAATATATGATTTGTATAGTTAATTATGTTATTATATCTATTTTTTAATTTTTATTGGGGAGTAGGGATTAAAGCCATTTAGTTTCCATAGGTGTCCCCCTGATCAATACAAATTGTTCAATGATTGTCAGATTGCCAGTTTTAAAATACTTAGTAAAAGTATAATAAAATCATGTATATACTTTTATCATTCCAATATTATTTTCATTCTCCACAATACTCTTGCTTACCATGTTCATTATTTTTAGTTTAATTTTTAAGACTTCTATGCAACACCATTATTAATATTATTTAGTTAGGTTAATAATGTTTGAGCAAACAAATTCAACTATAATTAATTAATTTAAAATCTACAAAGGCACGTTGTGAAATAAGCACAAATTTTAAAAAAAATAAATATTTTTCAGTCTAATTTGTCTAACCATCTGACGGTTTCTTTTCTTTTTTATTGCTGCCAAATTTTTTAGTATTATATATAAACTCTGCTATATCATTATACAATATATGTATATATAGCAGGCATAATAATATGGACGGAAATTGTACAGACTCAACCCTGTTAGTTTCTCTAGATATTATGTACATATTATGAACTCAGATTTTCAGAATACTACTTTTCAACCAAAATTAAAAGTAATATGAAACCTAGCCATAAACTAAACATTTAATCTCAAGGACTATGGCTGATCATGAGATTTCAAAAGCCATTTTTGAGATAATACACCTTAAATATTTCTCGTTTTCAAACAATAATCGACTATTATAGTGGTTCAGTTTGAGTGGACATATTAACAGTGTCTGTAGCAAATAAATGGCACGTACACTTGCAACACACAGATGAAGTATCTAAACATTCTAGACTATCTGGTTGGTGTGGTTCAGTATTCATTGCCATTGTCAATAATGATTCCAGACGTTCGATTTTGACCAACTGGTTTATTAGTTTATCAGTCAATACATCATCCATTATTTGGATGGATTCCGTTAAACTTGTCGGTTGTTCTGATACAGTAGATTGAAATTCACCTGTTAAAATTAAAAAACGTGATGATGAGGACCCCAAACTTTGTTCTATATATTAAAAAATAATTAGATTGAGCTTGAATGTGATAAGTCAACTTTTTCCTGTACCTCAAAGGGGTTAAAGTTTTAAGAATCTGGGATAAATTTTCATTTTTAATACGCACTGTTTTAAATATTAATGTTACAAATAAAACAAACAAAACTGTTATTGTAAACTAAATAAATGTTCCTTATGGATTATCATAAAATGTATGGTTTTCCGTGTATTTAAAAATAAAATGGTTAAAGTAATATTTTAGGAAATTGGGATTAGTTTTTTTTTCTTTAATCAACCAAATTTTAAAGTTACACAAAAATTGTATAAGTTTAACCTTACTACATTTAGACTTGCAAATTATAAATATGACCATAAAAAAAGATATATTTTAAAAATTGAAGAAGTTTCATAAATTTTTTAAAAATAACTTTAATAATCTAACAGTTATTACTGACACCTAAAATCGACAAAATTGGCCAAATATTGACCGGTTATATAAAGGCCAAAAATGTTTTACTCCATTTAAGCATAATACATAATAGTGCAGCCATATAATGGGGGTTAAGTTTATGGAAGATTTTAACACAAAATTTACAAAAAAACAGTATGTATTTTATGTTAAATGTCAACTAAGAAAATTTGACTAGGGTGATTTATTTGTTATCATTTTTTTTTCGGTTGTACAATATTGTACAAAATATTCTAGCCATAGAAAAGATATATTGAAAGGTTCACAACAATAAATATTATAATTTAATTCTGTTTTAAAAATCATCAAGAAACCATTTTATTAAGAATATTCTCTATAATAAAATGTATGTACAAGTTTTTGGTTTCTTCAAAATTTATGACACTATAGAGTAAAAACTAATCCAATTTCCTAAAATATTACCTTTTACAAAATATTTTTTTTTTAATTTTTGGAAAAACATACAATTTTTTTTTACAAAAAATGTATAAGGAATTTTACACATGATTTAATAAGAAATTAAACTTTTTACAAAATCCAAAGAGTGAACCGATAAAATTGACTATTTTTCTGATTTTTGGTAATAAATAATAATAATATAATATATTTTTTAACGGTTTCAGTCTTATATGCAACTAATGAAAACAAGTACTTCATTTAAATCCATTAAATTTGGATATTTTTAATGACTATTTCACAAAATGTATCCATATAGTCTAAATAAAAAAAAACTACACAAGGTGTAAAATAATGACCTACATTTCGCAAAAAAATTAAAATTTGTGACCATCAAATAATCTTAAAAACAGCTTACACATTTTAAACTAAGTTCATGAATTGGATCATGTGAAAAATTTAATTACACTAAATGGATTTAATATTTAATGTTGTGAGTAAAGTATATAATTTGGGCATTTCCTACAATGCTCGGGTGCTATAAAATGCTTATTGTATTTCGGGCAATATAGATTTTATAGGAAGATTAAATTTTAACTAAGTTATTAAATGTGATTATTAAGTCATGCAAGCAGTATTTTATAAATTTTAATTAGATATTACAAAGGAAAAATATATAGAAAATATTTCCAATGCTATGATTGCTCTTCCTCCAAAATCTCAAGACTTCAATGAGCACATACCTACTAGTTTTATAACTACATCATTAAGTTCCAGTAGTTGATGGAGCAAATTTGATAATATTACTAAAACTTCATTACCACGCACCAAAGAACTGGATATAATAAAAGTGCTAAACCAAATTAAAGCATACTCAGATGAACCTACTATTGACAGAAGTCAAGACCAATTTATTTGGTGAAGTGATAATTATAAAAGGTACTTGTATAAATGTAAATTAATTTTCTAACTTTCGTGTATTAACTATGTTCTTTACATGTTCTACTAGGTACCCTAGTTTCAAAGGTTCCGTTTCAAAGAATCTACTGACGTATACAAGCAACTGAAAATGCTAGTGAAGGGTGTTTTCATTAGCCTAGGAACTTTTTTACTACCAATAGAACATGCCTCATAACACAACATGTTGAGGGACTGGTTTTCTGCACCAAAATTATCAAAAATTATAAACATTAATGATTTATAGCTTAAAAATTAAAATATAAATAAAAAACAATATTTCTTAATGGCATAAATAATATTAAAATTTATAATAATTAAGTTACTAATTGAACTATATATATATACATTCTTTTTTAAATACCGAATTTATCCCAAATCTTGAGTGTAAGAAAAAATTTTCCCGATCCCCACCTCTTAAATTTAGCTTCCTGCTCATCCCTAAATTTAATATTACATACAAAATCTATATTACCTTACATACAATGGACATTTTATATTCTATACTACCAATTTAAAATATGTCCAAATCGTATACTTCACATATAAAATATATAAATATACAAGTTTCATACCAGATGCTGAATTTTCCGAAGATGTTGATTTGCCACTGACATTGCTGTCTAAGCTGAGGAACTCATTAGAATCACACTCTTCTCCATTGCATTTTCTAAAATACATTTAAAACCATTATATTACAATGGATCAGCATAATCATTATTGTTAGTAGTTATTACATATTTTTTCCTTCCATTTTTTCCAACTTTTTTGCAACTTTCATGGACCCTTTTAACTTGTCTTTGTCTTCATCAGTCAATTCTAAATGTCTACAAATATAAAACACATTTAAATAGTACTTTAAGTCAATACCACATTGTTTTTATATTCATCTAAATACCTTAGTAATCTTAATTCTCTGTTACTAAGAACAACATTCTTTCCATTATCGGTGGATAATTTGTCCTTAAGAACTTGTAACTCGTTATCAATTTTACGCTGGTGCTTACGTTTTTGTACATTATTCGGTACTATATACAAAAATGCTTGTTCTTCGCACAACTCTTCAAGCAGTTTAGTGTTAGATGGATGAATTAAACTAAAAAAAAAAAAAAAACATACAAATAATTTTACATTATTTTTATTTGTAACACTATAAATATTTCTCAAAAATACATAATACATACAAAAATACATTTTTAATATATCTAGTGATTTGTATAAAATTAAAACATTCAAATATTTCAGAAAGGGAGATATATTTATTTATTTTATTGGTATCATTTTAACAAATGACAATAATTCACGAGATCCAAAGCATATAGCTTTTATTCAAAAGTTACCTATATTAAATATTGTTAAATTGATAATTAAGTAGATTTGCTGCATATTAATAAGTATCTATAATTAATTTTAAAAAATTATTGCAACTTCCCATATCACAATTTATTAAACTAATCACATCACAGAGGTTTATTAACTATTTGTTAATTAATAATAATACTTTTTATTTAAAATAAAATGTTCTTCCATATTTTATTTAACTATACATATAATATTACATTATAAATAGAATATTATGTAAATACAGTGAAAACTCCCTTAACGGACACTTCTAAATAGCGGACAATTTTTCGGTCACAAGGACATTTTCACTACTTTTATATCAGAAAACGTCTAAATTACAGTCATGTTTATGGAAATTTTATGGCACAGCAAGGTCTTAAACAATCTAAAGTAACTGATTTATTTAATAAATGATAATTTTTATTTACATTTTCATTAGTATTATTACATATATAATTAATGTAGACATTACATATATAAATGTTGTACATAATTATTAATTCTCAGAGTTATTTTTGAGAATTTTTTTCCTCTCTGAATAACAAACACCTCTAAATAATGGACAAAATGATGGCAACCAAGAGTGTCTGGTATATAAAAGTTTCACTGTACACAATAAATATTTATACAGAGTATGCCAAAAGATTTAGTAAATACAACATGTGTGTGTGTGAATAATGTTATATTTATTTAAACTGTATTATTAAAATACATTTCTTTTAAGTAATCTAAATTAACGACAATTAAATACATAATAAACACATTATATATATATATATAATTTTATTTATTCAATATACATTTAACAAAAAAAAACAGGTGATATCAGTGTCGGTCTGGCTCACCCAGATACCCAGCAATTGCCGGGAACCCTGAAATATATTCTTAAAATAGGGGTCACAGGATCACATCAATTGTACGTAAAAAAATCTATAAAATTAAAATATCCATAAATAGCTCAAAAATGGTTACAATATTTTGAACATTTTACCATATCTAAAAAAGACAAATATAAATTTTCTGTCCAAATTGTAAGTCCCTATAAAATTTTTAACTGAATCAAAACAAAACAAAAAATGTAAAAACATATATAATTCATTTCATACATTTTCCCAGTTTTTCTCATTTTTTATGAAAATAGCTTGAAAAATCAAACAATTACCTCCCTAAGTACCATTACAGTCAAATTTCCTTTCAGAAAAAGCGCTACACTCTTTGGTCATCAATTAGTCAAAAATATCTTGAGATACTAATAAACTTTGAACTACTAATGTCCTTATATAATATAGAAAATGATTTAATTAAATAAATATAACTATTACAAAAAATGAAATAATTGATTAACTAGCCTCATTTAGTTGAGAAATACAGAGGTTATTATTTTATCTTGTTAATTATATCAGTTTCATTACTCCAAATTATTTGTATTCTGTTAATTATTATATCATTATTATTTTATTTATTTATTTATTATAATTTAAATAGGCTAAGCTCAATTCATATTGTGAATATGAGTGATAAATAGATGAGATTAATACATAATTATAATATAAAATAGAGTAACAAGTAATTCATAAGTGAAATAGTAGAAAAATAATAATATACTATAAATTAATGATTATAATAAAAACATAAATTTAGTAACTGATAACATCTAATTAATTAACTACAGAAAGACTGAATAGAGTTGAAATTAAAAAATCAACTTAGGCATCATTAGTTAACCTAGTGGATCTATTTAAAGGAGCATTTATGACATAGTTATATATAGGTGCAAGTGATTGTGAAAAGTATAATTAGACCTAATTGGTCGTTGAGGGACATAAAAATGTATAGAACTATGTCATTCTGGACAATCTAAATAGGAATTTCAAATCAAGTATGTTTCTACGAATAACTATTCATATTTAATGTGTTTATTAACAGCTTATATAGTGAATGTGGTTTCAATGGAATACTACATTTGTAGGATATAAAATGAAGGAAGGAAATGATTTTGTATTGCTTCGAAACATTGTATATGAAAATTTGCAGGAGACCAGATAATAGAATTATATTCAAAAGTAGAGCATACTAAATAAAAATAAATCGTTTTTAATGTAAAGGGATTTGAAAAATCCTTATATGTCCTAGTAATAAATCCAAGAGTGGATAGTGATTTTTTTTGAGATATTTAAATAATGACTATAAAAAGAGAAAGTTGTGTCAAACGTAATACCTAAATCAATATTTTCAAATACATGATGAGGAAAATATCATTTAAATAATACTTTATATTCAACAATGTTTAACAATAAATAGTTTTGTTTACACTAGATTGATAGGGTATTTAAGTCATATTGCAAGAGAACAGAATCATTATGTTTATTTTATGTGATTATTATTATAAAAGATCTATGGGGGTCCAATCATGAGCCAGACCGACACTGGATGATACATTTAATAGATACTACACATAAATTAAATTGTAGCACCCCCTACATGCCAAGCTTGTGCTGGGATATACATATAGTATTGAATAATTTAGCTCAGCTTTACAGTTAATTTATTTCTAACAAAGTAGGTAGGTACATTTTTTGTAGAATTTAAATAAAAATAACTGATAATGCTGATGGGTACTAATGTAGATATGAAAATTAGGTTTGATTTGGCAAGGGGATTAGAAGCTTTGTGAAGGTAGGATACACAAAGTTATTTAATTTATATAAATACGCCAAATATAAGTGCTATTATTGTAAATTAGAGTGAAACTTATGGAAGAAAAGTTGTTCATAGGAAAAAAATAAACATCATTGTAAAACTAATACATTCCTCGCTCCGCTCAAAATATAAAGATATTTCTCTAGAAATTCAGAGCAATTCAAATTCTAACTCAAATTTGTTTTTTTATATCACTAACTTTATAATATTCCTTACATTCAATTTTCAAGCATTTCTCTAAGTCATATAATTTTAATAACAGATATATATCAAATAAAAATACACATAAAAACACGAGAATATCAAATGATTCTTACTTACAAACTAGACAAAATTTTCTTTCAGAAAATATGGAATTGTTGCGCTGTAATATGAAAAAAAAAGTATTTTTTTATTAAGGGAGGGAGGGCTTTCCCAATTATTTTGAAAATTCTAACTTAACCTTTAAAAAATCAAAAAATGCATTAGTTAGAGAAAACGTTCAGAAAAGTTGATACAGTATACATCGAAAAAAGATTTCTTTTTAAAGTTGATTACAGACATAAAAAAAAAAAAGAAAAGGAAAAACACAAATCATAGTAAAACCAATATATCCCTCAATACACTTCGAATCTAAAATTATTTTGAAGGAATTAGTAAACCTATTTTAGAAGAAAAAAAGAACCTATACACAGTTTGAAATTCCATAATATTATACAGTAACTATGTACTTGTGTTTTATAAACTGATATAATTTACAAATGCAAACTAAATGCATCTAAAATGTTATGTGAAACTGTATGGTTTCAATAACTCCTCATATAATTGCACTAGTATAAGTACCTTACAGGCTACAGTGTTATAAAATTGTAGAATATTTCAGTCAAGAGAATATTTAAATAATAGTTTAAAAACAACAAATTAACAGGACGCTAAACCACTGCGGTTCCAAAGGTGGGGGATGATAGGTGGATCGTTTTTTCTTGGCTTGTTTATGTTTACGTAATAATTCTAATAAGTAGTAGATCTTTTGTTCGTCTTATGGTGGATTATGGTTATATAGCTGTGATGAATAGCATATTAAATATTATAACTTCTTTAAAGGCGCCTTCTTATAGAGGTGCCGCCAAAATACTAACTCATTTCCATGAATATAATAATATATACTCACTTCTCCTGGGTGATAAAAAAAAAAGAAGGCAATATTGAGTTAAAAAGATGGTTTCTGACAGTGGTGGATTTAGTTCTTTACCTAGGAGGTAAAAATTATTTACACCTACAGTTAAATACATGTCCAAATCCCACTAAAATTTTAATTCTTATTTAAAATATTTGAAATGTACATTTTTAGATTCTGAACAGAGCAAAGAAGTCTATGATTTTACAGTGATGTTTTGTTTTTTTTTTTCCTGTGAACAACTTTTATACTAGAAATTTTGATCCGATTTTCAAGTTTAACACTTACTGGGGTGGTACTTTAGGGAGGTAAATGTTTGGTTTTCCAAGAGTTTTCATAATAAATAAGAAAATACACCCAAAGCTTTGTTAGCAACTTCAGGGTATTCATCTTTAATGTTATTCCAAAACCATAAATGTGGCAATGAAGACAATTTTATTTGTAACGAAGAATCAGATGAAATGTTGATTAATAATTTATTCTTCTTTCTCTGTAGTTGTGAAATATATATATTTTTTTAATGTGTATACTAGAAATTTTGCTTTGATTTTGAATTGTAGCATTTTTTCTGAAAGGAAATTTGACAAAATTTAACTGGAGTAGTACTTTAGGGAGGTTTTTTTTTGATTTTCCCAAGAGTTTTCATAATAAATGGAGAAAAAAATAGGAAAATGTCCTAAATGTAATATTTTCAAATCGTAAATATTACTGCATTTCAAAACATAAATAATCAAATTCCGTTTTTCATTAGCAATGGTTTATCATTGCTTACAGATATACATTAAATTCCTATTTCTAACTTACCTTCCAACTTCCCACCTACAATATTGGCTGTACCAATGTGAATTGTGTCAGTTTTTTTTTGATTAATTTTGTATATAACTTTTGCAAAAGTTTTGATTTCTGTCAACTCGATGACAAGATATTTAACTTTTAAGTTTAGGTAGGGGGAGAGTAGTAGAGCACTAATAAAACACCGCGGGCCGTGCTACCACACAAATGATACTTCAGTACTCCACTACTCTCCCATATCTAAATTTAAAAGTAAAACATCTCCTTAACGGACTGTCAGAAATCAATCATTTTGACACCAAAATGTATTAATATAATATTTTGTCTTATAGTAGTCGCGTTTTACATTTTGACTGTGATATACCTGATGAAGAATTTTTAATTTCAATTTATAATATACTTATAATACTCCAGGCAACGCATTCATTCATTTTATTTTTCATTTCTATATATACATTTTTTATTTATCGAAATATTTATTTCAATAATTATTTACCATGTTTAAAATAAACATCATAGTAAAACCAATACATTCCTCGCTCCACTCAGAAACTAAAATAAAACATAAAGTGAAGAATATTTTCTAGGGCAGTTCTAAAATACTTTCAAATAAAAAAGTTACCTACAGTCATGTTTTTTATTTTTATTTATAATATTAAGTTACTTACGCAGACATGGTATAATATAATTGGGGCATGAAAGTCAGTACGTCACTAACGGCGTAGGCGAGCATATCTCTGGACAGTGGCCTTCGTAACCAATACCTTTGGTCTTTTTTATGCAATGTTCTCAGTTGATCTTTAGACGGGTTTATTGGTAAGCCATACTTTTCACATATAGCGTTTAGGTTCCAATTTTTCGTCTTGTAAACAGGCTGTCCGGTTTCTTGGTATTGAATAACGGCAATAGCCGCCTAAAATTAAAAATACACAATATTGGAACGATACACAACATTTATAAAAGTTTAAAATATAAGGTTAAAAATTAACCTACATGATTAATAATTAAAACTAATCGAGTACTTATTACCGAGTACTTAGTCACTGGTAATTATTTATACCATATTTTAATTAATTTATATTAATTCTTATTTAAAAAAACTAATATCAATATGTCTATTACAGAAATTGATTTCTTAAAACGTTATTAATTATAATGGGTAATTTTATTTTATTTGAAAATCATTTATTACATTATTTAATTAAGTTAGAAATAAATTTTCTAATATAATATTCTATATTAATAAAAGTAAAGTGCGTACGCGATCCATAGCTAAATCTACCACACGCAAATGCCTGAAAATTTACATACAGACACAGATGGACACGTCCTTATGCACCAGAAAGCAGGATTTCCGAAATTTAAACACTAAAAGGGTGGCTCACACAGGGTTTTCAGTATTTTAGGTACCTACAAACATTTATTTAAATGATTTCGGTTTTTGAAAAGATTTATTTTAAAAGGTAGAAAAAAGATAAGGGGATAATTAGATTGACAAGGACAGGACAGCTGAATAATATTACAAACGACAAATCTAAATTAGAATTATTAATTTAAAATCAAATTTTAAACAACAGGATGAGTATTTTATTAATTCCACAGTAATCGCATCGTAACATCCATTATTTATTTGTACAAAATTACGAATCACGAACATTTCGTGTAGGGGTACGTACGATAAAATATAAGCAGTTAAATTTATAACGTATAACACGGAATATTTTAGGTTTTTTTTTCGTTTTTAACGATAGGTATCTATGTCATAAAAACATTACACACGGTTGCAAAACAAATAAGAAGAATAGGTTTATAGTATGCTCATAGTTGATATAAGTTCAATATAATAATATACTACGACAGTAAATTTATAATAGGTACTAAAACACGTACCCACATATTGAAAATATATCCATCAATATTTTTCGTTGTCAAATATTATAATAATAATATGTAAGTGTATACTAAAATATTCACCTGAATATCAAACACGTTTTTCATTGCAATGCCGAACTCCACGTACAGGTTTAAACTTTCGTTTCGACAGTCGTTGATCACCTGTAATCATTATGTTTAAAATATTATATGCAATTATTATTAGTATAACTATCAAATATCAATGTCTATATAATTTCTATATAATTTCGAAAATTTAAATATATATAACTCATGAATTTTCATCGATTAAGTATATACCTAGATAGAAATGTATACGTATTTCGTACTTAAATTTATCATATATTAATACATAGGACTATACGAGTAGAAGTAAGAGTGCCACAAACATTTAAATCAAATTTATGATTATTGACAAAACAATCACGATGCAGTCATCTAAGCAGCTATGATTTAACAACAGGGCATTATACATCATGAGGTTAGATTTCGAACGGGACACCTGAGCTACGAGTTTTTAGTTTAACAATAATTATTACACGCAATTTTATAATATTGTAAAACATGTCTCGAGCCAATAAAAAAAATATTAACACAATATTAATATTATTCACATATAGAGACGACAAATTATAATAATAATAACATGTAGATAAATAAATAGAAAATCGAAAAAAACGACGCTAACTTCCGTATAGCAAGGAATTTATTATTATTTTAACGAACGGGAAATATCAAAATTAAATAAAAACAGGACTTGAAATACCGAATTAATAAGCCATTAATAAGCTACTCACATAAAATATAACTCTTTTTTTTGTGAACGTCGTAAATCCGGGTTTGTTTCGAAGAGAATAAATTCGAGATTTTTAAAATTTTGACATTTAATTAAGTACCGATGAATATATTAATTACGAGTATCAAGAAAAGAAAAAAAAAGACGTCCTAGGATAATAGAGACGAGTGCAGCCACTGTTATGGGTAATTTAATGTATACCTGTAAATAACAAAAAATCATTGCTTACGAAAAACGATTCTGAGCGGAGTTCAATTGATAGTGATGCTTTGTCAACAATATATATGCCATATTATAGTAAAATAATTAAATAGACTCTATATATTTTCTTTAATAATATTTGTTTAATGTTGTGTCGATTTCCCCGGTTTTCCTATGTTTTTTCCCCGTTTTGTACACTCGACGAGAAAAATCTTGAGAAAATCAAAAAATGACCTCTTTAAAGTACCTCCCCAGTGAAATTGCTACCATTGAAAATTGGAACAAAATTGCTGGTAGAAAAGTTGTCCACAGAAAAAAATCGTAATATCATACGAATATATTTCGTACATTTTCCCGTTTTCAAAGCAATACTATCAACCGATCTCCATTCAGAATCGTTTTTTCGTTAGCAATGGTTAAATTTCACCTTTACTACTCTCCCAATTTCTCACCTACAACAGTGGTCTACCCACGTGCGAAGTATATCCGTCTTTTGTTTTAATAATCGTTAACTCAGTGCACGCAGTTTCGAAGTGTTGAATACTTAATTAAGGATATTTTAAATGAATTGTGGCTACCGTTGAACGACTCCAGAATCACGTGAGGATATCTACTGTAGGTATTTACCCTAGATTTTCAACATCGTAGGCCGGTGAAACGATATTATATTTCTAATTTATTGATCTCGTCACCATTCTCAGATTCACGACTCCAAATCCCTCCAGACATCAGGAAGAAGATAATAACATAATTATTAAGCTCAACTTTTTATATATTTAAAAATTGTTTATTCTTTGTGTTACCACAAATAAAGAGGAGATTTTTGAACTAATAGAAACTTATACCTATAGTTACTACATAGTGACCACGGACGACCCATTTTTAATATACGAGGGCTAATTAAAAAGTATCAACACTGGTAGTATAATTACTCGGAAACCGAGCATCGGAGAGCAGTAGGATTGGTATCACTTGCTTCTATGACTTTTTCTGAGTACATCTGGTTTTATTGATTCTCTATAAACTTATTCGGTTTGATTTCACCGATATTTTTGTAAAATATAATTTTTGAGTTCGGCGATTTTGTAATGAATCCAAAGAGCAACTTGACAGTTTTGGAGATTTTAGAAAATTTGTCAGCATTTTTTTTCAATTTCAGAGAGATGCAACATTTCATAGTTTGCACCAATAAATTTAAATTGAAAAACTGCAGATGCGCTCTCGAATGGCAGCAACTTTTGCTTATTTTGGTTTCATTACAAAATCGCCAAACATGAAAAATATCATCGACTCAAAATGAAGAAGTTTATAGACATTCGGATGTGCTCAGTAGAAGCTATAGAAGCCAGGATTACAAATCATTTTGCTCTTCAACGCTTGATTTCTGAGTAATATTATTCTATCTCGATACTTTTGATTAGCCTCGTATATTTCTAAATCTTTTTTTCTTTATTTTTTGTATTAAACATTATACCAAATATTGTCATCTAGCAAGAAAACCTAAACAAAGACTAAGTTTTACAAAACTGTGATAAGTAAACTTCAATAAAAATAAAACAAATTCACGGACTAGATCAAAAATGACACATTTATGCTCATATAAATATTTTTTGATAGAAAAGTTGTTTACAGACACAAAAAAACAACTTTATAGATTTTGCTGGGTAAAACCAACGATATTATGTTAGATTTATGGAATAAGTATCTATTTCATTATATTATAGAATCGAACAATATCCGCCTAACCTTTTTTATCACTATAAGGAACGGAATTCAACACGAGGGTTTTATTTTAAAAAAACCAGTCGATACAAGTTATACTTTACATACTACCTTATGAAATGTTAGTAACAATTTACAGTTTCGCTAAAATGAATATAAAAAAATTAATTGTATATAGGTACCTACCTACGCGTCCTAAGGTATTTCATATACCTACCTACTTATTTTAAGCGTTATCAAATATTTCAATAAAAATATTGAATGGTAAAACATTATTATATTTTTATATGAGCTCTTGGAAAGGTTTTTTTTTTTTGAAGTTGTTTTTTGGAGAAAATTAAATTCTGTTCTCTTATGAAGCCAGGTTATACATCATACACTCATATACACACAAAAAATACAATAGGTCACACACTCGTATAGTATTCAAAACGTGCGTCCCACTCAACATTTTTACCGTTGTTTGTCGTCGACGTTTTCGTAATCGAGTCAATTGTTTTCATTAACCATAATAATTATCATTCCCACCGAATGCGATAATATTAATATAAGAATGCCGTTTTCTCGCCAACCTGCTAGCGTCGTCAATGACCTCGCGATATCACGAAAATTTGCCGGCCACCGTTGCAACCTGTGAGGGGATTTAACCGACTACAACTTCACACATACATACATACCACACGTACGTATATTATAAATTGTGATGTATCTAATATATACAGGTGTCTACAGAAACAGGGAACACTTTATAATTCTATACTTTACGCATATTTTTGAATTTGGTTTTCGGAAAACGAAACTGTACTACTGGGCCATTATTTTTTCAAACATAAATTTTTTTTAACTTGTTTATACTGTGCATGCGCAACGCAACTTTTTTCTTTTTTAATAGGAACCTCCATTTTTTAAATCATATTTGAATCGGTCGTATTTTTTCAAGCCAGATTGATGTATTAACTCGTAATCTAAATTTAAAACTGACTGAATAAGAGCTAAATGAAATTATAGTAAACATTTTTTTTTTTTTTTGTAGTTTTCATAGTTAATAGTTTTTGTAGTTAAAAAAAATCTTTTTTCCAAAAAATTTTTAAAAAGGTTCCCATTTAAAAAAGAGAAAGAAGTTGCGTTGCGCATGCACAGTATAAACAAGTTAAAAAAATTTTATGTTTGAAAAAATAATGGCCCAGTAGTACAGTTTCGTTTTCCGAAAACCAAATTCAAAAATATGTGTAAAGTACAGAGTTATTAAGTATTCCATGTTTCCGAGGACACACTGTATATATGTGTACGTATTATACACACTCATTCAATACATATACCAGCACTACAAATAATAACAGTTTCGATATTTCATCATAACATTTTTTCTTCGATCTGGCATGCAACAAATCGGTACCTTCCTACCTAGCTAACCGTAAGCATAACCGTGAATAGGTACAATAATAATACCTATATATCATTAGAAACCATAGTTAGAAAGTAAGATATAAACTATAAGTCTATAACTACGTAATATAATACAATAATGTTTGTTATGGAATATTAAAATATTAAAAATCAACGGAAATGTAATAAAATATATTGCTTATATCATTACATGTATACAAATATATTTGTATAGCTTGTAGGTACCTATGATTTTTAAACAAACTTTTTATGTATAGATCAATTGTACTTTTATTTTTTCGGTTTATTAGGAAAACTACAAAGAAAATCAAAAAACCACTTTTTTCGTGACCAAAATATAAAAATAAGGTCTCTTGTTGTTTTTTAATTAAAGCAATTTTTCTGATAGAAAATATATTTTGTAAAAACATTAAAACGAAAACGGCAATGCTGTAAATATTTGCTGTTTTACCTATTATTTTCTTTGAGGATTTTCCCAACTATTATAAAAACCCTATGTTAGGAAAACCTCTACTACAGAAACAAAACTATAACATTCGTTGTTATGTTAATAAACACTTGAAATAAATTATCAACAAACAAAAAACTAGAGCAAAATAAACATAACTAATTTACTTTAACCATGATTAAGAAAATACTTCGAAGTTCTGGTGATAAATATTTAAATAAGAAGTATACAAATAAAATGTAAAAGTTTAAACGCTTGTATTGTTTTAATATATAATAACTATGTTAATTTTAAAAATAAAATAATTATTTAGATATTTAAAAAGTATTCAATTTTAAATTTTAAATTTTGTTATTTGTTTTTACATATTACACATTTATAGTTTTACACATCTTGATAATGTTTGTATTACTTATTACATTGTAAACAAATTGACTCAATTAAAATCATATCTTATCCATAGGGGGAAATCAGCAATAGCCCGGAAATGATAAGGATAATAACAATCCGAAAACAATCGAAAACGAAAATGTACTACCAACCGTTGCGAATGAAATTACCTACCATAATACAATGTATATGTTAAAATATTATTATTTATAATAACACGAGTACTTAAATATTAGTATTCAACTTGAAATGACTAGACTTCGTTGGCTGTTAAGTGGAACAAACAAAGAAGTTCAAAGGAGAGGTTTAATAAATATTAAAGTAGATTGGAAGAAAAGAATTCATATTTGTTTAGAATTAAATTGTAAATTTCTAAGGTAACTTCCAAACTACGGAAAAAAAAACGTTAGTTCAAAATCAAAAAATCCCATTAAAATTATTGATAATGTTATAATATAAGTACTTATAAAATAATATAATAATAAATTAAGCAATAATAATATAATCAAGAAGCATAGATCCGAACAGGATGAACCTATCACATATCAATTAAAACTAAATATTGTGAACATATTGAAAATTATTATTATGTAAGGTTAGGAAAATAATTGACATTTTTATAAGCCTTTAGTTTAAAAAAACATGCATTTCAGTGTTTTTTCTACTTTTCTAGATCGTAACTAAAAATTACGCTATTTTTTAGCTTTTTAAATAAAAGTGAATACTTAAAGATTTTGTGAGATATTTTAAAATATATGTTTCACGCCAGTTAATCATTTCGGGGTTCAACAATTATTATTATTAGAAGATGTGAATTATCATAAAACTGTTTATAATACGTAGGTATATAATATTATGATTATATATATGTATATATATTATATTGATTATGAATTTTATTTATATTAGAAGTTAGGTAGAAGATTAGAAGGTTAGAAGGTACGTATTTAGCAAGTAAGGAGCCTATTTTTGTTATTGGATAAATTGATTAAAATATGTACACAATTATATTAGATATAAACGGCTAAAGGGTGGATATAAATCGTCTTTTTCTTTTGGTGCTATAATGTTAATAATAATTTTACGACATCAGAGAGTTCTTGTCTCCATATTGCTGGTAAGTTTCGAATTGATGATTCGTATGGGTCGGATGAAATAAATACCATATTATGGAACAAGTCTGCATTAGTATTTTTTCTATAACTCAACAAGTAATCGGAGCAAAATTGCTGGTATAAAAGTTATCTACAGAAAAAAAAAAGAAAAAAACATATATATATATATTAGGTACATTTTCTGTTTTTCCGACATTTCATTTCGGGTTTTCGCAGATATTATGAAAACCGCTTGAAAAATCAAAAAATGAACTCCCTAAAGTACCATGTAGATAATATTTCCTCTCAGAAAATTAACTACACTTGATACATCAGAACAATATTTCTGGTAGAAAAGTTTGCATGGCAAATCGAGAGATATTTTTCGATTAAAATAGTCCGAACGAATGATAGTTTGCGTCTCTAGGTACACCCAAAACATTTTTTTCGAAACTCATGTTTGAACTCGCGATCCCTAGGGTGTCAATAGGTATGTATAACCATTAAGCCACGAAAAACGTTCTTTGAAGAATACAATATAGAGTTATTTCTTATAATATCCAAATAATATCAAAACTTCAAATAACTATAATTTCGAAACTTAGTCATTCCGCTAAATTCTGACTTTACTATTGTTCTTGAATCGGCAATATACATAATATGTTCATAACAAATTATTGAAAATTTAAATTTGTTCTATATAGGTTATTCTTTACTCAAACAATTTTCGTCAAAATTTGATGTTAAAATTTCTTCACAAAAAAAAATACTTCATTAAACTAAATTTTTTTTTTACCACAATGTAAGACTTTTAATAAATTTCTTTTAAAATTTTCACGCATTTTCGTTAAATCTAACAATTTTACCACACAGTAAGTACCAAATAAAAATTACGTTTGAAACTCAAAAAATTAAAATGTCTACAAACAGCTCAAAAATGGCTTGATTTTTTTGAAAATTTTACCACGTCTAGAAAAGATAAATGTATTAAGTATTTTTGTTCAAATTTTAAGTTTATAAAATCGATACGAATATTTTTACCTAAATTACAACAATTAACAAAATGGAAAAAATAATAAAAGCATTATGTAAATTTTCCGTTTTTCTTACGTTATTATATCATGGTTTTTCTCATATTATGAAAACCGCTTCGAAAATCAAAAAATCATCTCCCAAAAGTACCACCTGGGCAATATTTACTTTCAAAAATGGTGTCACGCATAAATATCGAAGTAAGATTTTCAGTAGAATTTTTGGTGCTCATCAAAAAAAATAGAAAAAAAAAACAACTTTCTAAAACCAATACATTTTTCGCTACACTCAGAATCTAAAATTATACGTTTTGTTTAATAAAGATAAAATTATAGAAATATCTTTTTCCAAAGACTGCAGAATATTAAAATATGTACTTAGGAACTTAAAACTTAATATTAAAATTCCAAAGAATTTATAAAAAAAATTAAAAATAATATTCAAAACTGAGACTTTTTGGCATGTAAATAAATTAATCTGACCACTGGGAAGTGCACGGCGTTTTGGTAATGTACCACTATTCTCCCCCGACCAAAACCAAAGTGGAATATCTCGTTAACGGATTGGTGGAAATTTAGGTACTTGTTTGTTATCATCCCGCCAGACAATACAAAAAAAAAGTATACATAATTAAATTGTGTATATATTATAGAAAAAATGTAAAATTGTAAACAAAATATTATTATTGAATTAATTAAATTGTATATTATGATAGCAAAAATGATATCGTATAATATAGTTAAAATTATCAAAACTCAGAAACATCTTTTAAGATAGTTTCAAACGCATCGTTCTCTACATGGATTCTGCCAGAACATTTCTTTTGGTTCCACGACACTTTTTATTTCCCCATTTAGCAGAATCTCACAACCTCTTAATGTGTTGAGTGTGTGATCCTGTATCTATATCAACCAAATTATAGGTGCGGTTAACAGTTTTTTGTATTGTTTGGCGGGGTGATAAATTTATAAAGGCGTACTAACGGGGCGATAACAAACAAGAATTGAAATTAAAAATTTCAACATCAAAATTTGTTTTAACTAATACTCCATATTTATAGAATTTGTATTAAAGGTTGCTATTTGAAAATTAAAAGTAGATAGTGGTTTTACTTCCGAAAATAAAGATGATAAATAAAAATTCCGAAAAAAGTTAATACTTTCCGAGATAATGAGTGCAATATAATAATAAAAAAAAGTGTGAATACAATTAATATTAAATTTCACACTTATTTTCTAGAAATTAAAACGGCTATTACTAAGAAACTATTCATTGGATATGAATGTGTAATACATTAAAATTTTTAGAACAATATACTAGTACAGTATTAAATACTGATCATATTTTGCTCGAGTATTTGGGTAACTAGGGTAATAGGTACCTACACAGGATGATCAACATAACGTAAGATAATTATTATATCAGAAAATATTTACTTTTTTCATAATTAGTGTTTAGATCATTTAAGAAACAAGTAGATCTAAAATGTTACATTATGGTTATATTTTGACATCCTAAATTTAAGATTGAATTAACACTATCTACTTTTGATTTTTAAATGGCAACATATTATACTAAAAATGCCATAAAATAGATGGATTATTAATTTAAATAAATTTTGATGTTGTCGTTTCTGATTTCTGTCGACCCGTTGGCAAAATATTCCACTTTTAAGTTTGATTAGAGGGAGAGTAGTGGAACACTATTCACATGCTGTGTCTATACAAATGATGTCCCCGCTGAAACTCAAAGCTGGACAGTAACTAGTAACAAAGTTACAAAAATTAGTAACTTTTTAACTTGTAAGTTACTTTTTTAATTGTATTATAACTCGTAATTTAACAAGTTACTCTTTGTGGGTGTACAAGAGTAACTTAAAGAGAGATATTTATTATTTGAATTAAAATAGTTACAAGTTAGTTTTTATTATTTTGTCAGGCTGTCTATACATCAAATTTAAATTTTATAAAATTGTACACAAGCTGTACACAGGTTAAGTAAAGAAAAATTTAATAAAATAAGGCAATATTGCAGAAATCAGCTTATTCAAAATTTTTATAATTTTTTCTAAAGAAATTCTTGTTATTAAATAATTACATTAATATAATTAACTAAATAAATTTGGAAGTATATAATACACTAATATCAGTAATATCAAAATAAATACAAAAATTAAATTAAAAACCATTAAATATTACATTTTTTTTGAGATTTTAAATGTATATTTTATTTCATTTTATAAAATTTGTTGTGCGTTTTTAAAATTTTTCACTGCATAAAATTTACAGGATTAATGATAATATTTTGATAATGGGCTGTTACTATGGACAAGTTGTTTTTATTAACAAGTTATCTAATTTATTCGTAAACTGGACACTATAACTTATACACTTTTGACAAGTACCTATTATAATCACTAGTAATTAGAAAAAAAGACATTTAAAAAGTAACTTTATAGTTTTTTAATTTTTGATTAGTTATTTATAAATTAATTAGTTACTTTTTTTATTCATGAATTTGTAACTTAACTAAGGAAAATAATTGTAATTTACTTAATTACTAAAGTTAAATGTAATTTGCCTAACTTTGCTGAGACTTTTGAAATTCTTGTGAGGTTAGGTGAAATTTATCATCAACAGATTGACAGAAATTAAAAATTATAACACCAAATTGACTTAAACTAATATTCAACCTATTTATGGAATTTTAAATACAAGTTGTCATTTCAAAATCTAAAGTGGGTACCTAGTAGTTTCACGCTCTAAAATAAGGATGACAAAAAAAAAGAATAGAGTAATGTTAAATTTCAGAGTTAATTATTTTATATATGTTCAAAAAATAACTTCTGGAAAAAGTTAATACTTTCCAACACTCAACAAAATAATTACCTTTAAAACACAAAAGTTAATTGGTACATAAATACGTGCATCTAATGTAGTTTATGTAAAACCTTAGTAAAAAAAAATATTTTAAATTAGATTCAGACATAATTTTAGTTAATTTATTGCTCTGATAGAAATAAGCAACTACAAAATATTCTTTTCAAAATTCTTTTAAATGTTTTAATGTCTTTAAATTGTTTAAAGTTATGTTCACCGTCAATCAATTACTGATGCATTTGATTGGTGCATATTTTAATCACAAACTATGTAAAAATAGAAATTCTGAATTTTGAATAGAATGAATGTTTGCCAATCATATGACACTTTCGAGGACAATGTCTGATTGACTGAAAATCATTTAAGTTTATTTTTATTTTTGTAATGATGACAAGTGTAATACATATATATTTTTAAATATATCTAATAATGTAATTTTCTATTAAATAAAAAATTCTAAAAAATGTTTAAATAAAAAAAGTCTAATATAAATATTAAAAATATATCTACTTGCGTTAATATATCTGGAAAATATTTTATCTTAAGTAAGTTAGGAAATTCACAAAATATATAGGTAGATATTTATTTATTTTTTTTATTGTAGGTACACATTATCAGTTTTTATATGACAGGTAGTAGGTACCTACCTAAAAATAATAATAGGTAATAATTTTCTAGCTGTACAAATATTGCCATTATAACAATAATTTTATATTAGTTTATTAGTATGGTGTAAGTTTCATAATTAGTAAGTTATTAGTTATATTATAGTTACTGTAATCAATAGATAGGTCCTTGAGGTATTCAATATTACAACTGAAACCTACTTGGAAAGTTTATTTTATATACTTTAAAAAAATTTGTAGGAAAAGTACATTTAATTTAAAATATTTGCACAGAATATCACAAATATTCAGGACTTAGGTAAATATCCTAAATCAGTAACTTTTAATTTATACAAGTTTTTTAAAACATGATAGGTATTTGAAATGTATTACTTTTGTATATATTAACTGGACTACTGTTTAATAAAATTTATATTGTAAAACATAAAACCCAACAGAAAATATTTAAAAATAACTTTTTGTAGATTTTTGAACAAAAATAAAACTGATCTGTTTCACAGGAACAACCAATTGGTTGGTAGGAACGTAAACAAATATTTAATATTTTTAATTTGTTTATACATATATTTTTTTAACACAAATTAGAAAATTTAACAAATCGTTGAGTAATATAATAAATAGAACTTAGCTTGAAACTCATTAACAGATGCTACAATATTGAATATACACTTCATCATTTTTATTTTATTACCTTACTTATCAAACTACAGATAAAATGTAGTATTATCAAATAGAAACTACCTATATTAATACGCACAATTCAATGAATAACATAATATTATACATAAGATAACTAGAAAGAAAGGTAAAAAGTGAAAAAGGCTAAATTAAAAATCCAAAAGTGTTACTTTTGTATTTTTAATTCAGCTATCTAATAGGCTAGTATCAATTAACTAATTGAACAGATATATGTTTACATATCTAAAAAATATAAATTTTACTAACCTTGAGTACTTCTTCACTTTCTAACAAAGTTTGCAATCCACCACTTTTAATTAACTGCGGACCAGCTATTAAATCAAATACAAAACATAATCCATCTTCATTTACAATTTGCATTAAACTTAATTGACCATTGGCTCCAATACATACTCCTTCAAAATCTATACCAATAGCCGATTTTTGAGCTATAATCCTATCGACAATATTCGAACATTCTTTGACGCTTGTCACAATTGCTTTGATGTTGTTCAATATTTTAATTTTCCATAGATCACCATCATCATAACCATTTGATGTTTTATTATTACGCTCGGTATTTTCTGCGATTGTCTTAATAACCAAACTATTGACTCGCTGTTTGAGAGTCTGATTTTTTACCGATTTAGATAATGGCGGTGACATGGGCGGAGTTAATGGTACCACTTCTATAGGAGCCCGAGAAATTCTAACTTCTGGTTTAGGACCATTTTTTGTTAACGTTATTAAATTGGATTGTGTATTAAACTGATCGGGATGCATTTTCAAAAAAGTAAATAAATCTGATGGAGTTTTGAAAATCTGAGACCAGGTATTTTCTGTGAAACGCAGAGAAATACTATGAAACAATTGATCGGTTAACATTGGTCCTTTGCATTCCAAACATTGTACACAAAAAGATAAAAGACGTTTGGTGATTTCCGGATCGATTTTTACTTCTCGTTGATCACTGTCATCATATAATTTACGTTCGAATCCTGCATACTCCGTAAGTATAACAGTGTCTTCTTCGACAGTAAACACATCGGCATATTTCAATAAAAAGTCTCGAAATTCCTTAATGTGTAGACCCGATATCAGTCGAATCTCGGGTGGTGCTTGAGACCGGTGTCCGAGTAGGCATCGTATAGGTACTTCCGTTCCCACTCCGTACTTCAGTAATTTATCCTTAAAATAATCGACGGCTTTATGATTGTAATTTGTGTTGGTTTGTACCGGTACTGCTATCTGAGATGCAGTAACTAAGTCTCCATCGACGGTGAACAACGACGGGTGTTGCGATAAGAACTTCTTGAGACCCGATTGAGAGCCACCAGCGATTTGTCTCATTTCTTTGGTGAATCCTTTCGATCCAAACTGGCAACTGAGATCATGTAGGGACCGCGGGGTGCCCTTGTCTATCAGTTTTTCGTAAAAGAATAGCAGGGTCAGGTTTCTCACTGACTCATACTCGGAACTATCCATTTTCCAGATGAAAGTACCTACCTACCTATATTGTGAACCCAAAATGTATAAGCCTTGTTGATCCAGTGGCGTATTTAATTTGAGCGTTTATTCTTTTCGCGTATTTGTTGTGGAACGGCCAGACAGCTCGCGTTTGTCGAGCTGATACATTTTCGGTAAATAGGAAATTATGCAGATAAATAAATTTCAAGAGAAAAAGAAAACAATTAAAACTTGAAAAAATTAATGAGGGAAAGAAAAAAACGTACAACTACACTACAAAACAGACCAATGATACGTACGAGTATCAAAATACTGATGGTCTGTTGTACTACTTGTACAGATGTAGTCGATAGACAGGCGGCGGCGCTAGCGCACTAGCATACAAAAATGTTAAAACACCGTTGTTGTCGTGGTATGCGCGTGGTAACGGCGGCAGAGGGAATCCGACCTTGAGTGTCTATTGACGTTGGCAACTCTATGTGAGAAAAGATAATATTTTTTTCCTGTGACAACGGAACGATGTTTTTTTTGTCATAATTCATAGTCATAGGCCATTAGAACTGATTCAAGATTTAAGGTTGTAACTCTGTAAGAAATAAGAATAGATATCTTGTTACGTGATATTATAAACCACCTATAACCGTTTGTTTTATATTAAAATAAATTAAACAATGGTTATAGTTTTAAACAATTTTAATAAACTCGACTGAACACTAACCAATTAATTTTGTATATTTTAATATTATCATAATCCTCAATTCTAATTTTTAGAACAAAAAAATGCGATCTCGTATCTTCGAACAGTTCGAACCGCTTTGGGAGTGTTCCCTGTGTTGAAGAATGAACAACACAATTATTCTGTGTTGAGGTGAGTTAGAAAACCCACGTTATCGTTCTTATCAGTTAGATCGCAAAATATGTATCTATAAGGGGAAATATGTTTTATAATATATCTATGGTTTTGAACATAACATTCAGTGACGCCAAATTTAAATTAATTTTGGGGGGGGGCAAAATTAGTTTGTGTACCCACCACCCACGGAAGATCCAAGGGGAGGGAGGAGCAAATGTCCATTTTCTACAAAAACGTTTAAAATTCGTGACTCTTTTTAAACGAAATTGCTAATTGCAGTATAAAAAATAATTTATATTAATATAAATTGATATATGTATTATTATTGATTATAAATACTATAAGTTGCACACTGCTGCACATTTACACGGTTGCCGCTATGAATCGCCGTCATTACCTACTGCTCATGCAATAGTAATGTTGGCCTCCGTAGTAGTAAAGAAGATAGGGGATTACTTCTAATCTTCTAATTATTTCGTTTTGTAAACTGATAAATCGGAGCATACAGTGCGTGCGTTCGGTACTTGATTTCCCAATAATAATATGGTTATCTCTATCGCACATAGATTATTATAAACTAGGTATTAAACAGAAACACGTAACGGCGATATTATTTTACAAATTAATAATTATATAATTTGTACAAAGGCCACTATTATAATATAACTGTATAAGTAAAGACTTGTTTTTGACAATTTTATCAACTTAAGTCGTAAATGTATGCAAAATATGTACTATTATTATTGTTTTAGATTCTGAGTGGAGCGAAGAACCTTATGGTTTTATAAAGACGTTTATTTTTAGGGAGGTCATTTTTCAATTTTCTCAAGAGTTTTCTCATCATATGTAAAAAACAGAAAAAAAAATGATTTTTTTTTGTCTGGACAACTTTTCTACCAGCAGTTTTACTCAAACTTCTAATGATAAAAATGTTTCTAAAAGACAATTTCACTAGGGAGGTACTTTAAAATGGTCATTTTTCGATTTTTCTAAGCAAATGTGAACAACCGGTTAAAAACATGGGATGCATATTCACTTCTGCTTTGATACATTTTTTCACTTCAAGATAATAATGCTATTTTATTTTATTTTTAACACATAAGTCTTTTATTTTAGATTTATTGCTTATAATCATACATTTAGATGAAGTCTATGTCACTCAAACTTAGGTGAATGAATTATTCACCTCTATCAAAGTTACCTATCTTCATAACACTAATTAATATAAGACTGATTACATCAACTCACCTCAATATAAAATGGCCATATTGTTCCTACTTTAGCCATTATTATTCATTAGTCATTAATAGTCTAAATCAAATATTATGCTATTTTTTTATATAATATATAAAAATATATATATATATATTATATAAATAATATAATGTATATCTTAAAAATTACAAGTTGTTTCACCCAACTTTGTCTGTGCCATAAAAAAGTTTCTAATTTTTGAAATTGTAAATAAAGTTAATAGATAAATTACCATTATCTGCTATAATGTTCTGTATCGGCAGATAATAAACAGAATGATTTACTAAGCGTACTCATCCCATTTGTTGGTTTAATTTTGCGTATATTCAAATTCTGATTTTAGATTCCGAGCGTAGCGAAGGGAGCTATTGGTTTTACTAAGATGTTTATTTTTTTTTTCTAGTCTGTGGACACGTTTATTCCTAGTAAACTTGCTCCAATTTTTACTTGTAGCAAATTTTCGAAAAGTTCAAGTTGTCTAGATGGTACTTTAGAGAAGTTATTTTTTGATTTTTGACGCCATTTTTTAAATTAAAGTACTAAGTGGGAAAAACCGTAGGAAAACGTACAATTTCACGGTTTCATTATTTTATAAAAACACGAACGTTTTCTACCAGATAAAATGAAAAACCACAAAACACCTTTATTTTTGCCTTTTTGATTTAACTTTTTTATGGTATCATCGTAAAATCTTTTGAGACATTTTCGAGCTTTTAATGAACTTTAATTTTTGGGAGTTTTTGCTGTAATTCGGTTATAAATACACGTAGATACTTGAAACTTGGTAATAATACATATATTGGACTTACCTAGATGTGGTAAAATTTTCAAAATCATCGACGACTTTTTTTTTCATAATCGTTTTGAAATCAAATTTAAATGTATTTTACGCTCCCAACTTCTCACCTACAACAGTGACCGCTCCCATACACTGTATCAGCACTTTTTTTTTTCTAAATTTTTAAGTGTTGATAAAGCCGGTATTTTTGAATACTTAGATTTTTCACAACATTTAAGGAGTATTCTGTAGCGATACTAACTTTGGTTTTCCAAATCGATAAATGGAGTATTAAATTAAGTAAATGTTGGTGTTAAAATTTTGATTTCTGTTAACCTTTTGATGAGATTTTCTACTTTTAAGTTTATGTAGGAGGGAGTAATGAAGCGCAACAGTTTATTAACTGTTGCGCACCGTGCTGTCATACAAATCATACCATATTGGTAATTAGTAATTACATTATCAATAGAATCTTATAGAAATTTCTAATAGTTAGATTTTGATGATGAGGAGGAAATTAGTAAAGTCTGGAATATTTTACTTTTATTTATAAAAAATTTGTTAATAACATAGGTAATCATTTTGGCTCGAAGTAAACTTTTTAACGAAATTAAAAATGATTATATTGATATTTGGAAGCTTTTTAATGGTAAATATGTATTAATATATTTTCCTAATTTATATAGAGTGTTTTTTTTTATCATGAACCAGTAATTTTCTCAGAGGATTTTAAGTGAATTTGATTTCTATTTTTTTTAATCTTTATGGAATCTCGGTTAAGCTGTATTTTAAAAGACCATTTAAAATTTTTTATCTTTTCTCCATATACCATAAATAAGTATATACTTTAGTTTTTCAAATACGGACCCCCCCTTTTGAACATAGATTTGAATAGAGAATTATGTTCTAGACATTTTGGTATGTGTAACACTAATATCAGATTTTCTGTTTATGAGTAATAAGTTTAGACTGAAGGAGTAGGGTAGATTGAAATCGTGCAACTTATTACCGTTCTCTACTCATCCAGTCGAAACTTTAAATTGTAAATCTGATATAAGTGTTATGCATTTAAAAAAGTCTAGAAATATTCTCTATTCAAATCTGTTTTCAAAGGGGGGGGNGGGGGGGGGGGGGGGGGGTGTCCTAACCTAACCGACTCCATAATGATTAAAAAAAACAAACCAGAAATCACGTTCACTTATAATTCTCAGAGAAAATTGCTGGTTTAAACCACCATATTTACCTATTCTCATTAACAATTGCTTGACTGAGAAAGCATTTTTTGAACTAGCTAGGATAAAAAGTAAGTATAGAATAAATAGTTCTCAAGAAAATTTAACCAAATTTTTGGTTTTAGTTACAAACAGAATAATGATAATTTAATTAGGGGATATTAAATAGAAGAAAAAAATGTATGGATTTGGTGAATACAACTAAATTTGTAGTGATTAATTTGGCACTGACCATATATTTGCAACGTATTTTAGGAAAAATATTGAAAAGCTACTCAACTATCATAATTTTCTTGAATTTATATTATCTTTCAAATATCCTATATATTAAAGAGACTTACCCAAGTATGTTGTATATTTTACTGGTATTTTTGCCATAATTTTTTTAATTTATACGTAAAATGTTTCATAGTCAATTATTTAAATTAAAATTTTTTCTAAATTTGAAACAAATTATTCAACAACAATTTTTGTTTTTAAATAATGACTTTACTAATGAATACAAACTGTAAAATAAGACCTAATTTTCGAGATTTTTCAATAATTCATTAATTCATAATTGCTTGTACTTCATAAAATGCAATAACTAGTTATTTAGTTCTAGTACTTTTGAGTAATGACTACTATTAACCATATCATAAATACCTTTATAAATACTAAAATACATTAATTAACATAAAAAAAATAAAAGGCTCTGGAAATATTTATCCTATATACCTAATGCCATTTATCTAAAACATTAACAAATAATATAGGTACACATATATTTAGGCACATACTTTTATTATTAAACATTAAAAAATAAAAAATAAAAAATAAATATCATTGAGAAAAAAAACAGCTGGTAGAATTGGAAAAGAGTAACAAAAAGAACAAATTATATGTATAATATATACGCAATACTTATATATAATAAATTATAAATTTAAAAAAAAAAACATGTCATAAAATTTCAAAATAAACACTATGAATAGGTTAATTATTAAATTGTTAGCTCATAAGTTAGCACAAATCACTGTTTTTTCTTTATTAATATACTCGTGTATGTATATATATATATATATATATATATAATGTAATCAGTTTTTTGTTATTTATAATAAAAATTGTTCCAATAATATATTATAATAAATCTTGTGATGCAAAGCCATATAGCGCGAATAGGTATTATTAATTATTATAATTATATAAAATGAATTTTGTTGATCATTATTTATATGGAGGTAAAGCCCATAGGGTGGTTGTCTTGTC